TGGTCGATAATGGTATGGTAACCCTGTCTGCGCTATCGGTATACACATCATTTCAGCCGTTAACTGTCCACTGCTGAACATAAGCCTTCCCCATAAGGGGAGTTTGACCGGTAGTTGCCGCACTTGGTAGTCGCCTCTTACGACACCCATAGGAAATAAAGGGGTAGAATTATACTATCAATATTAAGACCTTATTTGTTTGTATGTTCAGAAAAATTATAATATAAAGATGGCATATGGTTAAATCTATAAATAAAGATGGTAATTTAAATAATAAATATGTATGTCTTGCAAAGACAATGGCATGCAAATAAAATGTCTCCAAACATTTGAAATTAATATTGTATTTGCATAATTAATAAAAAAAATATTTATAAATGAATTATACACAACATACATAATACATAACTATCACGCCTGTCTCCCATTGGGGTAAGCAGAAACAATAGAACGCCAAATGCTTGAATTAAACCAGCCTCTTTCGCTTCCTCCACATTCAACAATCTTTTCATAGACGCTGGCCAGTTACGGGCATTTTTAATTTGGCAGCACTTTTTCAGCACGTCGCCTATTTAATCGACACACGTCCGTCTAGGGCGGCCCCTACTAACATCTCCATTAATTCTTGCTCGATAAATCTATTTCGTATTTATTCTTCCATCCATCCTCTATAAATGCGGTATAATCTAAATGATATATAATCGAAGTCAATAAGAATAAAAGTAAAAAAACTAGAGCGCTCGTTTATAAAGTTTTTTTTTTTATACAACTTAGAATGGCAAACAAGCTGACGGCCCACCTGATGGAAAGTGGTAACCGTCGTCTATAGACATGAGCAGTACCATGGACATAACAGAGTATACTGTTTCACCCATGATACCCCCATGCGTTGCCATTCCAGAGGACTCAGGTGTTATTCCTCTGTACCCAGTAAATTCACGCCATATCCCACCCTTCAAACCGAAACACAGCCATGCAAACACAACTGCTTCACGGTTGAAACACGAATAGGACAGAGGTACCCAAGCAATCGACTTTTGTACAAAATCTCCCTCTGGTATGCTTCATCTACGCATTAAGTGGTAGTCTATGTTTGTTCATTGAAACCGGTATGATGTTGTTATTTAGAATGCTTTTCTTCGTACTAAACAAAGCGATGCATTATGTAGTGCTTCCTCCGTTAATAAATGCTATTTACAAATATGATTGTTGATCGTAATTGTGCAAGTCCACCGCGCGTCGCGGACGTCACCGCGCTATCGACGGATAATCAATATCTCACTGATATCACATAATTTATGTATTGATAATATGTAATGGCCATGAAGTAATAAGGAATAAATTAGGTTTTCAAATATTTACAATGTTGTTTACGAATGTCAAGAAGACTGTGCCCAAAGGAATTGTTCAATATGATGCCCACGGCCACTTTCTAACATCGTACAGCTCGCCACCCACCCCATACCTTAGAGCCTAGACGATCGTGTATAGTGCGGTTTCGGTGATGTTTCCTCCAACGAACGCTCAGGTTATGGAATGAGCTCCCTGTTGAGATTTTTCCAAGAGACTACAGCAGGAGCTTCTTCAAAAAAGGAATATAAAGTTTTCTTCAAGATCTGCAACGCGCGCGTAATATTGCAGGCGTTCTTGGCTACGGTAACCGGTTACCATCAGGTGGGCCGTATGCTTGTTCTCCACCTCAGTGATGTGATGTCATGTTTAAAATGTAAATTACTCCATATAATATAATAAAGCGAAATAGTTTGTTTGAACGCGCTTATCTCTGCAACTACCGGTCGGATTTAAAAAATATTTTTTTTATTTGATAGTTCATTTCTTGAGAAAGATAAGCTTCAACATGACGATATGAGCACGAGCGAAACCGCGGGATACAACTGGGAATAATTAATTAATTATTTATTTGGCATCATATATGTATATATGCAGTAAAAGCAATGAAAGATAATAGTTTTTTAAGCCCTCTTGGTCTCCTCTCAGTATTTAGATACCTCTTGCAGTATATTGGCACAGCTTTAGTTTTCTTTTACAGCTTCTTTTATCAAAAACTTATTAGCTTCAATGAAAAGAATTTCAAATGATATACTTATATTAGATACGAAACTGATATGGATCAGCCAGTATCAGAGTAATGCCATATGAAAAAACTTGTATGTTGTCAACTGAACAGATGTTTAGTCCATAACAAGAACATGTTGGAAACGATTGATTGAAATGTAAAAATAAGTTATAAATAAAATAATACTTGGATTAATGATATAATTAATCTATTAACTTAATCTTGGACTTTTTGGACAGTGGAGTTTAAAGATACGATATATTTGAAAAGCAGCAAGCGTCATTATGTGTAATATTGTGGTGAGAGGAATAATGTTGCTTGGGTCATTGACAAATTTAACAATATTATCTACATGTTATGTTCGTTCAACGAAAATAAATTAATTCGACTTGTTTCCTTATTGAAATATTTTAACATAGTAACATGTATTTTACTGAAGTTATTTAATATAAATGAATATTTTTTATTATTATTATTATTATATCAGCCGTGAACTGTCCAGTGTTGACCATAGGGGACCTATAAGGGGATTTTAACCAGTAGTTGCCACGCTTGATAAGTGGATTGGCACCAGCAGTTAGGTTTTGAACATGTTTTACGAGAGACGCTACTGACCATCCCTCGCCTCTCACGACACACACGAGAAAAGAAGGAGGAAAGACGAAATTTTTTTATTCTAGTATTCTGATATATTAAATTGAAGCATTTTCGAATAATCATTTTGTCATGGCTATTGAATTTGGAAAGCAATTTCAGACAAGAACGAGCGAGAAGATCAGCTGTTGTTTTTTTTTCAAAAGATTTGAAGTATCAAATCATAAAACTTAAAATTCACTGTAAGGGTTTCTTTTAATTAAACATGCACAAGACTGTAAATACCATATATAAGCGGCTATGGGCCACATACGAGTATATCGCTTGCATCGACGAGACGAATCTTAATGGCTACGAGCGACGACAATACGAGTAGCGCCTATTGGACTGGACACTGAATGGAGCCGTCAGCGACATATTCATTCAAGTACCTGCCTTCATATCACGTACATACATACAAATTAATCACAGACAGACCATGTTCATACTTTACCGAATCGTACTATCCTATTAATTTTGGAAATATGAAAGAGAGTAAGGACGGATGGATGAATGTTTGTTTTGTACTCTTTTATGCAAAAATTATTGTACCCATTTGAATGTTATAATACACTAGTAGGTTATTTCTTTTCAGTTACATGCTGATTTGTTGGGAGAAACATCAGGCAATTAAGAGTTAAACCAGCTCCACGACACACTGGCTTACTGTGTAGAAATGGATCACCCATGATTATATGGTTATATATTATACTAACTTAGTGCATACGATACTTCATCTATTATTAGGTACATTTACGCGGGCAAAGCCGTGGAATATAGCTAGTTAATTATAGTATTGGTAAGTAGCGCCCGCGAATTCGCGTTTCTTTAGTCAAGAAAATAGAGTTTTTTTTTGTACAATTTTTTTATAACTAAATCTCGCACAAGTTAGTAATTTGTATTTTGTTTTCAAATTCGTCAAGTTTTTTTTATACCGCCCATGAAAATTTATTGTCGCCCATGAAAACTTGTAATAGCTGTGCTAACTTTTTAAGAATAAGACATTACACAGTAAAGACAGTAAAATTTACCTAAAACCTAACAAGACTGACAGACAAGAATTCAATTCATACCTAGGAGAAACATGTACTTGAGTATCACGATTTGACACAACAGATGGTTATCAAGTACTGACCTAGAAGTCGTAACCACTATTTGCTGAAGTGCCAGTGATGTCATTATTTTCCCAACAAACAGGAAGGTTGTGCCAGCACGTTGTGATAATATTGATGTTTCTCATATGTGGATATCACACCTAGATGTTTGTCTCTCTTTTGGCGGTATTGGACATCATTATTTACTTTAACCATAAACATCAAATCCTTAACAATGTTCGTCGCGCTTCTAACCTTCTAACACAAAGGAAACAAACTCTTTTGTATTATTTTAAAGCCAATTTCTGATTTCTCTGATATTATCTAGTTAATAAATTTTAAGAGCCAATCAAAACCACAAATCTAAACATAATAAAACACGAGCCTTGAATTCTTGAATTAGACAGTTTCAATACTATTCGAAGCGACGCCATGACCCTGGTTTCGCCAAAAGGTATCATGCTAATCAATCAATGAACGAAAACAATGAACCCCTATATGATGCGTACGATGGTACAAACGAAGCCGTTTTCGGACACTTGACGTAATCTTACGTAGCAGTTTAGTATTAGCACGTCAAAACTTAGTGGCACTACGTACATTCACCGTAGCTGCACATTTGTCTATTGTATGTAAAGATTATAGCCACCAACTATTGCAAACCTCATTAGAATACAAAGTTTTGCATACGGGCCACCATACGTCACGCAGTCAAGGTCGCTATCCATAAATCTTAAAGAATCCGAATTATGTAATGCAAGTCTGCAATCCGCGAAGTATTTTTATCTTGTTTTATGGTCTTGGGATTTAGACTAACCAATTTAGAATTATTCGGGTCTAAAATTGGCTCAATCAAGATAGAAACTAACATTAGAATTTTAAACTTATTTGGATGAATTGATATAAATACGAGTATATTATAAGTATGGAAGAAAATATGTTTCTTTGGGGTAAAATGTCCAGTATTAACCCATATACTCGTATGTATAAGGCAAAGCCCAAATCATTACTGTCTCTTGAAAGCAGCGTAATATGACAGAACCACAAAAAGTAATCAAGTATGGGAAGCAATAATTTTTTTGTCCTTTTTTAACCTATTTATTTTGGAAACATGTTTTATTTCACCGATCACTCGCTTAAAAATATGCTAAAGCTATGATTTCTACGACTTAACATTATATAGTTAAAAACATTACCTGTCCCCTAATGGTGAGCTTCTTGTTGTCCTTAGAGAGTAAATCCCTGACGTCCTCGAGGTAGAGCTCGACGTAGGAGCAGGCGACCAGGTGCGTGACGTCGGGGGAGGCGTTGTTCTCGATATGCGACCAGATGTGGCGGAAGGCGCGCGGGATCACACCCTCGTCGTCGGCGGTGCCCTCCATCGTGTGCGTCTTACCGGTGCCTGTCTGGCCGTATGCAAACACGCAGCCGTTGAACCCGTCCAGTACGGACGCGACGAGAGGTCGTACCTGGTCAGCAATTAATAAACAGTTAGTGAATTTTAAAAAGCAGGTACTTTACAGAGGCGAAAATATTGCGTAACACAAGTGGATACAAAAAATTCGACTGAATTGTCTGTGTGTACTTATGTTACGCAATATCTTAGCCATTTCTACATGGACATTGAAGATTCTTTTTGTAATCAAAAACGTTTATTTCGTAGTTAATTTCATATTATTTTGTCACAATGGTCTTTTTTGGTGGAATAAAAACATAGATAATTACTAAAACATTTGGTAGCCAACCTGACGGTCCATTTGATGGAAAATGATAACCGTCGCCTATAGCCATAAACAATTGAACAGCACCATCATAAAATATACTGTAAAGGCCGACCCTCATGCACTAAGTCTAAGGTGGATAAGGTCATTTTTTTTTTATACAAGTTAGAATGGCAAACAAGCTGACGGTCCACCTGATGGAAAGTGGTAACCGTTGCCTATAGACATGAGCAGTACTATGGACATAACAGAGTATACTGTTTCGCCCATGATACCCCCCATGCGTTGCCATTCCTGAGTATTCAGGTGTTATTCCTCTGTACCCAGTAAATTAACGCCATATCCCACCCTTCAAACCGAAACACAGCCATGCAAACACAACTGCTTCACGGTTGAAACACGAATGGGACAGAAGTACCCAAGCAATCGACTTTTGTACAAAGTCTCCCTCTGGTAAATGGTCTGGTCTGATCTTGTGGCTCCATTACCAGTAATTTAATTAAAAATGTTGCATCCTTCAAACTGAAACGACAACGATGAAGGACAAAGAAGTACCGGGTTTTAGCACCGACCCAGTAAAATGTTGTCATATAATTTTTAAAAATAACAAATTTTTTGATAATATTAAAATTAATATGACCATCATCATTTTCCTAGCCTTATCCAATTTTTTATTTTAGGTCGGCGTAATATGTTTTTTATCCATATTACAAAAACATTTAACTATAGTTTAACGACCGGCCGTCTGCATGACGTCAACCCTTTTCGGGAATTAAAATTAAATAATCAATATAAATTCAATTTTTGCGACAAAACACGTATTTTTATTACTTTAAATTATCCAAAATAGACGGACAGACAGAGAGGCATTACAAGAAAATTAATAGCCGACAACTAGAAATTTCCAGCGGACTCTATGCAACTCGATTTACTTTGGTCCATCGAATTCTATATTTTTTACTGAATAAAAAAGCAAAAAAATCAATTGTCCGCCTGAAAAGGCCGGCGCGGGCAATGACGTCACATGCGGCACCGCGCACATAGCGTAGCCTTGATCAGATCAAACAAGCTGCGGGGCTTTGTAGTAAAACAAATCGTACAATGGATTATTTCACGAACAAAAGGCAATAATTGTGAACAAACATACGTGTGACGGAACAATTAAAATGTCCCATAAACGTTGTTTTATGAACGCGGCATCTCCAGTGCAACTGTGTCGATGCTAGCAACGCGATATCTCAATGCCATGGCCATCTCAAACACGTGGCTAACGCTACACGACGTGCTTCTTATATCATGTACATTATTAATAATAATATGTTAACAAAAATATAATTGTAATAGTCAGTCACTTAGTAATAACAAGGTTACAATAATTTTATAACAGCTTCCATCGCCACGGCGAGGTATGTTATTTTTTTTAATTCGTGAGTATGTAGACCTATTAAAGTTATAGATATGATTTTTCACCTTTAATTTTTTATTGTATATTAAATGCAGTATATTTACCAATTCTGAACGGTTTATTTTAGTATTGTATATTTTGTCACGATTGATGTTACCGTTTTCTTTTTGCGAATTAAAAATTAATACTTAATAATTAATTAATAATTAATAAGGCTATGATGGGTTGGTAGATATATTTACTATCGAATTAACCTTTATTAAATAAAATTATGGGGTTTTTAACATCCAATATTTATTATAAACACACATACATATCTGTCACGCCTATCTCCCTCTATGACCCTTGATCACTGTCAGTAATCACCAAAACTGGGTATCAATTCAAATTTCTAACTCAATTTTTGCTGAATATCCCATTTGGAAACTATAGTTGTGAATACATTTGTAATATTTAAAAGATATCTAAGTAATGTGGTAAGGATTGTTACCTGTTATTAGTAGCTAGTTGCAAGCGACATTTAGTAGGTACTCGACAATAGTACGTAATAATATCACGCTAAACCGTAAAACTATTTGCGATGTCAGTTAGTAAGCACTTGTTGATATCCTGTAGCGTGCACCGTCAAATCAAGGTTATTCTCTACTGCATCATCATAAGTGTCTTGTATTTTATTAAATACATACTTGCAAATTTTATGAGCTCATTTCTTTGTCGGAACAACTATATGATGACCGTAAACATGCAGCAGTAACATCGACAAAGATTTTTAAAGTTTTGTCTTTTCGGAAATCAAACGTGCTAATAGTTATCTCTGATAGTTACTATTGGTTACTTAACGGTTTAAAGAAATACGTCTATAGTAGGTAAAAATTCGTTAGGAATATTCTATCAGGTTGTCTGATAAAAGGGGTGTTACATACATTTTGCCTGCACTGAATAATATATTCTTTATTGCACTTGTAAAAAAAATACAGCGATTAGTTTAATAACTTGTTGGCAAGGGTGGGCTCTAAAAGAGATTTCTTCCAGTTAACCCAGTACAATAATTCTTATTATGTTTTTTGAAAAACACCATGATCTTGAAGTTTAGGTGACTACATGTTTATCACTTACTAGCACAATCTAAAGGTTTGGGGGGGGGGGGGAAGAGGGAGTCAGTTATGCTGACTACCCATTGCTAGCAATTCAGCCTGTCAGGTCGACCCCCCTAGAAACCATCGTGCTGAATCCCAGATATATTCATCACGATGGGCTAACTGACCTGCCTTTTCATTCTTATCTATCATCCCTCACTGGTGCCCCGCCAGCGTATACCGTTAGCACAGGCGGAATTACCTTTCCATTATCATCCATTAAAAAAAGCACAATCTAGATGGACAAGACCTGTAATTATACTATATCATAGACTTATTTGATGGTATCCACAATATTGTTGTTTCTGGCGTTATATTACAATACTATGTCGTCAGTGAGGTGCAATCTCTGATACAAGAGCCACAAAACCTTTGTCCTCGGAAATAGTAATGAATGAGGAGTATCATAAGCGTACTGTTGTATTATGAACGAAACGTTTAAAATAGTGATATTGTATTTCCTCAATGTATACTCATTGATAAACACAATAAATGACATTGCCGACTTAATGTTAAATTCGAGGTCTTCATAAACGTCTGTTCGCCCACTCTAATGGGTGTTTTTGCAAAATAAAAAAAGGTAAAACCACAGGTAAAACCTTCAACACTCGTCATTCAAAGCAAGAAGGTTTCTTTATCAGGGGTCGCGTGGGAGGTGGGAAACATGTGTCTTATGTATTCAAGATTTTGATTGATGCGACAATATGCGACTTGGCAATTATTAATTGTCTGTTAATATATAAGAGGCAGTTTTTACATTTTTGAACAAAACCCTATATTATAAGAATCACTGTGTACAATGCATCTTCTGATTACAATAGTTATTGCTGTACTCCCATAGGATACTAAGGGAGTGAGTACATCAATCAAATATCTATACTTACAGTAGCTACCTATGTAGATATAAGTATATCATCATAACGACAACTTAATTTCAGTATTAAAAGCCTATGGCCCATTAAACTATTTTTAATTTTTTTTTACAACTCAGATTGGCAAACAAGCTGACGGCCCACCTGATGGAAAGTGGTAACAGTCGCCTATAGACATGAGCAGTACCATGAACATAACAGAGTGTACTGTTTCGCCCATGATACCCCCCATGCGTTGCCATTCCTGAGGACTCAGGTGTTATTCCTCTGTACCCTGTAAATTCACGCCTTATCCCACCCTTCAAACCGAAACACAGCCATGCAAACACAACTGCGTCACGGTAGAAACACGAATGGGATAGAGGTAAGCAAGCAATTGACTTTTGTACAAAGTTTCTCTCTGGTAAATTCGTCTTTATCTAAAGATAGATTGAAAAAAATTGCTTTTAGCTGTAAGGCCACTATTTTTTACTCTGCATAATGTACTCTTGTAATTTTTATTTCAGTGGAATACTACTGTAAACTTTTGGAGGGATCAATAAAGAGTGTCTATCAATTTATCTAAAGCATTAGTAGAAATCTAGACCCCTTTAAGCTCTTTATTTGCTTTATATTTTAGGTCTTAAACCGGCTTTTCCTCAAAAACTTCATATGTTCAGAATTACTCAGGCCATATTCAAATACTAATTTATATATTTTAATATTCTTTGTGAGCAGACCACCTTAACAGGTACGTTACACAGAGTGAGTTTCCTAACACTCTTTACATGTTAGAGAACAATCGTGTGCAATTTAAATAGTCATTCGATGATGACAGTGAGTTGCTGAGGTATGTATGTACACGCGCGTTTATTACAATTTCCTTTGTTTTGACATACGCAATGACTACGAGGAGTTGAACATTACAAACATGAATTATACAATAGAAAGTGAGGCTAATTTACGAAATGAGCACCGTTGCCGCGTGCCGAGAGCGCTCAGCTAAAATTAATGCTCATCTCGTATCACACACGTGCAATGCCCGTGCAGCGCAAAAAATGCACCCGGATAGCTGAAACGCTAGCGCTGTAGGTATTGTAGAAATCGTAAAAATATAACGCACATTGTATTTTATTAACATTTAATTATGTACATTTCAATAATGAGCAGACGTTTGGCGGCCGCGCCGACGTCACCGGACGCGGGCGCGGCTTCATACACCTGCAATAACTTTTTCTATTATTAATTCCGATTATTCAGTTGAAACTAACTAATACATTATAATATACCAATATGTACAGTTGAGTTTCAGATAATCGTTTATGGGCATTTTGGAAAAAAAATTTTCTTGGTGTTATCTATGTTATAATAAGGAATCTGTATGGTCTATTGTAACACACTATAATTAATAATTACATAAGGAAATATTAGATTTATTTATTTGATTTATATACAAGTGTGCGATGATGTTAGATCGGGGACTACGGGAAATGATTTATTATGAATGACAAAGGAAACGCTGACGGTGCTCAACGACAAGCCAATCATAAAGAATTCCTGTGCAAAATTTCACGATACCCCAGTTTTATTTAAATAATTTTTTTAAGCGTAGGTTCCGGCTTTTAACTTTGCATTGATTTGTCAATTTCTCTTCAGATATTTAACAAACTCATGTGACGTAATTTTGCAATTAACTGTAACATTTTTAACAACAATATGGCCAGTAATGTCTGTTACCGCACGCGTAATTACTATAGTACTAACAGTTGCCAAATTCCAGGAAAGAGCAGCTTGTAACATTTCATCTCCCATGATGTAATGGCATCAAAATATCCTACTTTCGAAATCATAACAACCAACTACGGTTGCGAAGCTTTTACCGAGTCGTTATCAATTTTTAACTCTTGCATGCGGGTTTTTAACTAGAGAAAATATTCACAAAATATACAGCAATGGTATAGAGTATATTACATTATCTGTGGTACAGGTAAGTTTTAAACATAATATTTTATGTTATTTTTGTGTTTTAAAACGAGATCAGTAAATAAGTAATTGTCTATATACAAATTACATAAGATATAAGAAGACTGTAACACATACTCTAGGGGACGGATTTTGATGAAATTTGGAATACTAATAGACCAGGATTTAGATAAAAAAACATAGCATATTTTTTATATTTCAATTCACTTAAGATAATGCTGACTAGTCAATAAATAAATGAAGACTTGACAACTGAATACCATACTATATACCTAATGTTTTAAAAATACATAACACCCTGTGTCCTCTACCAAGGGTCAACCCTAAAGGTCACGCACAAAACTAGCCGATATTGAAACACTAAACTAAGTGGCAATCAAATATGCTGAAGTTAATTAAACAATCGAAAATTACAGCCCTCTGACGTGGCGGGCGACTGGAACTCTAGAATTGTCGCCGTCTAATGTTGTTAGTACTAAGGTGCTCTTTTCTTGATAGGTATAATAATATTAGAACAAAAATTTTTATTTTAATATTTTCTTCCCAATTGTGGGCGACAAAGGAAACCAGGAATGGAAATTGGAAATATATGTATATTGGTGAAAGGAACTTAGAACACTAGGCCGTGAAGGGTAGACAAAAGGAAATTAAATAAGCGTTTAGCGTGGATACTCATAAATTGTAATTGCCTGTACGGGGTCGCCACTCAAGAACCTTTATTCCCCATCGGTTGTCGGTTCTTTGAGCTATGTGAAAAGCCCATTGCCATTTCACCTTACTTATCCTTCCCAAATATAAATAATTAGAATCCTATTTAGTGATATAACTATTTACATTTATAACAATGCCATTTTTTATACAGCCAAGAAGGCAATCAAGCACATAGTTAACTTGATGGTAAGCTACCACCGCAGTCCATGAACTTTTATAAAGACATCATCTGCATGTGGCCAACTATGGTGATATGAAGGTCTGTAGGTCTGTCGGTCGGTAACAAGTCTCTACCTATGATAAAATAAATAAGATATTTAGAAGTTTTTTTCAATGGATGATAATGGAATGGTAAACCTGCCTACGCTACCAGTATACACTAGCGCGGCACTAGCGAAAGATGACAAGTGAGAATGTCATTCAGAGTTGAGAGTCAGCTGGTCCATAGTGACGAATTCAACACGAAATTAATCACAATAACTTCCTGGAGGAACCGCGTGGAAGTTAACCTGATAAAGTATATTGCTAGCAATGGAGTTTGGGAGTAGCAACCTCCATTGCCTTACAATTCCTTCTCTCTCCAGGTATTCTGAGGTATCATTCCAGATTTGACGGACTTGTTTTTCAACGAATTACAACAAAGAAACCGCTTCCAGTATTAATTAACTACTCAAAATAGTACTCATTATTTTTAACAGCTAATGAATACTGGATTAAAGGTTCTATATGCAGACAGTAACTCACCATCTCGTCGTAGAGCGTCTGCGTGTCGGCGGAGCAGTCGTAGGCGGCATCGTATGTGAACAGCTTGTCTTCACCCTTGGGGTTGTACACCTGTACCGTGCCGCGCTCCGGCCACACCTTCACCACCTGCGCACGCGCACACACCCACAGTTAGTTCACATACTTAATCATACGTAATCATTTGACAGTAAGGATAACATCAGTATATGTCATGTTGAACGAGAATAGAATTGGTTCAAGAATTAACACCGTGAAGCTAAGTGTCTATTCCAGAGGCACTGGAAGCAAACTCACTACACAATGTATGTGTATGGATCCAGTGCAACTGGAGGTAGACCTCGAGTCTATGGAATAAATTATTTATTCACCTAAATCACAGTTATTTTTTAGCAATGGCAAATATAAATAATATATTAATAATCAAGTAAATCACAAATAATCCACCAACTAAAGTACAAAACTTTATGTCACCACAACCAGAGCGTCCACCCTGAAACAGTATTCCGAAATTTCGAACCGAACATTTTATATGTGTGCGACACTGAGAATAATTGGAATAAATAACCGAAAGAGACGTTTTATGAGTTAGAACATGTTCTTATGAGAAGTGTTCGAAGACCGACATTACAGAATGAGTTCCCAATATCTTGCATTTCTGTCTTATCGATTTCCACTGAATTTGACCAATACAAAATCGATTATGATAATTTTGCAATTGACAGAATTTACTTCTCTGTTGATCCCATATTAATTTTATCAAGATTGAAGTCTCACTGTCATAGATTAAATTATTAATTATTCCATAATATTAAATTCCTGTTATGTTCGGTTTTGAAATTTCGGATATATTCCCATGGTAGGTGGGCTGTGTACACCAAAGTCCAAATTCGTGAACAAAAGTCTATTAATCACAATGTGGTCGATTCAGAGGCACCATTTCTCTAAAGCTACAATTATAATTTTAAAGTGATATTACAATTAAATATTTATTCTAATGATCAAAATGAATTAAATTTCTAACCAATTTAAGTCAAAATTATTATACATTTAGTTTTAATATTAAAAGTTTCGTAAGTACACGTTATTATTTGATGTTATAACTATCGGTTTATACTTACATGTAATTTGGTCGAAAAAGCTCGACTAGTTTCGGAACCCTTCGAGACACTTATTCTTGAGCGGCCGTAACTCAAAGATCTCCGAACACTATCTTTCTTATCTGTGATGGTGCTGCCTGGCTGTAGCTCGTGCTCAGGGAGCAGAAGCTCGCAGTCAGGCTCGCGGTCACTTAATCTTTAGCGTCTAGCTCAAGATTAAATGTCCAAAATGGTTCCGAAATTAGCTGAGCTTTCTCAATCAAATAACACGGAAGTTAAACTGGTAGTTATTACATTTAAAAAAAAAAAATTGTAAATAATGGTCCGTAAAACAGTAATTTCGCGAAATTATGAAATTAAAATATCAGATTAAGACATAGGTGTAGGGAAATACTGCCTTAAAATCTGACCCATTGTCTAACTTGAATTACCACCGAATACATGTTGAGTGGTACTAACTTGGTCATTATGTCAATCTATTTGTTGCAATATAGGGTTAGACAGAGTAAAATCAAACCTATTAACATCCTTTAAAACGGATTTTATACTAGTGAAACTAAATGTTTTTCCCAGATGCCAGATCCCACACATCAAAAATGACAAAAAATGTAACTTCTCATTATTACACGTAACGTTTAAAATTTTATATGGAAAGCTCTAAATTTTTTAGTCATTTATCGACCTATGATTCTCGTTTCACTTGTCGAAAACTTAAATAGATGCAAGTCATTTCGATTTCCCCCCGTATAGATATTGCAACAAAACTCCAAATAACATATAAAATACTTTAATGTTTTTGTTGGAGTAAAAATTTATAAAACTAACAAGTTTACGTAGAACTACAACTCGATAATTACATTATCATGTTGTCATCATTTATGGTTTATGTACGTTAGTGTACTAGTGACATTGGTCTAGGAATTAAGCTGCTTAGCGTGCTGCACTCCAGTTTTCTTCTATCAGGTCATGGGTAGTAGGATTCATTGATTTTCCTCTAAGGCATAATTAAAAGAATCTATGACTAATTACATCGTTGTCGTGTTTTTCTATAGTTAGTACAATTAAATCTTGTCGTAGGTTTTGATCGAAACTCACACATAAAATAATCATATACTTAGCTAAATTAAAATGGTTTTTAAATCAAATGATAATATATATGATCATATAATATAATGCACTCTTTTTGTCTGTCTTCAATTTCAACAAACGACCCGCTCTGACTTCGAACGGGTGTAAATTGTACATATATATAAATCTTCTATTAAAAAGTATTTAAAGGCAGTGAAATTATTATTGACTGTATTCATAAAAGACTTAGCATGTAAGTTGTGTTTTTAAGAGCTGTGGATTTTTGTATAAAATAAATAAACTTGTATCAAAAACCATTGCGTGGTTCAGTGGAAATAAGTAGAGAAACAAACATACAAAACAGACTTTGTATTATACCATTTCGACATTATGAAACCGGATAACTACTACATAATATTGTTCACAATTTAATGCCAGATATAGTAAAACAGATTATAAATAAGTAAAGTAAATAAGTTAATTATTGTATTTAAAGCGTGTTAAGTATTGTATTTAAGCGATATGTTATACTTAACCGTCTAGTAATTACTTATTCGTATTACTGTATTAATATCCAGCCCCTGCATATTATTTAATGAGTTGTTTGCACGGGATCAGTGAACAGTAATTGATGTCAATCTTGAACATGGGCAAGCGTTCCCGTAACCACCACCTCGTATCTCTACAACTAGTTTTTTAAGCTGATCATAGATGGGTCAAAATGGTCGAAGATCTGTCAATATAAAACGATTTGTTTAACTATATTTCTTACGTGAATTTTTATACGACGCTACGACAAAAAAAAAACAGTTAATTATTAGGGCTTATATTTAATACATTCTGCGTGTTAAAAAAAAATATTATCAGGGCATATTGGTTTAAATAAAGAAACAAGAAGGTATTGCAAATAGAGCGCATTCAAACAAAGGATGCACTCAATTATAAGTTAGAATTAATTTTTTTAACACTAGCGATGTTTGTAGCTAAACGTGCCAAAATATTGTGATAAAAATATGACGTACACGGACATTTTGAGTTTCATATTTATAGTATTATATATGCTAGTCCGTTACGACTTGTTCTTTGGAACACTTTTAGGTGTAAAAGAATATGAATCTAGTATTTTTTTATATTATCTATGTAACGCCGTATAACTGTAAATAGATTATTAAAAAATGAAAGATTCTACAATTCATCATAGGGAATGCTACGAAGGTCATATTGACAGATCCTGTTATTACAATGATAGGGTAATGTTCGTTATACTCCGCACCCTGGTACCCGGAGCCCTGGACCCGATCTGTTAGTGCCACATCTCTAGTGTTGCCTAATAAGTAATTAGCTATCGATTATTATTAATCAACATTTCGATTGGATAAGAGATAACAAGAACAGGAATACAGAACGATAAACACAATAGATTAACCGATAGTTAGCATTGTTTAGAACTAGCTATCGATATAATGATTAAATTATTTAATTAAATAATCTAATTGCTATTCAATAACACAAATAAAAATAAAATAAACGAACAATATCGATTAATTGATAATTGTATATTAGGCAACACTAATCTCCGGGTGTTACGGCTACTGCGGACAATTCACACCTGTAAAGGGCCGTCAAACTTTTTACTGTCCACAATTGACTTTGTGGACAGCCGCTCGTACCATTTCAGCTCAGCTCGACTCTTCGACACCTACACAATTGGAATCTGTATAAAGTTACTAATATTCTTTATGAAATTCAGGACCGGACTTAGAGAGGCACGCTTGGATAATTTGACCAGTGCCAGGTAAACTAAGTCCAGCCCTGAATAATTTAAGCGCCAATTCATATTATGAATATTCGAATTAATTTCAAAGTAAACTATATAAAACATTTATTAAACATTTAATTATTTACTAGTAATGCTGTGGCAAATACCTTGATCTATGACGCTGGTAAGTACATCAATAATAAATTAGCGCTTGAAGGTTCCTCGCAAAGTGCGGACACTTAATAAAAAATTACAACACACAGTAAGCTTCAAATATCCAGGTAAAGGAGTAACTTTGCAGTATCGGGTGCTAGATTCGTACAGTTTATTCATTTGTTTCGATAGTCCAAACAAGAATGTATAAGATCTTTTGTCTTTTTAATATTTATTTATAACTATCTACTTATTTAATATAGCATTAAATTCTTGTAATATTTTAGAATAAGCACTAATATATATCACAATTTACGAGACTGTTCACTTTGTTACTGGTAAAGGTGTTTTACGACAGACATATTACATTATATATGTGAAAGTAAGTTTGTTTGTTTGTTTGTTTGTTATCCTTCAACGCTATAACTGCTTAACCAATCACATCATGTAATTTGATAACACGTACTATATGGGGTGGAGAAGGATAGAAAAGAATAAAAATGAATTGTATTATTATTTAAGTTGATGAACATATCCCGATTATGCGGACGAAGTCGCGGGTAAAAGCTAGTATACAATAATGGATTAGACTTTGATGTGGAGCCACATATTAAAAAAAAAACTATTAAAATCATAGTAGTAATACGAGAACGTACCTGTGAAAGCCAAATAGTTTCAGCTTTTATTTTACAATTTTATAGTTCTAAAAAACATACTATTATCAGCAACATAACGTGCGACATATCGAAAAAACATGGATTACCAAACCAAAAATATATAAGATTAAACTATCCGTTTACTTCATTCGTGGCGGACGGAAATAAGAAATTGAAGAGCGAATTAAGCAAATACCTAATCGTAACAACAGTAGATAATACGGAATAGACCGACTGAAGGTCGATTTCTGAGCTTGATTATTTTCAAATTGCAACCGTATTTTAGTCATTCACTAAGTGTTGCTTAATTCTCTAGGTTTCACCATCGTCATCAAATAACTTAGATACTTGAGTGTAGGTATTATTTTATCTACTTATTCCTAGCTACTCGTATTGCCTGAAATGGAATCGACGCTTTTCAACGCGTGTCGCGTCGTCGCAGCAAAAAATGTGCTGACATCAGCATCTCTACTTGTAGTTGTTGGAACGTGAGAGTCCTCTTTGAGATTTTTATTTAACACTTTTTATAATAAAACGTTTCTTTATAGCTGCTTTTAAAATTATTGTAAATTCTAGTAGATACAAACAGGTATCATTCAAATGATAATTTTAAAACGATATAAAAAAATATTTTCATATTTTAACACCGACATTTTAGAGAGAGGGAGAGTTTGTACAAAAGTCGTTTGCTTGGACACCTCTGCCCCATTCGTGTTTCTACCGTAAGCAGTTGTTTGTATGGCTGCATTTCAATTTGAAGGGCTGGAATGGCAGTGAATTTACAGGGTACAGAGGAATAACACATGAGTCCTCGGGAATGGCAACACATGAGGGGTATCATGGGCGAAACAGTATACTCTGTTATGTCCATGGTACTGCTCATGTCTATAGGCGAACGATTATCACTTTCCATCAGATGGGCCGTCAGCTTGTTCTAAGTTGTATAAAAAAGGAAAAAAAAATCCATTGAAGGTAGGATCAGACAATTTAGCAAGTACCTAGGTATGTGGGATATGAAATAAAAGGCGTTAAATAGTGGTGCCGATATATTGGGCAGCCATTTACCCACGTGAGATGAGACGATGAGATGACGATGAGATGTACGACTAAGTAACCGAGAGAGGTAAGATACAGAGAAATAAAATATGTATTTTGTTCAATGATAAAGCAGCTTACTTTACGAGTGGATTTCTAACACAATATTATAGGATAGGGGGAAAAGGGATTGTTAGCAATGGAGTTTGACAGCCCCATTGTTAGAAATATGCCCTATTAGATCAACCTCCACGTGGTTCCCCCTGGAAACCATCATGAACAATTCTCCTTGAATTCGTCACGATGGGATAACTGACCTACTTTCGTCCTCACCTATCATCCCTCACTGGCGTATACCAATAGCGCAGGCGGGGTTACCATTCCATTATCACCCATTTAAAAGAACACAATATTAGGTGTTGTTGTAAGTTGGTAGCAAGTAATTAAGTACCTAGGTAAGTACTTAGTTCGCAGTAGGTCGGCGCAGCAGAAGGCCGCGCGTCAGATGATCTGCACCAAATATGGAGCATCCGCGTATGGACATTACTGGTGCCCGCCACTCACGTTCACCTACATACATCAGCAGCCAGCACGCTCAGCATTCAACGCGTGCCTTTTGATTTATTTTAAGAATACCTAAGTACATGTACACAGATAGTTTGTATACATCGATAAATACGAATATAAAGAACCGTCCGCGTCGCTCGTGTCCGTACCGCGGACAACAAAATAATAACCAAATTAATTTTCTTATCTATTACTTTTATACGTGTACTAGAATAGGTATTATTGAAAAAAATACATTTGTAATTTGCCCTTGCATTTATGGTTCCCATAAACGTATTTAAGGGGAGAGGAGGGCGAGTGGGCCGTGCCCACCCTAAAATTGTCTGGTGCCCACAACAAAATCCAGCTTCACAAAAACTTATCTGATAGTAAATATATGACTACTTTAAAGAGCCAGGCACCCGAAAAAAATATCTTAAATACGCCAATGACAGAACTGTCATTAGCATAGACATACTGTCATGGGACTCAACATTCAAAAATTCCTTTAAATCAATTTCCTTACTATCACAGCATGTTCAGAAATTAGAAATCAAATAGAAAATATCTATGAACATCTCAACCCATTCAGTTGACATGGTTAGGGAGTAGTAATATAACTACTGAATAAATATTTATACACCCTTAGACTGTATGACACAAGATATTGGTAACAATAAAAAAAATTAACTAACATTAAAAAAAGGTTTTATGATAATGACTAAATTGTTGGTAAAGTTGTTTAAGGAATATAGTAGGGCATTTGTCTTTGTATAAAACCTGGAGAAAGATATAATTATATTGTGTGTGTTTGCAAGACTTTTCATGAACTCCAAGTAGTAAATTAAAAAATTATAGTGTTGGTATTTTACTAAATTATAAAGTAGCCATTGTATACATATAAAATTAAAACCAAATGTTAAAAAATTGTGTATGGTTGATCTGTGGTGCAGGCTGTAATTAGTGAGTCTATATTGTAAACATTAGTACTAATGTGTACAGTGTTGATTCATCAGCCAAGTTTCAATAAAATCAGCAACACTGTACAATGAACTCAAAACATTTACTCACAGGTAAAGATTAAACATTAGAAAATAAAAGTATAAAAGAGGCATTATTATGCTACAGCTTATGTAGTTGATAAAAAAACCAGAATGATATAGAAGTAAATATAATACTATAATAAAAAACATATTTAATTGAATTTAAATAATCACTATGTATAAACAATTACTTCAATTAGTTAAACTATATTGATATAAATATATATATATATATATGTACTTTAATTAAAAATAAATAAATAACAATATTTTTTTTTTCTTTTTAATAGAGTTTTGTTATTTTAAGGCCAAATTTAAATATTGCTGATACACACTATTGTTTACCAACACTCTTTACCAGACTAAGAAGGTAGAATTATAAAACCTAAGAGTTCCCACTGACCAAAATTATTATTTCTTCTCAACATTCCCAACAAGTAGTTTAATAAAATGATTTTATTAATAAAAGTAGAGCAGCCAGTTATAACCCTCCACATATGTTACAATAACTACCTACATAATTGTTGTAAGTAATTTATAATTAGGTAGTATGACCTATGAGTAATGTAAATTGTTTCAAACTGAATTTCTGTATAGGTGTCAATTTGCAAGGAATATGATAGGTAACCCACGCATGTGAATCACAACTTCAAACTTCTATACGGTGCTGCGCTCGAAATTAATGAATAATGAAATCGCAATGTCGACTAATTCCTCATATGTAGCTACAAACGACGATGACGTTGGTCTGACTATCGTACTGATTGAAAATAATGTAACATATTAATTTTTAACAGTTTGCCTATCGGAAAAAGCCGACGCACCAGGTCTGCGCAATTCTAGCACCCGATATAAAACATAAAGAAACGACCAGTGCTCACCTCATCATAGCTCTCTTTTTTCTCCCTTTCTGAGAGCGGCCGGCATCGAACCACTACCTTTACGCACTCGTTTAAAGCCGTCCGTGGCCGTGCTGATTTCTCCATCTTCCACTAACCCTTGGTGAAACCAAGTAAACATACGAAACACAAAGTCACCGATATCGATCCATCCGGGGTGTATACGACGGCATCACCTGTTCGAATCGATCCCGCAATATAAGAAACAAAGCCTTGCAAAACACAAAGTCCACTAAAATTAACAAATAACCACTGTAAAAACTATAGCACACGATTGAATGTTTTTATTCGCAAGAAAATAAATAAAAATCGTAATTTTTAAACAGTGAATATTTATAACGACCGCCACCAGCGGACGTTTCTTTTCGACTAATTTTTTAATAAAAATGACAGAAATGATAGATAAAGCACCATCTATAAAAATTCACATAGATAAAGTACAGTCAGAAATATCAATATTACCATATTAAATATTTTTAATTTAAAAATATAATCAAAAATGAAAAGAAAATTTACTAGTTTTAATAAATTTTAATTGAGTTCTTAAGTTTTAAGTAAAACTAACGAAAATATTATACCAACCAGCACCAGCATTTAGAGTAGACATAGCCTCTCTAATCTGTGGAGTAAAACACTTCTTGGGGGTTATTAATCTATTTTCATTGTAAAATAAAAAAAAAATGTTTTGTTTTGTTTACATTTTTTACAATAACAATTAATCAAATAATTTTATGTTCTACCTGGGTTTTCTTCTATAGTTTGTGTAATAAAGTCTTAAGATTAAATCAACCATGTCTGCAAATTTAACCATTAATCTTAAAAGAGCCAGCAAAGTTTACAATGAAGGTGTAAGTTTATTAGAAGTTTTACTATGTGATTTTTATTCTATTTCATTCAAAACATATAAAAATAACGTATTTCATTTTACATAAGGAAATAATAGCCGGCATAGTAGTGGTGGAAAGCAGCGGTGACTTACGTCATGAAGGTTTAACGCTTGTTATGGAAGGATTCGTCAATCTGCAACTTAGTACCAAGAATGTAGGCATATTTGAAGCTTTCTCCAATAGTATCAAGGTGAGATCTAAACTAGAGTATTCCCAACTTCTAATGTATGATATTTCATGTACATTTTTATGTTAATAATCAGCCTACCTATGCTGACTGTTTCACCTTTATTAATAGTAATACTAGTGTTCTGGTCAGTAGTAATAAGAATTAAATGAACAACAATTTTATTCAATTCTAATAAGTCAGAAGATACCAGCTTCATATGGGCTAAGTCACAATGAGATGAGTTTGCTATTAAGTAACAAACTATTTTACTATTAAATACCAATATCTGCTTTTCTAAACGTTTTGCACTCTGATGTCTAAGCCACTTTCATTTTACATGAAGACCTCTAACATAGCTTACTGAATGGCCACACTCTGAAGAATGAAGAAAATGATGATCATTTTTCGATAATTCAAAAATGAATTTGAAAAGATATGGTTTAAGACTAGAATTTAATCTTAGGTCTGTTGAATGCAGTTGTCCAACTAAGCTAGTCCATATTGCTAGTCCTCTAATAATTATTGTTTAATTCTAGCCCATAAATTTAATAACCACATCAATGGAGCTTGTTCCACCGGGAAAGATTCCTAGTGGAATAACAGAAATACCTTTTGAGGTGCCTCTACGAGCTCGGCAGGCTGTGTCCCCTGGATATCCTGGACTACTGGAAACATATCATGGAGTCTTTGTGAATGTTATGTACATACTAAAGTGTAATATGAAGAGATCATTTTTAAATAAACCCTTAAATGCTAGCTGCCAGTTCTTTGTGCAATATAAACAAGTAAGTACATATGTTGTATCTAGTTAACAGTATAAAATCGAACTTTTACCTATTCTACTCTGGGGTAGACAGAAGACATTGAAACAAAGATTGGTTGGTTATGGTATTGTGGGCTCCCCAAAATTAATCAACCTTAAATTGATGGATGAAAACTGTCCCTGTGTCATACTGCTAATAGAGTATGACCTGTTCAAGATTTCACTTCTATTTCAAATATATTTTTACTATATCTGTTTGTGTTGAAAATTATGATTATAATAAAAATTAAAAAGAAAAAAAAAGAAAGTAGGTATTTATATCTTGTAATCATGGTGGCAAGATCAAATATAGAAAATTTACAGGCATACTTTCTCCATATATGTATTAACTATGGAAATAATTGATTGTTATATAATTTACTTATTTATTTAAACTTTAATGCACAGTAAAATTCTATGTACATTTGGTGGACTTAATACCGGACGGTGTCCTTTACCAGTCAACCATTGGTCAAACTGAGAAATATGTAGGCGGTGCATTTTTGAATAGAGAAAAAAATAAAGCAATATAAAAATAATCTGTTTTAACAGAACTGTACGGAAATGTAAAAAAATGAATAGCTGACTGAGCTACAAGACAGTTTGCTGCTCATGTTTAATAGTACAAAAAGAAAATCAATTAAATCATTGAATGTTTTGGGTTGTTACTCATTTCATTTAGATAGTGTTTTGTTGTGTAATGAAAAGGTTACAAGGAAACATTTTTTTTTTTATTGTTTTGTTGGTGTCAGTTTTGTTAATATGTAATTGGTGACTTAAGAAAATGTTGTGTACATCTGTAATTGGTGTAAATGTAAGATGCAAGCCCTGTATGTCAATTAAAATCAATGTCTGTATTTAGACTGTTGATGCACCTTTAAAAAAAAAAAATCTCTGTAACCTTTTCATAAAATTCTACTAATACAGACTAATGATATCATCAGCCTTTAAATAGTTAAAGGCTGCTATGAAAGGTTCAGCAGTGGACAGCCACTGTTGAATATAAACCTCCTGTTTGGGGGGTTTTGCCAGTAATTGCCTTGCAGGCAATGCAAGCACGCGCTATACTTGCCAGGCATATTGACAACCACAGTTAGTTATAATGATATAATATGTAATATTTGGGGGGAAAGGGATTGTTAGTAATGGAGATTGAGAATCCCATTGCTAGCAATATACCCAGCCAGGTCGACCTCCTCGCCTCCTCTGGAAACGATCATGATTAATTCCTGATGAATTCATCATGATGGGCTAACTGGCCTGTTTTCATTCTCATCTACCACCCTTCACTGGTGCTCCGCCAGCGTATCCCGTTAGTGCAGGCGGAGTTACCATCCCATTTTCACCCTTCAAAAAAATGAAATATTTTAGGTAATTGATTATATTTCCTAATTATTTCAGCAAGAGCCAGCGCCACTGAAGCCAGTGCGCTGTGAGATAACACCGTCTACTATACGAGCGTCCGGCTCGGCCAGCGGCAGCGGCCGCACTGTTATGCCTCAATTTCAGATTTACGCCGAAATAGACACTACAGTTTGCCCATTAGATAAACCATTGACTGGGAAGGTAAAGGATATTAAAAAAATCAGGATTTCTCTATAACACCTTTATTTTGTCAAATTTAGCTGTGAAGTGATTTATTTAACAATTAAAATAAATTCCATTAAAAAAGATAATCAGATTTTTTGTATATAATTGAAGATGACTATAGATACTATAGAAGATAATTATAAAATTGGACAAAAATGGCAATAAAACATTTAAAAAAATTGGAAAAAATTTAAAAAATTAATTGAATTGAGGAGCGCCTCCTTTTTTTTATTTATTTATTTGAGAAAACTAACAGTGACGAAATAAAGAATAATGCATAATATTAATCAAAGAAAACATTGAGTAAATTTGCCACCAACACCGTTTACCACAGTTTTAAGACAATTAAAAATAAATGTTCTGTCTCAAGTAATTCTCATAATATTTGTTTGCTTATGACAGATCCGAGTAGATGAATGTTCCGTGCCTATCAAGTCTATAGAACTGCAGCTGGTGCGTGTAGAGACGTGCGGCTGTGCTGAAGGCTACTCCAGGGATGGTATGCTTGCTCACTTCTAATTATAGAATTTTGTTGCCAAATTACTTATATTATGGAATATCGTTGTTACATCTAGTACTTATATACTTTTTGCTATATATGTATACTTTACACATGTACCTGTAAAGATAAATGGGTTCTAATATGTTCTTCTGTGACATTAAGATTATTTATACAATATTCAGAGGGAGACTTTGTACAAAAGTCGTTTGCTTGGGTATCTCTGTCTCATTCGTATTTCAACCGTAAAGCAGTTGTATTTGCATGGCTGTGTTTCGGTTTGAAGGGTGGGATATGGCGTGAATTTACAGGGTACAGAGGAATAACACCTGTCCTCAGGAATGGCAACGCATGTTGGGGTATCATGGGCGAAACAGTATACTCTGTTATGTCCATGGTACTGCTCATGTCTATAGGCGATCGTTACCACTTTCCATCAAGTGGGCCGTCAGCTTGTTTGCCATTCTAAGTTGTATAATAAAAAAAAACTTAATCTCATGAAAAATATATTGAAATTTGATTGGTAAATATGTCCTAGTGAATCTAGCTGTTACTTGCATTTCATATTTCAATTAGTAATGTACTGCACTGCTTTCAGAACAAGTATATTTTCATACTATTCAATAACCTGAAAATTCGGATGCATACTTTTAATCCGAATTTTACCGACCTACTGCGAACTAAGTACTTACCTAGGTACTTAATTACTTGCTACACACAATACCAACTTACAACAACATCTAATATTGTGTTTTTTTAACGTGTGATAATGGAATGGTCACCGCGCCTGCGCTATCGGTATTCGCTCGCTGGGCACCACTGAGGGACGATAAGTGAGGATGAAAAGCAGGTCAGTTAGTTAATCGTGACGAATTCCCCTGATAGGCCAAGGTCGACCTGATAGGGTGTATTGCTAATTATAGGGAAATCAGATCCTATTACTAACAATCCAACTTTGAATGTTAATACATGTTTTTTTTTTATCTGTAATTGCAGCAACAGAAATCCAGAACATCCAGATCGGGGACGGCGACGTGTGCCGCGGCCGTGACGTGCCGCTGTACATGGTGCTGCCAAGGCTCTTCACCTGCCCCACCACTACCACTGTCAACTTTAAAATTGGTACTTATATACTACGAGTAATAGCTGTATCCCACGGCTTTGCATGCATTCATAATTGTTTAAAGTATCATATGTGATTTTTTTTAATGGATAATAATGGAATGTCTGTGCCAACGGTATACGCCTGCGGGGCACCAATGACAGATTTTAGATGAGAATGAAGATACTAGTCACTTAGCACATTGTGATGAATACACATGGAATTCAGCACATTGGTTTCCAGGGGGGACCATGTGGAGGTCGACCTGACAGGGTATTCTGCTAGCAACAGGACTGGTAATCCACATTAATAACAACAACTCCCCCCCCCCCCCCCCATATTATATGTGTTAAGATATAGCCTACTCTACTATATTATCTAATATTTTTTTCTTTTCAGAATTTGAATTAAATATTGCTGTGATATTTGAAGATGACTATTTGGTGACAGAAAATTTTCCAATTCTCCTGTTACGAAGCAGATAAGAGGACATGCTACTATTTAAAATAGGATTTAAGGCTAAATAAGTCATGTACAGTATATTTAATTATATGGTTTACCATTCAATGTATTGTAATTTTTTTTATACAACTTAGAATGGCAAGCAAGCTGACGGCCCACCTGATGGAAAGTGGCAACCGTCGCCTATAGACATGAGCAGTACCATGGACATAACAGAGTATACGGTTTCGTCCATGATACCCCTCATGCGTTGTCATTCCTGAGGACTCAGGTGTTATTCCTTTGTACCCTGTAAATTCACACCATATTCCACCCTTCACACCAAAACACAGCCATGCAATCACAACTGCTTCACGGTTGAAACACGAATGGGACACAGGTACCCAAGCAATCGACTTTTGTACAAAGTCTCCCTCTGGAAAATATCTTGCAGGTCTAGTCTGTTAGTTAAATGAAGTTATTTATATTATTTAGAATAAACATTCTCAACTCAATTTTTTTATTAATAAAGCTGTAAAAGTTATACTAAATTCATGTTTAGTACACAAATGTATGTGGAAGTTAAATAAAGCTTCTGTGAGAACAGATATTATACTCAATTGGTATGGTACGAATATGCTACAATCACATTAATAGTAGTGAATGAGCAACTGTTACACTGATGCATGAACGAGTGTAGAATAAATATGTAATTAATGTCAGTAGCCTCACCATTTTTGAACACTTCATCTACTGCATTACACAATTTAGGAGTAATATTTTACTATCAAAAATCATATCTCTTATATATTAATAATAATACACGAAATTTGTAATACAATTGTCTCGATTCTGAGATACAATTTCTCTAAACTTCTCTTAATATTTTAATTAATAATAAATTGAATGTAGCTGCTACTGTATAGTTTCGTGGAATTACTGTTTTATGAGCTAATATAAACTAAATTTCTAATACATTTAAGGTATAATTATTGTAAAAGTAATTTGTAATGGTTTGTAGATTTCGTTAAAATAACAAAATATTAAGGCATGAGAGAAATGGCCCCTCAAAATTAACCCCAGTGTCTTTCTCTGTATTTTATTGTATGAAATATAAATAATAAAATAAGCTATTAACGTTTTTTTAGTACAATTTCATATTATCATATAAATAGCTTTTAACTACCTTAATCCAACCGTTTTAAAAATGTTTACAAGCCTGACTTAAAGGTGTACCAATATTACATTCAGAAAATAATAGCATTTTATTGTATAATCGCTTCGTCAGTTTTTTCTGAAAAATGGCGCCATAAGCATTAAATCCTTTTAGTGCCATTGATTTTTACTCATATCTACTTAAAAATGCCAAAGAAATCTTTGTCGTGTTGATGTCATTTACCCTTGACTCTAAAAAAAACTGTATCTCGTCCAAAAAATGATCCAATTTTAATATTTTTTTTACAACAAGCTAAACAGCGACTGATTTCACGAACGCTCGTGGCACTTTTAGTTGCAATGCGCACGAGCGCGATGGCGCTTGTCGGCACTCAAAGGGTTAAATAGCAATAGAAAAAACTAATACATAAATAAATAATTCCTTATAAAAATTATAGTTATTAAATCGCTCTGTAGAGGTAGTACTAACGGTCGCTTGCTAGCTGTTTTTGAGAAATACATATAAAACATCTTAAACATAAAAATTTTTACTAGTTTTTGACTATCTCAAATTATTTGCGGGATATATAATCGACATAATAAGTGAACGAATACAAACTTCTCAAAATGTATAAAACCACAGACATTATTTTACCATATATGATTGCTTTACGCTTCAACATATCTGATGGCAAGGAATTAGACCGGCTCCCTGCCAGCACCGGCCCACGTAGTAGCCACGGACCTCCCATAAAACCACAGACATACAATTGCAATTGATTTTATTTTTCCATGTTCGTCTTCATCCGATTTTTCTTTAGATGGAACAGGCAATAGTCATTTTCCCATACAGCCAAGTCTTATTTTGGTAGTTTCTGATTCAAATCCATATTAAAAGATATAAAGCTATTATTATTATTTCTATTTCTATAACAATATATAATACAATAGTGTATATTATGCTTTATCCATAAATATCAGTTCAGTATCAGAAATCCAGCAAAGTAGTAAGTAATAAATAAATAGGTATGTAAAATTCAAAGTTGGTGAGTGTGCCTTGAATATCGTGCCGTGTTTTCTGCTTTTAACCGACTTCAAAAAGGGAATGTTATGTTCTAGTTCCACTTTCTTTGTTCTTAGATTCCACTACACATTTTTTCATCCATATATATTCAGCAGATTGTCAATGAAGATAGACATTGTACAACTTTAGATCTAGTGAATCAGGATGTGAGCAATGCAGCTTTTTTTATACAACTCAGAATGCAAACGAGCTGACGGCCCACCTATAGATATGAGCAGTACTATGGACATAACAGAGTATACTGTTTCGCCTTTGTTTGTTATGTTATTCCTCTGTACCCTGTATATTCACTGCCATATCTCACCCTTCAAACCGAAACACAGCCATGCAAACACAACTGCTTTACGGTTGAAACACGAATGGGACAGAGGTATCCAAGCAAACGACTTTTGTACAAAGTCTCCGTCTGGTATAATTGATATGATATGTTTGATTGATGAATCATCATTGACATGGTGCGCAAAATCTTCGCCCGTGCCGATGACCGTCTGCACCTTCACCTTGACCTTTCGGACCTTGTCCCGCTGCATGCACGTCCTCCTGACGGCCGCCCTACTCTCAGAGGGTTCCTAAGCACGGGCTAAGGATGATGTTCCTTTCAACGCAACGCATCCTCAACCCATAATCCTTCTCTTCTCTTTGGAATTAAAGCCGGGTAAAATAATTTGTCCCGTAGATAGGTGGGACTACTCGTCCTAGAGGGAGCGGAAGGGGGTGGGGGACAGACATGTTTACTAAGTCAGGTCGACCTCCACGTGTTTCCCCCTGGAAACCATCGTGCTGAATTCCAGATGTATTTATCACGATGGGCTAAGCGGGCAGTTTCATCTTCACCTATCATTTGTCTTTGATGCCCCGCCAACGTATACTAATAACGAAGGCAGGTACCATTCTATTTTCATTTATTAAAAAAAACCGTCCTAAAGGGTTGAGAAGACTTGATTGATAGATTAACTGATGAATGACTTATTAACACAAATGACAGTTGACTAGACAACACTTTTAGAATAGTCTCTGAAATCTGTGGACAACTAAATAAAAAAAAAAAACAATCGATATTTATTTACCTGCAAATATTTGCTTTGTTTTGTTTACATCATTCTCTAATCTGTAGACAACACTCAATTGATATTTACCTGAAAATATTTACTTTTTAAGATTTGTACCTTATCAACCGAATTTGCTTAAAATGCATTTAAATAGTTATATATAATCAGATTCAATAAAATTTACGCGAAATGTATCACTATCAAAATCATCCCTATTACCAAGATCATTCTTATCAAAATAACCAACAATGCACAAGTTTTCAGCAAGAGAAATCACAAAACGGTTCATCCTCCATTCAACATAATGTATATACAGTTTTAGAAAATGTGCCTACGTCCCAAGACTATACCACTACTGTAAATAAAAATAAAAGTGAAGTTCCTCCAAAAGAAAAATCAAAATTATACACCAAAAAATCTGTAGTAGATACTTCTAATTTTACTATCGAGGAAAGATTAGTTGCAGCGGTTTGGGTGCATGAGAGAAAACGGTCAAAAACCACATTAGGACATGTAGGTAGTGTTTGTGCCTTTTATAATATCTCTATATATGTTTTTTTTTTATGGTTGATAATGGAATGGTTAAGGATAAGCAAACTGAAGTGGCAATGGCTGGTCACATAGCTCGAAGAACCAACAACCGATTGGGAAGAAAGGTTCTTGAGTGACAACCCCTTATGGTCAAATATAGTATATGACGATCCCTCCACTAGATGTAGTGACAACCTAAAATGCACTGCAAGGAGTTAGTAGATGCAGGTGGGACTCAGGACCGTTCATTATGGTAGTCTATGGTGGAAGCTTATGCCTAGCAGTGGACGGATAATGGCTGAAATGATGATGATGATGAATGGAATGGTTACCCCACCTATGCTAACGGTATACAATGGCGCGGCACCAGTGAGGAATGATAGATGAAAATGAAAGAGCAGGTCAAATAGTCCATCATCATAAATTCCACAAAAATTACTCATGATGGTTACCAAGGAGAATTGAATAGAGGTCAACCTGATAGAGTATATTGCTAGTAGTAGAACTGATAAATTGCCATTACTAACAATTCCTTTCCCTATATATGGGGGTAACCTTTATACTACATACATACACACATATCTGTCACACCTGTCTCCCATTAGGGCAGGCAGAAACAATGGAACACCAAATGCTTTGATTCAAACAAACCTCTTTCGCTTCTTCCACATTCATCAATCTTTATACTCTTTGGTTTAATATGTAATATGATGTCAAGTATTTTATTTATAATAAACATACATATTAAATTGCTTTACAATATTATGTTAAAAAAAATTGATTGTTATTTTTTGGTAAAATAATATTTTTTTAACAATAATAGAGTGGCTTATAGTGAAGTTCCATTGAGCTATATATGATAGGTAAAGATAGTGTTGGCAAAGAATTCAAATATTATCATGACAAATTGGTTTTAATTTAATTTCTTATTTAAAAGCTGTGCTCTTGTCGGTGGAGCTCTTGCCACTCACTATGATTTTCAGCGAGTCTCTTCATACAACACAACACTAAGTTTTTCCTTAATCTGCCTAATGTAACTATGCCTTGGTCTGCTCCTTTCCCTCCTTCCTTCTATCTTATAATATTCATAAGTTTGTCATGTGGTAATGAGTGTCCTGATATTTTTTCCCTTCTGATCGTAATATTTTTTTTATAATTTGTGTCTTATCCTGGACAACAAAATAAATAGACACCTAAGTTTTAACTAAGAAGCTTCTACAACCGGGGAAAGGGATTATTGGCAATGGAATGTGAGAGCTCCATTGCTAGCAATATGCTCTATTGACCTCCATATGGTTCCCCTTGAAAACATTCGAGAAAAATTCTTGTTGGATTCGTCATGATGGGCTAACTGACCTGCTTCATCCTCATCCATCACCCTTCACTGGTGCACCGCCAGTGTATACTGATAGCGCGGATGGTGTTACCATTTCATTATCACCCATTAAAAAAAAACATATCTACAACCTATTACTATATATTTATTGTAGATAAAAAAAGAATTTCGCCAGAGATTTGGCCGAGAACCACCGGCAAAAAACACATTACTAGCATGGGAGCGCAAGCTGTTCACACTTGGCAGTGTACATGATGCACCGCGACCGGGACGGCCTATAAATCGGTATGTGATAATTTGTTTACTCAATCGATAGCATTTTTGCTTCGAAATATTTTATTTAAAAAAAAAATTATCACTTGTGTAATTATGATGAAAGACCAATGCTCAGAAATGGAATATTTGACATTCAACTACCGAGCACTATTATGTGTAAATATATTGTATCAAAACGATAAAAGTACAATATAATTAATAGGACAAATAGATATGGAAATTCTTGAAATTGGTTTACAAGCTGAGAGGCACTCTCACATATCACATTTGTTTTATACAACTTAGAATGGCAAACAAGCTGACGGCCCACCTGATGGAAAGTGGTAACCGTCGCCTATAGACATGAGCAGTACCATGGACATAACAGAGTGTACTGTTTCGCCCAAGATACCCCCAATGCATTGTCATTCCTAAGGACTCAGGTGTTATTTCTCTGTACCCTGTAAATTCACGCCATATCCCATCCTTCAAAAACACAGTTATGCAAACACAACTGCTTCACTGTAGAAACACTAATGGGACAGAGGTACCCAAGCAATCGACTTTTGTACATGACAGGCAAGTTGAAAAACCTTTTTTGAATTTAGTTAAAATTAAAAACACACCAAAGTCTACTGAGGAAATCTCAAGATAATTCAAACTAGTTTTACACATTTTAAATTTTATAATTTATAGTCGAATTAAAATTGAGGAAGTGGCAGCGTCAGTGCGGTCAGCGCCGTCCTTGTCGCTGCGGGAGCGCGCGGTGGCGCTGCGGCTGTCCCGCACGACTCTGCACACCATCCTGCACAAGGACTTGCAGCATACCCTCCCCACGAGTAAGGATGAACCACTTGGCACGACTAAGACCACACGTAGGTGGTGCTATTTTTTTTTATCATGTAATTTGGCAATAGAAATAACTGAGACAGAAGTACTTGTGTAGAAAACTGTATAGTGGAGGACACTCCTGCTATGTTGCCTCTAGTCTTGGTAAAGTGTTTAATGCACTAAGAGTTTCCTTGTCTTGTTAGGATTTTCTACGTTTATTGAGACTAAATAATTACCTTTTTTTTTATACGACTTAGAGTGGCAAACAAGCTGACGACCCACCTGATGGAAAGTGGTAACCGTCGCCTATAGACATGAGCAGTACCATGGACATAACAGAGTATACTGTTTCGCCCATGATATTTATATCTATAGGTAAGGGTTACCAAATTCCATCATGTGGGATATCATCATAAATGGCGTAAAAAATTTAGGACTATTATGAAAATTTAAAAAATAGCCAAATCAGACTAGATTAGATAGTAATTGTAATGTGTCGACACACTTGCCAGCGAAGAGCTTTTTTTTATTTATTTATTTATTTATGTTTACAGGAAAACAAATAAAGAAAAGAAGGGCGAAAACAGAAAATATAAAAAAGCCACAAGCTACTGCAGCGCAGTACGATAACTCGGCCTTCGCACAACCTGCCGCGGTCTCTAGCACTCCGTCTGCACATTTGCTCGCTACACATGGCTTCACATAGTTTTTTTTAAAGGAATTTAACACAATTACTAAATATAGACCGTTAACTTCGTGCGTCGTTCCTGCGGGGCGATATACGGCACGAGGGACGCTTTTCAACCGACTTTTAAAAAAAGGAAGTTCTCAATTTGATGTTTTTTTACCACAATTGTTTTGATGTTTTGCCACAATTGAAGTCGGTTTTTTTTATGGAACATAATTATACATATCCCTCCGAGTACTTGTTCGGGAGTGTTGCGCTTAATATTGCCATATACAATTATGTGATGTTAGGATAAACAATTTATAATAAAGTTATAAACAAATCCTTTTCATTTTTATTAATTATTATTTTTAATGAATAAATAAATAAATTTTCCATAAAATATAATTATGACACAGCTCCTGGTAAGAGGATGCCCTATTCTGCATTGTCTTTACTAAGAGCCCACTAAGTCGAGAATCTCATCGGGCATCAGTTCTTCGACTAGACTGCCCCGTAATAATTCAGCTTGTAGATCTTTCGGTATATAAAATGGTATATTTATACACATAGAGGAAGCGTGTGTCACACGGGCTCCACACTGTAGATTACTAACAGATGTACAATTAATTATATCTTGGCTGCAAAGGATGAGGGAACAACAAACAAATACAGCAATGAGTACAATATCAACAATATACTTTATTAATTTAAAGGTTAGGTAACACAAATGGCATAAATGGTATATAATCTAATAATACCTATCTATTTACATAGTTGCACATTTACATTACTTTTGTAATGTGATACCGTTTTACACTTGATGTGACACAAACCACGACGATGTAATGTTGTCTAATTGTTACTACAAAAATATTGCTATACATATACTCTGGTATAATATACCTACTGAGATGCATTGTATACATACAGCGTCGTTACAATTCTGTCCCATAACTTGCCAACTTCGCGCACACTCTTAGACACTCGCACGGAATCGACGTGGTATACCATTTGCGTTACCCTATAAACATCAGAACTCCCCATCCGTACGCTTCTCACTACTAGTCTGCGATTTTATGGATGTGATCGAAGTTGACAGGCTATAGCTCTTAAACAGCATCGATCGCAATGCGATATGTAAATACAATAATAATAATGTACATTAAGTAATTAAATCAATTGAGCATAAAATAATAAGAGACGAAAGACTATAAAATATTTATATAAAAATTCCTACTAAGTACAGGTACAGTGTACGTTAATTCCGTTAAAAGATTATTCTGGTCCGACCACAGGGTATTTTTTTGTACAACTTGGAATAGCAAACAAGCTGTCGTGCCACCTGATGAGAAGTTGTAACGGTCGCCGTATACTGTGGTAAACCATGGGCATCACAAAACGCTCATGGTACTTCTGAATAGTAGCCATTTTTAAGGACTAGGGTGTTACGTCTCTACATTCCATTTTGTAATCTAATGCCACACGCTAATAATATGGTTAATCAAAAACGACGCAGCCATGTCTCAAGAAGTAATGTCTCTTACATAGAAAAAGATTTTTTTATAAATGACGGCAAACGAGCATGTGGGTCAGCTGATCGAAAGTGAATACCTACCGCCCACAGGCAACCGCAACATCAGAGAAATTGCAGGTGTGTTGATGGCCTTTTAGAAAGGAATATGCTCTTTTTGACGGTTTCTATATGGTATCTGTTCGGAAATTTGCTGGGAGTCGGTTCCATACTTTGATTCAACTAGATCATAATCTAAAGAGAGAAACTGTACCTAGACTAGCAGGTTGATAGAAGTTATAACGAATTTAAAATTTACTATTAAATTCCATTCTAATAAATCTTATAAAAACTAATTAAGTCCTCGCCAATATTTAATTTAAATTTTTTATTAGATTTCTTTTTGGTGATATACATTTTTGGCATTTTTATTGACATTTGCAAATGATGCCCAAAATTATATGTAAACAATAACTCTAAGATATGTAAATTAAATAATTAATATATACAAAAACGCAACGGCGCAACAGCAAGCACGTCACTTGCGTAAAAGTATTGTAGAGGTCAATTAATAAAACTAACATTTCTAGACATTGAATGAATTTTAAATTACTTCAATAACACTAAACAATAAGTTGAAAACATATTTAAAACATTTCAAAATACGCAAAGCGTAATAATGTTGTAAAAAGTGAGTTTGTCAACTGATTGGATTTTTTTTCCACGGGGACATACTTTGCTTAATTGGAGCAAATTCTCAAAAGATAACGTCTGTCAATCTATTAACTAGAATTATCTAAAGTGACTCATGTTCGGTTGAGTCCCAAATATTTGCCTCATTCCTTATAACACAGGATATTCTAACTTGGAAACGAGGCGGTTCGTATGCTTGGGTGGTACTTATAATTCTTCGAACATCTCTTTTAATTTCATTACAGATTACTGTAATTAATTTAAAAGTATTTTTCGAAGTTCGGCAACTGTGTCTTGTCATACAAATTAGAAAAGTATAACACGAATATCGAGTAGAAACAATCGTTACGACAAAAAAGCTAAACAAGCTGTCTGGCGTACAAACGGTCTGAAAAATGTTAGGTCATGGGACGCGGTAAGTACAGTCGGCAACAAAAGTCATTAAACATTCACCTTTATTCGAATTTAAAAAATCAATTCTGGTTCTATAACCTTATTGTATGTTCATGTAGGCAAATGAGCATAGAGATTTTGGATATTAGTATGTTCACCAAATTTTGGTGGTATCATATAGGTTAGATTTACACTATGATGCCGGTCACGGCTTGATCTCGATTTGGTAAAATATTATCATGTTTTTAAATTTATTTAAATAACTCTTGTAATAATAATAAATATTTATTGTGCATGAAAGAGATATGAAAGCAATTTCTTACAGACAACTTGATATAAATTGTTAAAAAGTACAGAGAGAAATGTAGATGGTGCCAGTCAAACAGTAAGTAAAAAAAAGTAACCAAATAAAATGTATATTATTTCTAAATATCATTTATATAAAAATAACAATAAATTACCTAAACATACGTATATAATATAAATAATAGTACATAAATATACTAAATAGATCAAGGTAAATAACATGTAGGAAACATCGAGGCAAATTATAGAGATGTGAAATGAGATTTCACCTGCCTCTTGAACGAGGCAAGAGATTGTAATGTCTGTTAGTCTATATTGACACAAATTTATAATTACAATATTTTTTGTTGTAAAACAAAAACAAAAGTTGAGACGTGCCCGTTTTTAGCTGTAATTGCATTCGCAGGGGGCAGGAGAATCATAAAAAAATTACTATATAATAATACTTGTGATTGATTAAAAAAAACTATTTCTAAAGCTGTACAGGTCAATTCTATTGCAGTTACGATCGAACGTGAATGTTTGTACTCGATAATATTTTAGCAGCGGGAGATCGGATCAAGACCCGTGACCGATGTTAGAGGGTGGAGGTGAGGGTAGCGCGGCGGGCTCAGGAGGCTGGCGGCAGCGGCGGCGGCGGCGGTGGCGGCGTGTACGAGCGCTCGGGCTCGGCGGCCGCGCGCGGCTGCACGTGGTTGCGGCACAGCCCGTAGAACCGCTGCGGCCGCAGGTTGCGCTTCAGCGCGTCGAACCTGCACATCACACCACAACACACACCACGTCACCAAGTCGTCCAATACCACTTACAAATTCAATCTTTCTCTTCTTCCCTACTCGCGGAGTAGGGAAGTAGATACAATTTTATATGAGAAATCAGTTCAGGGTACGACAGGGCTGATATACTAGAACCATATATAGATATAAATACCCATATAGATTTACCAGAGGGAGACTGTACAAAAGTCGTTTGCTTGGGCACCTCTGTCTCATTCGTGTTTCAACCGTGAAGCAGTTGTATTTGCATGGCTGTGTTTCGGTTTGAAGGGTGGGATATGTCAGTGAATTTACAGGGTACAGAGGAATAACACCCGAGTCCTCAGGAATGGCAACGCATGGGGGGTATCATGGGCGAAACAGTATACTCTGTTATGTCCACGGTACTGTTCATGTCTACAGGCGACGGTTACCACTTTCCATCAGGTGGGCCGTCAGCTTGTTTGCCATTCTAAGTTGTATAAAATAAAAATACTAGAACGTAAGAAGCCCTAAAAATAAAAATAAAATGCTAGTATAAAAAGTTGCGTCACCTCCAGCCTACGTGCGCCATGCAGCCGACGCAGAGCGCGATGGTCCACGTGTAGCCGGGGAACCACGAGTACTCGGCGGAGGGGGCGCCGTTGAGCTCCGTGTTGATGGCCGTCGACACCGTCACGATGTCGTGCATGTATCCCCCTGCACTCGCAGACACATATTGATCGATTAACAAGCTCTGCAATCCTATATAGATACTCATTGTATTGCTTATCGTGGACCATTTACCTAAATTCGTGTAGTTGGAGTGCACGCCCTCGCTGGACATTGCGAATATGTGTTCCCGCCGCGCGATCTCCCCCATGCAAGACGAACAGCATAACACACTTTTCTGTAAATCGGCAAAATTAATTCATTCATTATATATTGTTTCATAACAAAAAAAAAAAAAACAAACGCCAACATATGTACGTTATTACCAAAAGTACACGACTTTTATTATAACAAAATATAAATATTACTAACAATGACAATGGAAATAGTCTTAATCAATAGTGTAAATCGCCATGTGGTCCTGACATAGAATAGGCCACTCCTTCCTTTCCCGTAGATGTCGTAAGAGGCGATTAAAGAAGCTTATAGATAAGGAATGGGTAGCAACTTAGAACACCTCAAAAGGTTTGACCGCGGTTGCCAACCTGCCTGCTAAGCGTCCTAACTACTCGCAAAACTCCCCCAATGGTAAATGCCAAAATAAAACGGCCCCCTAGTCCCCGACAGCTCCGCTATTCCAGACCAAAGTGGTAGTTATGATTAGGGTGGAGCAGTAGGTGCTAAGTATCTCCGGCAAAAATTCGGCTACTGGAGCTGGAAGAAGAGGTGAACAAGTTATACTGGGATATTATAGGATTATCTGAAGTCCGAAGATGGGGAGGATACGGTGATCCTTGAATTCAGTATCTTGTTCTACCACCGGGAGGGCGACCATCCGACCAATGGTGGTATCAGGTTCATCTTCCGCAAGTTCTTCGTTTATAATGTATTAAAGATCGAGAAAGTGTCGGCAAGGGTGGTATACGTGGTACTCAGAATTACCAACAGGTATTCGCTGAAGGTTATACAGGTATTTGCGTCGACCGTAACACACTGACGATGAGATAGAGGCAATGTATGAGGACATAATAAGAGTCATACACTTCTCTAATACTCAATACGCGGTATTGATGGGGGATTTCAAGGCGAAAAATAGGGAACTTCGATATCGGGCAACGAAACCCCCGGGGACAGCAATTGGCTGCCTTCGTGTAGAAGGAGGAACTCTTTATGATGGACTCCTTCTTTCAAAAGCGGTCATATAGAAAATGGACCCGGGTTGACCACGACAGTTACTAAACAAAAATGAGATTGATTTCATCATGACGACTCATCGCCATTTATTCAATAATGTCTCAGTGATCAACAGGTTCAAAATCGGAAGTGACTACCGAATGGCACGGAGCACATTGAACTTGTGTATTATAAGCTAGAAAGGTTTCGTTTGACGTCTACGCTCCGAACTTTGTATGCCCTTTTCCAAAAACGTGGTGCCCCCTGGAAACCATGGTGCTGAAAACCAGGCCCTTTAGACAAGTGGCAGGCGAGTTCGTCGAATGATAATAGCTGCAGCGTATACCACGAACTGTGCGAGCGACCGCGATCCTTCCTCGTGTGAGTGCAATGAGAGTGTGAGTTACCCGGCTGATGAGCTTGACCTCCATGTGCAGGCGCAGCAGCGCGTTGTCGACCACGAACAGCGCGAGCCGGTCGCGCGGCGACAGCGCCAGGTTGGACGCCACCCAGAACGACAGCGACACCGGGTCCTCCGGCAGCTTGTCTATACGCCAAACACCACACTACATTACTAATTGTACTCGTAAATACTAAACACTAGATAGCTATCCTATTTAGCTAGTATTATTAATACGGAATTTGATATTTCTTACACTATACACTGACTTCTCTTGTATTACATGGAGTATATATATTAATAAATAATATTATTGGAGAATAAATTCATGCCTTATATACGAGTATATATAAGGCATGAATTTATTCTCCTTGCTGATGATTAAAGTTTTTGATTTACTCAAGCTAGGGAATCTGTGATTTTGATCGAAGAATAGAATACTTACCAAACATTATAGTTTTGAAGTAGTCTTTGATGATCTGCCGCATACGTTGGTAGTCAAAGATCTCGTATAGGAACAGCGGCCACGGCGTCACCACCGCGTCCATACTGCGCATATGGCTATCCAGTCTGCGGGCAGAAAATATTATTATTTAGAAACCAGAAACTTTAATACAACCTGTTTAAAGAACCTATGTTGGCTCTTCAAAAAGGGAGGACTAAATCTTTAAGGATTCTTCAAGGTCGACGACGCGCATGTGATACTCCCAGAATTGCAGACATCCATAAGCTACGGTAACTGTTTACCATCAGGTGAACTGTAAGCTTGTTAGCCACCTTATGCAATATGTGCGGTACGTACGGCGTGGTCGTGCGCGAGGCCCGGCGGCGCGCGTCCAGGCTGGCGAGGCGAGGCGCGCGTGGTATAGCGTGCGTGCGGTACGTACGGCGTGGTCGTGCGCGAGGCCCGGCGGCGCGCGTCCAGGCTGGCGAGGCGAGGCGCGCGTGGTATAGCGTGCGTGCGGTACGTACGGCGTGGTCGTGCGCGAGGCCCGGCGGCGCGCGTCCAGGCTGGCGAGGCGAGGCGCGCGTGGTATAGCGTGCGTGCGGTACGTACGGCGTGGTCGTGCGCGAGGCCCGGCGGCGCGCGTCCAGGCTGGCGAGGCGAGGCGCGCGTGGTATAGCGTGCGTGCGGTACGTACGGCGTGGTCGTGCGCGAGGCCCGGCGGCGCGCGTCCAGGCTGGCGAGGCGAGGCGCGCGTGGTATAGCGTGCGTGCGGTACGTACGGCGTGGTCGTGCGCGAGGCCCGGCGGCGCGCGTCCAGGCTGGCGAGGCGAGGCGCGCGTGGTATAGCGTGCGTGCGGTACGTACGGCGTGGTCGTGCGCGAGGCCCGGCGGCGCGCGTCCAGGCTGGCGAGGCGAGGCGCGCGTGGTATAGCGTGCGTGCGGTACGTACGGCGTGGTCGTGCGCGAGGCCCGGCGGCGCGCGTCCAGGCTGGCGAGGCGCGCGTGCCGCAGCGGCGCGCCCGGCTGCACCTCCGGCAGCACCCGCACCTCCACGAACCGCATCCTGCACACCAAATGCTCAACACTTAATATTTTTAATCACTGTTTGTTCTTTATAATCTAATCATAGGCATTATTCACTAGTCATTCCCACAAAATGATAAACATTTTAAAAATTAGAAAGCCCAATTCATAGATTTTCCAAGTTCAAAATAAGAAGTGGATGTTCGTTTAGTTAAATAAGTTTGTGAGTGCAATCATCATTTCTAAAAACAATAAAAAGTATAATGGAGTATGATGCGGTATTGATTAGAGTATACCTCTTGTAAATGTGTATGGGCACGGAGCGCTTGGGCATGTCCAGCAACCGGAAGCGGTGGTTGGCGCGCGCCTTGAACGTGAGCGAGGAGGGCGCGTCCTGGCCGTCCACCAGCCCCGCCTCGAACACCTCGCACAGCACGCCGTAACCCGACACCATCGTGCCGCTCTCGCTGTGTCATACGTAACAAAACACCTTACATTTCATGACAGACAGTCTGCTATATATTTTAGATATGTAGGTTCCAAATAAGCTGACTGACTGAAGAATGACTGAAAACGTGGTTCTAAGTTTTCAGTCAGGGACCACATGCAATGGAACGCTGATATATCAAATAACATACAATTAGCTACTCTCGGTCACACAAATGCGATGACGACATAATGCCTAAGACGCTCACGCCCGGCATCAGCTCGCCAATTATCAGGTCTATAGAATATAGACAACAATGTACATTATATGTTCTGTGTGATGCGCCACAGTTAGCAGTGCACGCATTGACTACATGCATTGGCATTAGTATTTTTTTTATTCCACTGAGGTGGCAAACAAGCATACGGCCCACCTGATGGTAAGCGGTTACCGTAACCTATAAACGCCTGCAATACCAGGGGTATTACGCGCGGGTTGTCGACCCTGAAGAAACCTCTTTACCCCTCTTTTGAAGAACCCCATGCTGTAGTCTCTTGGGAAAACCTCGGCAGGGAGCCGATTCCATAACCTTAGGGAGGGACTGACCTATTCGAGGGAGAAAACATCTCTGAAACCGCGTAATACGCGACCATTTAGGCTATAGGGTATGAGCGTGAACTCCCTGTCGATGGCGAGCTGTACGATGGTAGAAAGTGGCCGTGGGCATCATATTGAAAAATTACTCTAAGCACAGTCCGTTGTACAAGTGGTAGAACACGCAGAGTGAGACAAATCTCTCCTAAAACTTAAGGGTTTGATACCACTTGTAATCCTGGGATTGTCAGAGGTCATCGATATGTATATTTATGTGAAAGAAGATCATGGTGATACATTGAATGTGGCAATCAATTAAATCAACTTTTGAATAATAATTAATTTGTATCACACTTCCTGCTGCACAAATGAAACAATACTCACTCAGGACAGAGCAGGCCAAATAGCTTGTCATTCCTGATGGCGCTGGCAAGCACGGCAGCGTCATGCGCGTGTGGCAGGAGCATAGGTACAGTCTCGCCGGGGAATACGGCTCCGTGGTGTGCCACCACTGGCACGCGGCCCACCCAGCCTGCTTCCAGCACACTGCGTCCGCTCATCGCCACCAGCCCCGCACCCATATACTGACCACATACCACATTACTTTATACATCTCATCATCACACCAGTATGGCCCCATCTCCCCAGGTAGAATAGCTCTGTCTTTAATTATGCTATTACCTACTCCAACTCATTGTATTTTTTATTTAAAACTACACTTATCAACATCACTTTAGTTGTTCATTCATTGAAAAACTGCTCTTTTCTGCATCTAAAGTCATCATCATCATCTCAGCCATTATCCTTACACTGGTGAACATAAGCCTCCCCCATAGACTGCCATAAAGAACGATCCTGAGCTACCTACATCCACTGACTCCTTGCAACGCATTTCAGGTCATCACTACATCTAGTGGGGGGTGGTCCTACACTGTGTTTATACTTATGTGGTTGCCATTCTAGAACCTTTCTTCCGCATCAGTTGTCAGTTCTTCGAGCTATGTGACTATCCCTTAGCCACTTCAACTTGCTTATTCTTTGAGCTATATCAGTTATTTTGGTTCTTTTGTGGATATCCTCATTTCGGATTCTATCACGCAAAGAGACTCCGAGCATAGCCCTCTTCATAGCCCGCTGAGTAGCTTGTAGCTTTAGCATACGGGCAATCATGTGAGATCATGTTTCGGTTCCATAAATCATCAATTGTATGTTGCCAGGTCCAGTCTGAATTAATTGCTTTTTATTTTTATTAGTAAAAACTTCTCCAGTAAACCATCAAAATTAGTGTAAATAAATAAATTAAATAAATTGTCAACTGAGAAGATCTGAGAAGTCTGCCAGAGAAGGTGACATAGGACCATCATCATACAATTAAAAAAAAAACAAAAAAAAACACAAATCTAATAATAATATTAGAAATTATTACATTACTTTAAAATTTCACTGGTATAATTGGCAATTTATTTGTTTGTTTCCTAAATAATACTTGGCACAATATTAGATTAGGAGGGATAGGTCAAAACTGCAGTGAAGTGGTGTTTAAGCAGCTTCAAGCTCTCAGTATTTTTAATTATATACATCATTATTTAATTTTTCACATTCATACCAGTCTACATTCAATCACCAATACTGCATACGCTGTTTAAAACTAGTAGAAGAAGAACTACTAGAAGTAGTAAATACTATATTACCGAGTGCGAAGCTGCGAGCGATATATCGAACTGCTGCTCCTCCTCATCTGTCTCTTCGTCTTCGTCTAGTCCTTCGCCCCCGCCACTGTCAGGTTCATTATGGTCACTATTGTCGACAGCTAAAAATATTATGAATATCAATAAATCACCTAAATTATTGGACAATAACAGAATATTGGCAATGTATTACAATAAAAAAATATGTAATTCTAGTTAAACAAAATAAACAACGTAGTTTTTTGACAGTCTAATGGAACCGGAACGCTAAAATGGAACACATTGCACTGTATTTATTTACCATTGTCTTCCATGATTCTTCTGAGTAATTCTCGAAGGAGCGCAATTTTGAAGCTTATAGCTAACTTACTTTTGTCAATATTTATCGGATAATTGTATTAAAGTATGCAGTACAATTTATCGAAGAAGACTTTATGACAATATGCAATCATATACAATAATGAAATTATCATTTATAAATCTGAAAATCGCGTTTTTGTTTTAGTATGTTTTCGAAGAGAGCTTTTGAAATTAACTTTCTTTTATTAAAAGAATTTACTTTATGCAAGTAGGTAAATAAGCTATTTTATATTAAACTAGATTAATTGCAACGTATTTATAAATTCTTTTTAGATATCACATTTATTAATTTTTTTATTTTAAATTATATTACAGCTTTAATTTTTACTATACAGATTACTGATGTGACCTATTAGCCTGCTTTATAAAGAGTTTTTCGTTCAGAAATAAAGTAGGGTAGTAGTAGTAATAGTAAGTGTACAAATGTATATTGTAATGTATAAAGCAAGTAATCCTAAGAACAAAATCCGATATCTAAGTAATCATTACAATATGCTGATAACAGTAGATTAATAATTTCTAAACACTTCTCAAAAAATAGTCAAATACCTACAATAGATAAATATTTGACATTCTATTCTTGACGTAGAATAGAATGTCAAATATTTATCTACAGTTGTCTAGATGTGATAAAATATATTTCTCATTCGATTATTGAGTTTGAATAGTATTGTTTAATAAATTCAGTAATCGAAATAGGCGTAATATCCGGTCCAAGATAATTTATGAGAAAATCAATATATAAATATACTATACTTTGGTCAACGCATTTCCATAGCTATTCAGCGTGGAAATGCAGCAAGTCTCCTAGGTACCCTACCAGCTGGCAGTGATGTTAAGGAAATTTTTTATCTTTAACTATTTAAATTTATTCCATTAGAAACATTTATCTCATATTATTTGTTAATTACACCTAACAATATAATTTATCTCATACACTGAGTAGTAAATATACAAATCATTAATCTTATAATTTTTTTTAATCTTTTTGGAGACACATTTATGTATAATAAAAGGAAAATTGTATACCTAGAGAGAAGAAAATCAAATACAGTTAATAACACTTTTCTGTTTAAAAAAAAAATTAAATTAGAGTTTATTATTTATATATAATGAGATTTAAAGAACACATTATGGAATTTTATTATGATCAATTCATACATTAAAAAAATACATTTCAAATAACCTTCAATTAGTTATCAAAATATTTTCATTCGATTAATAAAATTAATCGAGTATTTGAGTTCAGAAACTAGGCACTTATCTATTCTTTCTTCGTGTACTTATGCACGTTGACATGGACGTAATATTTACGACATTTCTAAGTTTTCGAACGTATCGCATCTCATGTCTTATAAGCTCTAATTAGAAATGAACTGCTTTTGATAAAATTGTCAAATTGCGTTAAAAGAAATGTGATTAAATAGTGGTCTATTACGTACAAGTGATCAAAATGTATCGAAAAATGGTGTGGTGTTACATTTTTGTATTGACTTTATTGGATATATCTCTAAATACTAAACTGACAGCTCAGGGAAAGAGTCACGGTAAAATCGATTTTAAATTTTACTATTAACTTGGTTTTTCTTATTTTATATATTGAAACTAATGTTTGTAGCCATATATTAGAAATGATAAAAAGCGAAACATTGAAACAACCGATATAAAATAAAATATACAAAAAATTAGTTGGCAAATTTCATCGGGCGGTAGTGCGCGATCTGATGTTATTTTAGATCGGGGCCGAGGTGGTCTTGTTTGTCATTTTTCTTGCAATGGTATTTTTGTCATAGGAAAGACGAGTATAGTCATTTCTTTCAAAGTATACGCAGGCTCTGTGCCGCTTGAGTGATTCGAAATCGCAACTGCGCGCCACCAGATGTTGGTCAGTAGATACCCTTATTTTCAGATGTGCTCACATTTATTTCATTTAAGCGACCTCTTAGAGACATATGTAATCTGATTCTAGTTTGTTATGAGAAATTAAATATTGTCTGATTAAATTTCTTTATATAAGGATAAAAAGAATATACAATAGTGTTTGTTTTACAACTGTTTATGAACAATTTAACAGTGTGTTGAGTTTATTTATTAATATCTTATAAGAAGATATACTATAACATGATAAACAAATAGACATTTACATATAAATGAAGCAAAGCTTGAATTATAGATATTATAATTATAGATTTTTTTATTGTCAATTACATATATATATATATATATTTAAATTAAATGATTTAAGAATTTTAATTTTGATTCTAGTCACTTGGATCCACAATTACACTCAATCATTTTCCTTTAATTTATTTATTTGCCTCATTTAGGTTGTTTAATTGTAGTAAATTATAATAAGTATATACTTTATATTTACAGGAATAACTGTCCACGATTCCTTAATTGAAGGGATATCCTTTCAGGTAAGTTTTCCATACTTGCTATTACTTGGAATTTGCTTGTATACAAAATATAGTTTAATGTAGTTTGTGACAAATATAAATTAATTCTTTATTTAAAGTTTTGAAATTATTTTATTTAATACTCATTTCAACAATAGGTTAGTATTTATAAATAGCTGTAATTAATTGTAAGTCAAAGTCTAAGTATATACAAGTTACTTACATTCTGAAAAATATTATTCTACCCTCCAACCTTCTCTAAAAGCAGGACAGAATGAGTAAATACAAATCATTATGTTGATCTATATTGTTGCTGGTGTTTGTTGGCCCTTGGTAAAATTTGGAACTATTTTATATTTATACAGCTTTTAAAACAAGGGAAAGTTTATACAATAACAGTTTATATTAGTATTGTACTTATTGATAATATCAGCCATCATTATTGTTTACTGGTAATTTATGTTTTTCAACAGTTTATTTTTAGTATTTTGTACTGATCAATTGACATTGTCTGTTATCCTACTTATTTTATACAGATATAAAAATATACATTAGAAAAAAATAGAACAATATACTTCTTAGAATTCTTATTAGAATTTCCAAAAAAAATTGTCTTCTTTTTTTATTTAAAACAAATGTTAAAGATGCCATAAATGATTGTTTATTTCAAAATAACAAGTGAAAGAGTTTACTTTGAATAAGTGATTACAAGAAACTTATGTAATAACTTATTACATAAGAGTTGTCATCTAAGTGTCAACAGCTGCTACAGTTCTGTACTACAGTTAGTGCTTATTTGTAAGAGCTGTATGCTAAAGTAACAATGCAAGTTATTAAAATGTTCTCATTATTACCATTTTACATTGCAGGCATGTATTGTATTACAAGTATTACTTATATGAATATATGTTTCAAGCTTATTTATATATAATATTGAATTTGATCACTTTTTATCAAGTGTGTTGTCAACTCTAAAGTGGGAATTGTCACCTATAGATATGAGTAATAGCATCATAGCCTTTGAACTAGTCATACTTTGCCATGCTTGAGGACCAAACTGTTCCCCGCTTACAGAGTTTTTTCTCTGATATATCTATAGACTGACAGCCCACTTGATGGAAAGTCGTAACTGTCGCCCATAGACATGACCAGTACCATGCACATAACAGAGTATACAGTTTCACGCATGATACCCCCATGCATTGCCATTCCTGAGGACTCGGATGTTATTCTTCTGTACCCTGTAAATTCACGTCATATCCTACCCTTCAAACCAAAACACAGCCATGCAAACACAACTGCTTTATGGTCGAAACACGAATGGGACAGAGGTATCCAAGCAAACAACTTTTGTACAAATCTCCCTCTGGTAAGTTATCATGGTAATCTTCATGCGCTATCATTTCTGAGGATTTTGGTGTTATGCCTCTGTACACTGTAATTTCATTGCCAATTTAAAACGAAACACAAGCATAGCTGTTTTCTAATAGCAATTTAAGTGGGACATACATTTTATTGTTAGGTTTGTTGTTGTGAAAGGTGACAGTGATATTAGACTAGACAACTGTGGTATAGTTTTCTTTTGTATCCAATAGCAATTACTACAAAATAGCATTTCAATGGTAAAACAGGAATGGGGTAAAGATTCAGTAGGGGAGAGCGGTGGGGGCGGGTCCGGCGGCGCGGTGCCGGCGGGCGCGCTGCGGCTGTCGCCGGCGGCGCTGTCGTTCGGCCGCGCGCAGCTGGCGGCCGCGCACGCCCTCACCGTCACGCTCACCAACACCGCCAACACCACCATGCACCTCGCCTCCGTCGCCGGCACCACGCCCGACTTCCACGCATCCTTCTTTGACTCTAAGGTAATACTGGAAACAACAAATTATTCTAGATCTAACGGTTGCCTAGTCGTCGAACTGTCCTATATCCTGTATTGTGAGAAAAGAGACGACGAACATGTAAGGTCACACTAAATGTAGAGTTAAGTCAATTCGTATACTAAATTGACTCGATCCGGAACTGTAGTCGGGATTTCATTAAAGGCAGACATTGAATATTTTGTCCTTTGGTGTATATAATACTTTTCACTTAAGACTGGCCTCTTATAAAAGTGCGTATGCATTCTCAGGTAAGTCTGCGCAGTTTGCATATAGAAAAAGATAGAAGCTTATACCACTGAGTTGGCAAACAAGTATACGGCTCAAATGGGTTGCGCGCGTGTCGCCGACCCTGAAGAAACCTTTTGCCTCTTCAGTTTTAGGACTTGATGTAAATAAATATTATGTGTGGAATATTTTAGATAAGTGTAAAAATGCGAAAGTTGAAAATATTATGAGCTTATGTCAACATAATATTTCATTTATACATGTCATGACGCTAAATGTGGGTGTGCTCGTTTTAAATTATGTAAACGTACACACGAACACTTAGGAAGTAATAAATAGAAATAGTTGGGAGATAATATAGGTTATCAACGAGTTATCGGGCCGACACGACGGCGTTGTCATCGCGCGCTGCGGTTTCCCTTGCGGTTTGCACTTTATTATCATCGTAGGGAAAATGATACTACATACAGACAGCAACACAACATTTATATATTTAACTTCGCCTACACCTATAGATTTATATTGGCGGAGTACTAGTGAGGGATGATTGATGAATCATGGTTATTAATTCCTGATAAATCAACAATAATATAAACTCATAACTATGAGTACATATATTTTATTCATAGTTTCTAGGAGTAGACCGCGTGGAGGTTGACCTGATAGGTCGTGATAAATAAATAATATCTATATTCTGTTATTACTTGCACTGCCATAACATTATGTGGTTAGCACGCATATCGACACTGTTGTGTGTAATACGTTGATGTAACCGAGTCACAAAAATATAACTGTAATTTAAATAAGATTATTACTTTAATGTTATTATTACTTGTATAACAGTGGCTACATCTGATGTCAAGTTTCTAGGTCGCGTTCGTTATACGCGAAGCTCTCTTATGTGGCCAACCGGACGACGGCTTTATGTGCCCTTCGAAGCAAGTGACACTTTTATGAGATATTAATTTGAAAAATGCAAAGGTTCAAAGGTTTATTCATGTGACAAGTCTCATTAGTAATGGGGATACAAATCCTTATTGCTAGCAATGTACCCTGTCATGTCTATCTTCGGGAAACAGTCGTGATTATTTTTTGGTGAATTCGTGAAAATTTGAACTGACCTAACTTTGCCTTTACCTATGGTTCCTTATTGGCACCCTGCCAGTCTAAACCAATATATCACAGCAGGGGTTACTATCTCGTTTTATTAATTTACCCTTTCTAATCAAAATAGCAATACAATCAAGCCCCATAGTGGTAAAATTATGTGAGATAAACTTTAAGCGAAGATATCTGCATAGGTACCTAACCTATGCAGACATCTTCGTTTAAAGTTTATGTCTAATAAAATTTCTTTCTCTCCTTAGGGAAGTTCATGCTTAGTGTAGGTCATGCGCTGGTCATGCTGTCTCCGAAACGATGGTACGTCCGCACTTGGGGACAATTAAGTTTTCCATAATGTTAGCAGTTTTGCCGATCGGCCGTCCGAGCGAACGATGGCTCGGCGGCCTTGCCCGTGTCTCACCGCTCACTATCACCGCTCGGTGACGCAACACTACGTATATATTGTTTATCTCGTCCAATATATTGGTAGCGGTAGCCTTACGACTAGCGTACATCACGTGAGATATTGTTACCGCACTCTTACTTGGTAAACACAAGTGAACCAAGTCGAACATAGCATATTTGTTAATATACCTAATTTGATAATGACTCTTCGATGAGGAAAATAATTTTTAGCTTGCGCAAATGGTGACCCCATTTCGGTCCTTCCAGTCCTTTGTTCAAAACCGTAACAACCGTACTGTACTATAAGGGTTACGTATTTCCTTTGGAGGTACGGAACCCTTAAAAAAAAAGAACATTTGTATATCAAAAATCGATTCAGAATAAGTGATGTAATCGTGCAACATCGCCACAGAAATACAGACGATTGAAGTAGAGACAGATTGCGAAGCTCCACCTTTCGGAAGTCATTTTCAATGTGTGAACAGAAGTCGCGCTTGTTTTGCCAAAAGTTAACTGATTAGCACGCGGTGACGTGCGCAGCTCGTGTGGCTGCTCGCTGGGAATCTATACGGTCATTGTTTTTCTAACACACAATTACACTCTTGTGTAGATATTAGAACAGCAACTATGTATACGTTTTTTATTAGTTCTTATATTATCAACAGGAAATAATAATGACCCATTGATTCTTTCAACTTTTAATGAAGGACAATGAAATGGTAAACGCCGCCCGTGCCATCGGTATACACCGGCGGGGCACCAGCGAGAGATGATAAGTGAGGATGAAAAACAGGTTAGTTAGACTAACGTAATGAATATGCTTGAAATTCAGCACGATGGTTTACAGGAGGGACCATGTGGAGGTCGACCTGGTTGACTATTCTATACCCACTCGATTTATTCAATTAGTGTTCTAATATTTCATGTAGCACTAAAGAATTTGAAGTTTGCAAAAATAATACGAATTTTAGCAGACTCCAACAAGATGGAGCGTCTTAATTTGACTGTATTCTTATTGGTTTCCAAAAAGAGAAATTTATTAATTCATAGGTTTTTTTTTTGTGAACTGATTTTGATAATTCTTTTTACTATTGATAGTATTTACATCCATGTTGATCTTAAACGAAAAATTATGTATTGAAATATCCGTACATATAATTGTACGAAAGTCGATCAATCCGCTGATACTTGTATTATATTAAATTTATCAGTTTAAAAAACGTAGTATGTCAACAAGTGTCTTTCAAGTTTGCGAAGGTGTTGTGTTTTGTTGAATTAGCTTCTAAATAAAAACCGCTACGTAAGGTTTTATTTGTGTAAAATAATGTAAGTTGTATTGAGCCAACTGACCCACATCGCAGTGTCGAATTACACAGCGACTTAGTACTGAAATAGCGCGGCCAAGTGTATTGTTTATTATTATTATTATCTGCTTCGCGTTACCACTCACGTGTTATCTGATAACGGGCGGCCATCCCACCAGTACATCTTGTTTCTAATTATCTTATCCGTACATAAATTATGATGCACTTAATACGTAATCGTGTTATAATTGATATTTTATATTAATAATATGACTATGCCGCCGTGTTTTGTACTTGTATTTATTTTTGGCCGATAAAGTTCTTTAAGTAGATAAATAAGTTGAAGCAGTTGTGTTTGCATGGCTGTGTTTCGGTTTGAAGGGTGAGATATGGCGTGAATTTATTGGGTACAGAGGAATAACACCTGAGTCCTCAGGAATGACAACGCATGGGGGGTATCATGGGCGAAACAGTATATTCTGTTATGTCCATGGTACTGCTCATGTTTATAGGCGACGGTTACTACTTTCCATCAGGTGGGCCGTCAGCTTGTTTGCCATTCTAAGTTGTATAAAAAAAAAACCCGCCTGCGCTATCGGTATACACTAGCGGGGCACCAGGGAGAGATGATATGTGAGGATGAAAGCAGGTCAATTAGCCAATATTGACGAATTCAACAAAAATTAACCACAATGGTTTCCAGGGGGAACCACGTAGAGGTCGACCTGATAGTGTATTGCTAGCAGTGGAGCTGTTAGACCTTATTACTAACAATTCCTTTCCCCCCAGAGGCGAGGCTTCGTTTTTATGTATTTAAATAGAGTATATCCATACAAATGCTTCGAGAAAAACGGCTCAACTTTTTCATACAATTTTACGTGATAAATACTCGTGGTTATGAGTGATCCCTTTATAACTTCAATATTTATTTTTTCTTGTAATTTCTGTATCTTTTTTATGCGATAACACTCAATTTATTTATTAAATAATACGTTAAGATACATTGTATGCGCAAGTATATAGAATACTGATAAAAAAAAACGACAAAAAGTCAACCTGTTTTTGAGACTCGATGCTCTAGCTACATAATCTAAGGTCACTGCATAACGGGATAGCGTTGGAAAATCCTTATTCAGCTAGACGAAATTAGGCCCACTACTTCTAATCGCAGCTGTACTGTACCAACTTCAAAATAATATTATGAAAAGTATTTGAGCTCGTAAATAGTTGGTGCATGTTGACTCAGTGACGACTGTTATTGCGAGCGATCGATGTTACAACAGCAAATAAGTTCTCCATAATGTCACATACATTTAAGCACGCGGTAAATAAAAACTGAAATGTGTGATTTTGTATATTGACTTGGGACCGGGGCATGTTGAGCGAAATACAAAAGTGCCTTATGTCCTTATTCATGTAAAATACCGTCTGAATCCCTGATATATTCACAATCTTTTAGGTCGTTAAGGCTTTAAATAGCAACTATTTGTTTAAATAACATTTAATTTTACTTTTAAGAGGTTATTGCGTTTTACCCGCCTACCATGAAACGTTTTCCGAAATTTCGGAGCCCAACGAAACACAAATTTGATGTTAGAATTGCATTATGAGTACCTACCGTTTAAAAATATTAAAAAAAAGTTAAAATATCCTTCCTTTGGTCTTTTATAGTAGGAAATATGACGAACGAAATGTTGAGCTCCTTGTACTGGGTCAATTTAGGTATGAATAAAAACAGGAAATTGAGTCCGAAAATTCGGAATTTCATTCCGTGGTGGACGTATGTTGATTGAACGTGATTAGAAGCAGCCTATGTACTTCTTCATCCCATATATAGGTACGTGTATACTAAATTTCATCGTAATATCAGTCTAACTGTCCACTGCTGAACATAAGACTTCTTCTTGGGGTTTTGCCAGTAGTTGCCAAGCTTGGCAGGCGGATTGGCAACGGCAGTTAGGCTTTGGAGATGCTTTAAGAGGGACACTGCTGCCGATCCCTTGCCGTCCCTTAGTCGCTTCCTACGACACTCATGGGAAAGGAAGGTGTGGCCTATTCTATGCCGGGACCATGCAACAATAACACATTATGGTCTACGAGGTTTCGTAATTATTTATTAACCCGTAGAGCAATCGGCTCTCGGCTAGCTCACTACACCCACTGCGTTACCGATTTTTGAAATTACCAAATTTTGATTACAGGTTATGGATAAATGGGTTTATTACGTACATAAATTTAATGAAAACGACGCTGCAAATTCGCGTTATGCAACAGACGCTGTTGCATGAGCGCGCGGTACTACATTTTTATTCGGTACAGCGTATGATGCATAAACGCTCGAGGGGTTAAATGTAAAGGGGTTAAAATCCACAAATACAAATTGAATATGAAAATTCGCATTAAAAATAGTAGTTGAGTTATTTTTTTTTTTCTTTTTTTTATACGACTTAGAATGGCAAACAAACTGACGGCCCACCTGATGGAAAGTGGTAACCGTCGCCTATAGACACGAACAGTACTATGGACATAACAGAGTATACTGTTTCGCCCATGATACCCCCCATGCGTTGCCATTCCTGAGGACTCGGGTGTTATTCCTCTGTACCCTGTAAATTCACGCCATATCACGTATGGACATTAACATATTAACATGATGATGTATGGATGGGAGTGTGTCGGCTGTCAGTACAGCAGTGGCGTGTGCTTGCAGACGCTGGCGCCGCAGGCCAACACCACGTTCACGGTGGTGTACCTGGGCCGACACGAGGGCCTCGTCTCCGCGCACCTCTACATACACACCTCGCTCGGAGTACACAAGTATCCTGTACATATATAGTTACTATGCACCTAGTAATATCATTGTTGAATAGTTACTATCACATGTAACTTTTTTTTTATACCACTGAGGTGGCAAACAAGCATACGACCCACCTGATGGTAAGTGGTTACAGTACCGTCATACTGTATTGTTGTTATTTTATGTTAATTTAGTAAGCGCTTAAAGCCAATATAAATAAATTATTAATATTATAATTATTAGATTGTAGCATGAAGTCGATGGCAGGCAAGCAAGCGTACGGCGTATAACTGTTTTATGTAGTCAATCATAAGAAATATGCTGTAAAAATCAAGTGTACTTGGATTTTTACAGTTTTGCAATGATTTTTTTTTAAATAGATAGAAATAAAAATATTTAAAGCATATTAATACCATTTATAATTTTATAGAATGTTTTTTGACATTTCATTTGTTTGGTTCGTGTAGGTATCGGCAGAGGGCGTGGCGAGCGAGTGGGACGTCTGGCCGCTGATCGGGATTCGTGTCCCGCTGAATGCGACCGTGGACCCGCTGCTCACGATGTACAATCCCACCGATCAAACGATACAGGTACAGTGGCAGTACCCCTGAGAACGGGCGGGACCTTTTCATGCGGTGTGTGATAATGAGACAAGTTTTTTTTTTATGGATGATAATGGCTTAGTAATCCTGTCCGCGCTATTGGTATACTCTGGCGGGGTATCAGTGAGGGATCATAGGTGACGATGAAAGCAGGTCAGTTAGTCCATCGTGACGAATTGCACTAGAATTAACCACGATGGTTTCCAGGGGGAACCACGTGGAGGTCGTCAACTCAAATACTAACAGTCCTATTCCCCCGGGGAAGAAGGGATTGTTAGTAATGGGAATTAGTAGCCTCATTGCTAGCAATATAATATATGTCAGATCGAATTCCTCGTGGTTCCTCTTGGAAACCATCTAACTGGTGGTGGTGGGCTAACTGACCTGCTTCATCCTCATCTATTATGCCTCACTGGTGTCCCGCCAGCGTATATTGATAGCGCTGGTGGGGTTACCATTCCATTATCATTTATTAAAAAAGTCTTATTCCCCCGATGAGAGTGGATTTAAGCTGATGTGTACTGAGTTAGTGAACGTGAGTTTTTTTGATGACATAGTAATTTTACTGTTGGTATAAACTTAGGTGGGGCACCAGGGAATGATGAGGTGAGGATGAAGTCAGCTCAGTTGTCTATTGTGATGAATTTATGATAACGAAGATATGACAGGAAGGGGAAAATTTGAAATGTGATATATACTAGTGCAGGACTGCAAAAGTTGTCTACTTGGGTATCACTTTTTCTTCTGAAGCGAAGCAGGTGTGTTGTACGGCTGTGTTATGGCTCGGAGGGCGGTTCGAGAGTATCGTAGGGAAACTTTGGGGTGGGAGGTATAACGTTATAGCTGTGAGGAGCGGCAACGCACGGGAAGTAGGATGGACGTCGCGGGACGCTACGGGACGTCCACGGCCCTGGTCATGGTCATGTTTATAGGCGACGGCTACCACCCATCGTCAGCTTCGCCGCCAGTACGTTTATCGTTCTAAGTACCGTAAAAAAGTGGCGGCGGCAAGGAGAGTGTAGAGCGGGCGGCTGCGCAGGTGAGCGAGGTGTACGCGTCGGGCGCGTGGCTGCGGCTGCAGCTGCCGGCCGGCGGCGCGGCCGCCGCGCGCCACGCCTGGGCGCTGCCGCCGCGCGCCGCGCGCCCGCTCGTGCGCCTGCTGCTCGCGCCGCCGCCGCACCACCAGCACCAGCACCAGCACCAGCACCAGCACCATCAGCACCACCAGCACCTCCAGCACCAGCCGCTCACCGCCTATGTCAGGTGCGCGTCTAGCACTGTTCATTCTCAATGTGCGATTTCAAGTAACTTATAGTTTAATTAGTGTCACTGTTCATATGTTACTAGCCGTTCACTTAGGTTTCGCCCAAATGTAATAATAAAGTATTCTAATTTACATCTATAGGCGACGGTTATCACTTTCCATCTGGTTGGCCATAAGGGTGTATAGTATTCTAAGCTTCTTAAAAAAAATAATAAAAAAAATTAAAATTTTTCCCTTTTCCCTGATTTTTAGGGTTTCGTACCTCCAAAGGAAAAATGATACTTTTACAGAATCACTCTGTTGTCCGTCCATCTATTTGTTAAAACCCTGTTTCTTAGGAACATATAGAGGTATCAAGTTAAAATTAATATACTCATATACATATATTCAAGTCTGTAATCTCTTAGAGCAGCAAAAAAATCAAGTTTCTGAATCATTTCAATCAAAAAATATCGACCATACTTTTTGATTGAACTGATTTAGAAAAAATATGGTCGTTTATGTTCATTTATATCGCATATTTTGATATTCGCAAAGGGAATCAAAACCTAGTGGGTTTTTCCCGTTGACCTAGAATTATGAAATTTGGCATGAAGCAATGTAGCACAAGTAAAGGAAAAATCCTAAAATCATAAATTTGGAGGATTTGTGTAATTTTGTACGGAACCCTCGTTGCGCTCGTTGGACTGGCACTTGACCGGCTTTTTCAACATTCGAACTGTTTGTATATGTTTGGCGGATTATAAAGTGGAGCGTGGTTGGCGCGTGTGCAGGATCAAGGCGAACATGTCGGGCGGCGGGCTGGTGGTGGCCGTGGAGGCGCGGCGCGCGGCCGCCGGCGAGCACGCGCGCCCGCTGCAGCTGCGCCTGCGCCTGCGCGGCGCCGCCGACCCGCCGCACACGGTACACTCGCACTCGCACTCGCACGCGCACTCGCACTCGCACTCGCACACTCTTCCCAAACTTATTTTCTCTACTGCCCGCTTTCACAATCAATTCTTTTTTAGCGCCCCCTTTTTTTCACCTACTTAATAACCACGATTCTTCACTTCAAGATCAACAAATTACCCCCAAGCCTCTATACAACGCATTCATTTTTTCTGAGTCGCTTACCGCCCCGCTTTAAACCTGCAGCGCCCACAAGGAGGCGTTATCGCCCACTTTGGAAAAGGTTGCTCCATCTGGTAAAATGTTATTATGTAACAGACTGTGTGTATGTTCGTACTAGCTACAGTGGAACAACAGAAATAGTATGTAGTTTGTGCGTATCCTTCCAACCGTTACCCGCGTTGCCGCGTGTGCGCAGTGGCAGCTGGAGGCGGGCAACAGCGCGGCGGCGAGCGTGCCGCTGGCCGCGCACGTGTGGGCGGCGCGCTGCGGGCCCGCGCCGCTCGCGCCGCCGCCGCCGCCGCCGCCGCCGCTCGGCGCCGCCGCCGTCAACGGCGCCACCGCTAACGGTAAGCGCTCTCACCGCCCACTCGCGACTTGTCCCTATTTAAAACAAGTACGTGGAATCGTTTCGGTTTGTCGTGATTATTCACTTGTCTGCTAACTGTGATGGAACTTTCAGTATTAAATTCAAAAATATCTCGACTGAGTATCCAATAACTGGGTTAAATGGATTTTTTAATTTTCTAGTCAATAGCGCCGTTCTTAAGAAAGTTGTGACTAAAGCGACAACGTCGCTTTTTTACACAGGGTGAAACATTTACATTTATTAAGACTTTTTTTGTATGAAATTAATATGATATTTGAAACACAAAACTCTATCATCATTGTAACTTGTAAATGTGTAAAACTATATAATCTTGAAGCGAATGCAGATAATTTGGTAACACCTTATATATCCGAAATAGCAATAAACGATTTAACGTATCCAACATTAGCTAATAATCTTGGAGAGTAATGCAGTTTCAGCAGTCATAATATTATGTATATACACGTGTGCAGTAGAGTACAGAACCGCGTTGTGGGTGCAGGCGCGAGCGGCGCGGGCGCAGCGGGCGTCGTGGCCAGCACGCTGCTGCACGAGCTGCCGCCGCACGCGCCGCCCATGCCCGCCGCCACGCTCACGCTGCACTGTCAGTACACGCACGCATATTGTACTTGTTTATAATACAACTAAATTTAGTTCATCTTACAAAAATAACAGTCAAGAAGCTCCTTTTTTAGTAGTTAAACTTTTAAATATAAAAAATTTCAGTTTCGCAACTGTGGGAGAATTACCTATCGGAGATGGAGGCGGAGAGGAGGCTGGAGGCGGAGAGTTCGGCACGCGGCGCGTGGTGCGCGGGCTGGGTGCGCCTGGGCCGCGCCGCCGTGCCCTACAGCGTGCGGCTACTGCCCGGCGGCGTGCGAGCCCTGCCCGCCGAGCTACAGTAAGTATCACCCGCACTCACTGCACACACTACCGCCCGGCGGCCCGGCGGCGTGCGAGCCCTGCCCGCCGAGCTACAGTAAGTACCTTTTTTTAAATAAGCATATTATTATAATTAAGATAGATATTTCAATTATTTCTTTAAGGAATTTAATAATTTATTTTTCCAAGTATAAACATACGATTTTTGTTTGCAGCTTCATAACTGCGAAGGGAGAGGAGGTGTTCAAGGAGCGCGAGTTGCTGTTTCGGAACGATTTCCCCGTTCCGATCGAAATTATTGATATCGAATACGGGCCCGACTACGATAAATATTTCCATGTAAGTAATTTTATCATCATACGGTTCCGGCATAGAATGGGCAGCCCTTTCTTTTTCTGTGGGTGTCGTATGAGGTGACTAAGGGAGGACGAGGAATGGGCAGCAGCGTCCTCCTTAAAACATCTTCGAAGTGTACTGGCAAATCTCCCCAGGGGGGAGGTTTATGTTGAGCAGTTATTTTCACCGCGCTATCGGTAAACACCGATGAGGTACCAGTAGAAGATGATAGGTGAGAATGAATGTAGATCAGGTGGCCCACCATGATGACTTCGACAAGAATTAACCGTGATGGTTTCTAGGGGGAACCGCGTGGAGGTCGATCTGAGAAAGTGTATTGGTAACAATGGTAGTGAGTGAGTGAGTGAGTGAGTGAGTGAGTGAGTGAGTGAGTGAGTGAGTGAGTGAGTGAGTGAGTGAGTGAGTGAGTGAGTGAGCTGACACAGTGACAGTGAGCGGTCGGTCGCAGCGCGCGGCGTGGCGCGGCGCGGCGGCGCTGGCGGCGGGCGGCGCGCGGCGGCTGCGCGTGCGGCTGCGCGCGCCCGCGCCCGCCACCGCTGCGCGCGCGCACCTCACGCTGCGCACCAACGCCTCCGCGATCACTGTGCCGCTGCACGTCTACGCCGGCACCTTCCACTTCGTGCGTACTACACTACTGCACTCTCGCGCCTTCCCTCCTTCCTAACTTTGTACACATATTGTAAACTATCTGTGTTCTCGTTCATTGCGAGGGCTACTAATTTACTACATTTCTATATGAGTTCTTATATTATTTTAAGTTTTTTATCTTAAAACGAGAACCTCAATTCTTCTAGATTTTTTGTATACAGGGAAAAGTCTATTGATTTGAACTAATTTTTTTCAAGTATTTTGTAGAAAGATATCTTTAAAATGATTACAAATGTATGATTTGAATAAAAAGTTACTCCGTTTTACATCTATTACCTATTAATCAATAAAAATACGAATTATATTTCAGTAATCAACAAAATATGAGAACTCAACTTTGTTTCAATTCAACCAACTGGTCCTGTTGTTTGAACCACGAGGTTGCTAAGTTAGACTGATAAGTTCTAGGGTAAAACAAAATATGAAAAAAAAAAAAAAAAAAAACGATTATTAAATGAGACATAACATACAATAGTCTCGATAAGAATATTTAAAGTTCTTCGCGTAGCGCATAGTTATCTTAAATATCGAAATTTTGAGTACAAATTTCATGGTTCTAATTATGGCAACTTACACCCTGTATTCAATTAATTTTAGTGATTTTTGTATTATTTTGTAAATTTTTGAGTATTGTTCATGTCTATGAGCGACGGTTATCTTATTTCATCAGATAGGTTGTCAGATTGGTTGCCATTTTACTGCTTACTTGTATCTTAACTAAGCACTTAGTGTGGATTAATTTTTTAAAATAATATAAATACGTTCGACGAAAATAATATAATCAATATGTAATGAATTCAGACGCATATCGTTCGGTGTTGGCGATATTGATATATAGACTACTTTTTAAGATATTTATATTGATATGTTTATTAATAGGATATGAGGGTATCAGTATGTGGTTGTGGGTGCAATATTGGATACTGTTCTGTATGCGTGGTGCGTGCGCGCGTGCCGGCAGGAGTGGGAGTGGCCGGGCCGACAGGACGGGCAGGACGGGCGGCTGCGCGTGGGCGCGCTGCCGGCGGGCGCGGCGCTGCGCGTGCGGCTGCGCCTGCGCAACCCGGCGCCGGTGGCGCTGTGCGCGGCGCGCGCCGCCGCCGCCGTGCCGCGCGCGCGCGCCGCGCTGCAGCTGCGCGGCCGGCGCTGCGCCGCGCCGGGCGGCAGCGTGGCGGCGGCGCTGCGGCTGGCGGCGCCGGCGCGGCCCGGCCGCCTGGCGGGCGCCGTCTGGGTGCGCTCGCAGCACGCCGCCGCGCGCGCCGCCGTCTCGCTGGCCGCGCGCGCCGGCCGCCTGCGCGCGCCGCCGCTGCTGCTGCCCGCCGCCGCGCCGGTACCTTACTTACTTCTTACCACAGGGAGACTTTGTACAAAACTCGATTGCTTGGGATACCTCTGTCCCATTCGTGTTTCAACCGTGAAGCAGTTGTGTTTGCATGGCTGTATTTCGGTTTAAAGGGTGGGATATAGCATTAATTTACTGGATACAAAGAAGTAACACCTGAGTCCTCAGAAATGGCAGCGCATGGGAAGTATCATGGACGAAATAATATATTCTGTTATATCCATGGTACTGCTCATGTCTATAGACGACAATTACCACTTTCTATCAAGTGGACCGTCAGCTTGTTTGCCATTCAAAGTTATAATTGGATTGCCCGCTTCCCTGTTAACGCCCCGAGTGACGACTCGTTCCGTTGCAGTATACATGGTCGTCGGCGCCGCTGATACTGGAGAGCACTATGACCATCACTGTGCGCGTCCTCAACGTGACGCAGCCGGTGCCCGACCCCGCCGTTATATTTGTGTACGATATGCCTTTTTTATTTCTTAATGTGTAATAACATTTTTTTTCTTAAATAAAATAAAAAAATAAACTACACTGTTGAAAAATATTTATCCAAATTGTTCAGTCACATCTATATATATATGTCTATCTTATAATCCAAAAATACACTGCAATAGGTACAGAAGAAACATTATACCCAGAAGGTGTATTGTGTGTATTGTGTCATTGGATGTGTCGACAAATATATAAAGATTGCAACAACAGAGTTAAATATTTTATATCAGTAATCCCAAATTAGTAGAACACGATACCTATATCAGAAAATGAAAGTCTTCATAATGCTCCAACTTCTACTTTTCAAAATAAAAAAAAAAAAAAACAATAATTGTAATCTAAAACTATATATTTGTCACATTTTTATTTTACAACACACACACACACACACACACACGCTAATTGATACGTCATAACATATAATACTAGAAACTTAGATTGAAGACAGTACGACTACAGGTTAATATTATATATGACAATTTTTTTATTATTATTTTGACACACTAGAGTACACTTGAAATTTTACTGAAACAGACGTGTGTCGTGTAGCCGTCGATTTGCGGCACCGAGCGAGCCGCCTTAAACCGGACTACAGCAACGCGTGTGTGTGTGACGAGGAACAGAGCTCTACGCACACGAGCATCGCTTGCTTGTAGTAGTGCCCGTGTCCCAGTATATTTCTTAGTATCTCATTTTCTGGGTATATTCTGTGGTGTTGGTATCGTACACTATTAAATACTTGATATACTTATTTTACACCTATAAGCAAGGGTTTTTTTATGAGTATAAATAGCACGTCTCCGCCAGTGAGGGTTGATTAGTGAAAACAAAAGAGCAAGTCAGTTAGCCCATCGTGATAAATGTACCTGGAATTCAGCACGACGGTTTCTAGTGGGGATCACCTGACGGGGTATATTGCAACCGGACTAGTAGTTCGTATTACTTACAATTCCCCTCGCCCCCTCCTTCCCTGGATACTAGAAAATGCATATAGTAATAGTTGATGATTTGCAGGAAAGAGGGCTCGGGCACGGTGTGGGGCGGGCGGCACGCGGTGGGCACGGTGCACTACGCGGCCGAGCGGCTGTGCGAGCCCGCGTGCTACGCCGGGCTGGCGCTGCAGTCGGCCGACGGCGCGGCGTGGCTGCGGCGCGCGGCGGCGGCGGCGGCGGCGGGCGACGCGGCGCGCGCCGCGCTGGCGGCCGACGCCGAGCTGGCGGCGGCGCGCCGCGCGCTGCTGGCGCGGCTGGCGCCGGCCGCGCGCAACCTCACGCTGCACCTGCACACCGACCAGGTGCGCGCCACCCACCGACCCGCCGCCACTCGCACCCGAGGCCCCCCTCGGGACGTTCCACTACCACGGAAAACTATTTTTCAAACCTCCCACTCCCTAAATGTTACGTAACTTCCAAGTGATCGTTGTCCCTTAAAAATCACGACACTAACTTAATATTAACAATGAAAACATAAATAGTAGGTAATTTTTGTCTTTACATACAGTACGTAGTTTTCCATAAAACACTATCTTTTCTAGTTTTTTTTAAATAAAAAAAGATGAAAAATGGACGAGTTGAACGTCCCCTAAGATGGCACTAGTAGTTTGGGCCCTGACGCAGGTGGCGCAGGTGGCGGCGGCGGGCCGCGTGCGGCTGCAGTGGCCGCGGCTGGCGGCGGGCGGCGCGGCGGCGGGCGCGGCGGCGGTGGGCGGCGCCGAGCCGCTGCGCGTGCGCGTGCGCAACCCCGCCTCGCGCGCACTGCTGCTGCAGCCCGTGCTGGCCGCGCCGCTGCACCGCCGGCTGCTGCACCACACGCACCACCGGTACGTGCATACGTGCATACCCGACATACGCTCGCTGCATTGCTATATCGTACATTATTAACGTCTTATCGAGTACCGAGTTAACATAGTCATGGTTATATATAATTATTTATTTATAAATTTTACTATAATTCTTAATATAATTCTCATCTCCCCTCTTAAGGAGAGATGGCAACTAACCCCCGGCAGAAGCACAGTCGGCCGGGGTTCAGGGCCCCAGGGAGAGAAACCGGCGTCCAATGCGGGCAGAATATAAGAGCACCGCTTTCTGCATCTTTCCCGGGAGTGAGCCGCCTCGGAATCCCAACCGTCTGAGATGTTGTTCCAGACTGGTTGGGATAAGACCGTTCACCGACATAACAATTGAGATGATTTCGGTAGATGTCACCCCCCACATTTCGGTCACCTCGTGAGCCAGGTCGAGATATTTTCTCTTCTTCTCGGTTTCGGCTTTCACGAGGTTCTCGTCATGCGGTATGGTGACATCCACCAAGAACACCCTCGAGAGTGCCCGATCCGTCACCATGATATCAGGTTTGTTCGCAAGAACGGTCCTGTCCGTGATGATGGATCGGTCCCAGTAGAGCCTGACGCTGTCGCTTTCGAGGACCGGCTGGGGCTCGTACTTATAGTACGGCAACCTCTCATTCGCGAGGCCGTACTTCAGAGCTAGCTCTTGATGGAGTATTTTGGCTACCTGGTTGTGTCTGTGCAAGTACTCAGTCTTGGCAAGAGCTGAACAACCCGAAAGCACATGTCTGAGTGACTCTCCAGGATGGCGACATGCCCGACAGATGTCCTCAGTGCCATCCTTCAGAATGTGCTTTTGGTAATTGTTCGTCTTAACCACCTGATCCTGTATTGCACAGACAAAACCCTCGGTCTCTCCGAAGAGATCACCGAACTGTAGCCAGTGCACGGAGGTCTTCGTGTTTACGTACGGCCCGTGAAGGGCTTTGAAGAACCTTCCGTGCAACTCCTTCTCTTTCCATACGGCCTCCCGCTGAGAGGTACCCAAAACTTCGGGTTTTCGCCTGTCCTCTTTAGCCAGAGAAAGAGGGGTGAATCCTTTGTCACATTCTATGACCTCTCTATGCAAACCCTCGTCTCTTTTCTCCAGAAAATATGTCCTGAGGCTGTCAATCTCGCGGTTGTGCATAATCTTAACGCTTAACAAGCCTCGACCACCAGCCTTCCGCGGGATATACAGCCTCATGACTGACGATTTCGGGTGATGCATTCTATGGAGGGTCATAGTTGTGCGGACTTTCCGATCCAGGGCTTCGAGTTCGGTTTGAGACCATCTGAGCACGCCAAAAGTGTAAAGGAGTACGGGTATGACCCAGCCGTTATAAGCTCGGACTTTATTGGCGCCCGACCAGCAACTTTTCAGTACTCTTGTAAGGCGCGCAAAAAATTCCTCGCGGACCGACTGTTTCACATCCGTCTCCCTCACACCGATGTTTTGACATGCCCAGATACCGGTATGTTTCAGCCTCGGAGAGGGTTTTAATATTAGAGGGATCTGTGGCGATCCCTTCAGTTTGAGCGACCCGTCTCCTCTGCACATGGAGGACCGCGCACTTGTCTATTCCGAGTGCCATCCTAACAGAGCTGCTATAATCGTTTACGATATTTAGCAGCTTCGTCAGGCGTTTGACGCTCGGAGCTAGTAGTTTCAAGTCATCCATGTACAGAAGATGAGACACTCGTGTACCTCCTCTCCGATACTGAAATCCAGTCCCCGAATTCTCCAGTAAAGTACTAAGAGGATTCAGGGACAGGCAAAACCAAAGTGGACTCAAACAATCACCCTGGAATATTCCCCTCTTTATCTCTATCCGGTCAGCGGTATCCGTCAATCGCTCGCCCTGAATAGTCAGGATCGTCGTCCACTGCCCCATGCATGCCTCCAAGAACACTCGAACTGTACCGTCGATCTTGTACAGCTCGAGTATCCTCCGGAGCCATGAATGGGGCACGGAATCGAACGCCTTTTTATAATCTATCCAGGCGGCGGAGAAATTCCGACGGTTCCGCTTGACCACGTGGCCAGTGACAGCATCAATGAGGAGCAGCTCTTTCGATCCGCGGCTACCGCCCCTGCATCCGTTCTGAGCGCTAGATAGGATCTTATTTTCGTACACATGACGAGAGATCTTAGCGCTCAGAACGGATGTTAACGTCTATATATTGTCGTAAGACAAGTGATGGGGCGATATTTAGATGGATCCGCGGTATCGTCCGTCTTAGGAGCTAAATAAGTGATCCCGGTTGTAAGGAAGTTCGGGAGCGTCCTGTTTTCGAGGGCACTCTGGAATTGCACGGCTAAGGTCGCATGGCTGGCCGAGAACGCCTTTAACCAGCAGTGCTGCAATCCGTCGATCCCCGGACTTTTCCAGTTCGGAGCCCGACGGATCGCGGCAACCACGTCTTCCACCGTAATGGCAATGGCGTTCATCGGCGTTATTCGAGCACATGCTTCCTCAACATCTTGCATCCATGCGCCCTCCTCATGCTCCACAGGTTCAGACCGCAGCTGTCGCCAGAAGGCGACGAAATTGACTGTTTCTGGTCTTTTTCCTGTGGGCTGCAGTTTGGGGTGCTACAAGTTCCTATAAAACTTCCGTTGATCACTCATAAAGAGACGATTCTGTTGATACCTCTCGACCCTCTCAGAGTACCGTCGGAGTCGCTTCCCCCATGCAGCGATCTTCTGCTTCAGATCGTCTATACGCTCCGCAAGTTTTTGCCCGAAGTCCGGCTGGAACAGACGTACATCTGTCCCAGCAAAGGCCTCTTTTACGGAGCGCATAATTCTCGGGCGTGTATTACCCTCCCTGAAGCAGAGCAGTCTGCCAATGAGAACCCTGGCCTGGGTGATCCGCCGCTCAATTCTTCTTTTCCAGGCTGGTTTCGCATTATCCCTTCGGATATTACGTCCAGCCCGGGGCATTTTTGCGCCGGTATGTCGGCATACTGCCAACGCAGCGCCGAATAAGATTGAGCTCGTCTCTCCCAGGTCACCGCTGCCTTCAAGGTATTGAGGCAGCACGCGCCACATTTGGATATATCCGGGGAAGCTTCGGTCTCTCTTCGAGGGGAGTTTTTCGGATCTCTAGAATCGCCTCCTCTAGTATGCTCCTCATATGCTCTTTTATTATTTATTCTTATAAATTTATTATTAATATTATTAAGTTTTAAAGTTAATGTGTGAAACAAAATGCAGGTGGAGTGAAGTGGAAACCATGTGCGGAAGCGAGGGCTGCGTGTGGGAGCGTGAAGCGTTTGAATTACGGGAGTGGCGCGCGGCCCGCGGGGAGGTGCGGCTGTGGGCGGGCGAGGAGGGAGAGGGGGCGGACGCGGGGCAGGGGCAGGGGCCGGGGCAGGGGCAGGGGGCGGGGGCGGCGCCGCTGCTGCTGCTGGCGGCGGGCGCGGAGCTGGAGCTGCACATGATGTTCACGCCGACGCGCGCCGCGCCGCTCGCCACGCTGCTCTACCTGAGGTCAGTGTGCGCCGTCCGCTGTACACCACTGTTCCGTTTTTGACGTAACTAAAATGGATAATTGTTTTTGCAGAAATAACTTGACCATATTGGAGAGCATGCTGATCTGGGGTCGCGGCGTATATCCGACGTTCGAGCTGGACGGCCGGCAGCCGGGCAGCGACGACCCGATACTATTCGAGGTGACCGAAATTAATCACATCTTTAACTTTCTTTCTTGTCGCTCGACCTTTCGTGTCCACGTGTCACGAATATAGATAAAATTTTCCGTCGTTCAGTGCGATTTTGTGCAGCAGACACGAGTTTATGGACGGCTACTCGCATTACGAGGGGAGATCAAAAAGTTTGCGAAATGAACTCGCATTACGAGGGGGAAGGGGTTGAAATTAAATATGAAACTATTTTTTTTAATATATTTTCCCTTAACCTTAATACATTTTTTGTATCTTAAAACATACCATCGAAAAAAAGTTTATCTTTGCTGTCAAAATAGGCCGAAATTGCAGACTTCTTTATCGTCGCCAAATTTTTTTTTTATTAGCTGCTTTTTCATTTTTGGGAATAAATACGAGTCGCTGGGGGCCAGGTCTGGACTGTAAGTTGGGTGGTCTAATTTTTCAAACCCGCATCGGTGGATTGCAGCCGTCGCAACATGGCACGTGTGGACGGGAGCATTGTCGTGTAACAGAAGCACACTTTTCTCCCCTTTTTTCCTCGATAGTTCTTTCAATCTATCCAGTAAAAAAGCATAGTACTGTCTCGTCGTATAGTCACACTACGATTTTTATAAGCGATCAGCGAAATACCTTCTGTATCCCAAAAGATAGTCGCCATGATCTTTCCGGCCGGTTATGACATTTTCAACTTCTTCGGAGATGTTGTGCCATTTTTATGCCATTGCATCGGCTCTTGCTTCGACTGAGGTTCATAGTGGTGAACCGAGGTTTTATCTCTAGTAACAATCCGGGTGTCAACTTCTTTCCTACTCTCTTCACAGAGCTCCAAAAACAAGCGAAAACACTCGACACGCTCATTTTTTTGAAGTGGAGTGAGCATTCTTGGAACGCATTATGCATTGATTTTAGTTATGCCAAGATGATGATGTAGAATATTTTAAATACTTGTTTCGAATACTCCAACCATTGCTACAAACTGCTTTTTCTTCAGTCAGGTATCTTCTAATACAAGTTTTTCTACTTTGTGACAATTTCCGCTGTGGTGGCCTCAATTGGCCGTCTGGAGCGGGGGTTACCTTCAATAGACTCTTCCTTGTGTGAGAAGTCCATGCCACTTGTAAACCACGATTTTACCAGGTGTAGAGTTCGCGTAAACTGCTAACAGCTTTTGAAAAATCGTCTGAGCGGATGTTTCTTGCTTGGTGAGGAACTTAATAACGGCGCGGTGTTGAATTTTCTTCATACTTGTTGACTTCTTCCCGATTCACTTGTTTGTACGTCGATAACTCAAAAGTTAATGATCCGATTTGGTTTAAACTTGGTATATATACTTTTAACGAGGTCCTTAATAAGTGACTACCTCGACGTAAACCAACCCTCATCAATTCTTCCATTTCGCGAATGTTTTGACTTTTCGTCGTAGTTGTCTTCTCGGTAGAGCTAATTATTCTGTAAAGGCACTAGATCTAGATCGTTTATCGTATTTGCTACTCTGGGCATCGTCTCCCTGGGCTGTACTTCCGGGAACGCATGGTATGTTTAAGGATGCCGGGACAACTCGATCGAGGGAACTTAACGGTCGAGGGATGGGTGGCAGCGTCCCTCCTAGAACTTAGAGTAGCGAATACTCGCAATATCCTCCTTCTGGGGAGGCCAATGTTTGGCAGTGGACGGTCGAAGTCACGCTGTCAGTGTCCCCGTTCCGTAACGAGCCGACCGGGCCGCAGGTGAGCTCGTGCGGCGCGGCGGGCGCGGCGGGCGGCGCGGTGCAGCGCACGGTGGTGGCGCGCAACACTGGCGCGGTGGCGGTGCGGCTGCGCGACTGGCGGCTGGCGGGCCGGCCCTGCGCCGCGCGCGGCTTCCGCCTGCAGCCGTGCGCGCCGCTCACGCTGGCGCCCAACCGCTCGCGCGCGCTCACGCTGGCCTTCGCGCCCGACTACTCGCTGGCGCGCGTGCCCGCCGCGCTCACCGTGCGCGCCGGCGCCGCGCGCGCCGCCTTCGCGCTGCTCGGCGCCGCGCCGGCGCGCCTGCTGCCCGCCTGCGCCGCGCGCCTGCCGCGCCCGCCCGCCGAGCCCGCGCTGCGCGCCGCCGCCGCCACGCTGGCGCTGGCCGCGCTCGCGCTCGTGCTGGCCGCCGCCGCGCTCGACGCCGAGCGCGGGCTGCGGCGCGCGCGCGCCGCCCGCCAGCCCGCGCCGCCCGCCGCGCCGCTCGACCTGCGTGCGCTGCCCGCGCCGCCGCCGCCGCCGCCCGCCGCGCCGCGCCCACCGCCAGCGCGCCGCCGCCGCGCCGCGCGCCGCCCGCCCGCGCCGCTCGACCCGCTCGCCGAGCGCCGCGCCTTCGAGCGCTGGCGCGCCGAGGTACTGCGCCGCGCCGCCGAAGACGACGACCGCTCCAGCGAGGACGCCGACCTGGACCCCGAGACGGCCGCGGATGCCGCGCCACCCGCCGAGGCCGCTCCGCCTACGCCGGAACCGCCTCCGCCCGAGCCCGACGAGTTCGAAACGCTCGAGGAGCACGCCGGCGACGGCCCCGACGAGGACGGCGCGTTCACCGGGTCCGACGCGTCGACGCCGAGCGAGGAGCGCGACGAACCTGACGAGGAGCGGGACGAGGGCGACGACGAACCACCCCCGATCGCGAGCACGCCCCCCGACGAGGTTCGCAGCGGACCGCGAGAACCGGAGACGCGCACTGTCCCCACCGACGGAGACGCAGCGACGAGGACGGCGCGCGGCCGCCGTTCGAGCAGTCCCGGGCGGCGCGCCGATCGACCGCGCGGACCCGACACTGAACCGGCCCGACCACGGGGCGCGGCCGCGCGCCACCACGGCCGCAAAGAGAAGGCAACGCGACGGCGCGGCGCCGAGCGGGCACCCGCCACGCCGCCGCGGGCGCCGCCCACGCCCGGCGACGTGCGTGCGCCGGCCGCGCTGCGGCGCGGCGCCACATGGAGCTCAGTGGTGGCGGAGGGCGCGGGCGGCGGCAGCGGCGCGACCGGCGTGGCGCCGCAGCTGGCACCCATCGGCTCGGACGTGCGACGGCGCGCCGAGGCAGGCCGGCCGGGCGCCAACTCGCTGTTCTACTTCAACGAGTCGCCGCCGCCCGCGGCGCCCGAGCCGCAGTACGCGTGGCGCGCCCCGTCCTCCGACTGTGCGCCGTTCTCGACGCCGACTCATCCTTACAGAGGTGCGATGTTGCAGCGATAAATATTTCATTTTGTCATTATTACTTTATTATATTTCTAAATGGAAAATAAACTGGACAATGTGAGTTAAACTCGCGTGATAAAAATTCTGAACGTTGATTAACTACGTCCTATGTTTTCAGTCCGACCCAAAGTGCGTGACTGATTAATTTGGAGACACGTAATACAAGAAGAACTGTTTAAGTATTTTTAGATTGTTGTGATACATATTAGCTGAGCGAGTGTGATCACGTTGCAGAAATGGCTGAACAGCCCGGCGCGGTGGGCGGCTACGGGTCTATCGGGTCGGTGTGGGGCGGCGCGCTGGAACCGCAGGCGCAGCCGGCGGCGGCGTGGCTGTGGGGCGCGTACGGCGGCCGCGGCGCCGCGCCGGCGGCGGCATCGGCGGCGGCGCCCGACGTGCGGCCGCCGCCCGGCTTCGGCGCGAGTCCGCGGCCGGCGCCGCGCACGTACGACCCGTTCCAGTCGCTGGCCTTCATCTGGGGCCCGGGCCGCGTGGACTGGCGGCCGGAGCCCGACGACAAGGACGGCCAGTGAGCCCCCGCCTGCGGTCGCGCCGCTCTAGTCGTGCACCCCCGCGGCCGCGACCCGCTCTCGATATGTTTACAGTGTTCCCTACTCGATCGTCTATTTAAGACTGAATAAACTTACGTTTCTAAAATTACTCTCTCGTTTTATTTACACTCGCCAAACATACCGTAGATGAGCATAACTTAAGTCTCAGTCTTCAGGAATGGCCATGAGCGCTCAAGCGGGCAGTCAACTTATTTGCTATTCTAAGTTGCAAAAAAGGTTTTATTTGGTCGTTTCTATTATTATAACTAGTAGAAATTTAAATGAATATAATAAATATGGAATAACATTACTTACTTCTTCCTGATTGGTTTGATTTTGAAACTTTACTAACTCAACTAAAAAACGGCGTCCATTTCCCGTGTTGCAAGTATCCATTATAGAATTGTGAATTCTTTTTTCTTGCGTAAAATAAATATAATGTGTACAGATACTTTTTCATGTGCATTAAAAGACTTTGTGTTGCTTTGACAAAAAAAGTAATATTTTACTTGTTAGTAATGCGGATTACCAGTTCCCTTGCTAACAATATACTTGATAGGTATTATGTCGACCTCCCTGTAGTCCTCCTAGAAACCACTGTTGAATTCCAGGCGTATTCAATATGAATGGCTAGCCTTCTCATTTTTACTTACCATTCCTTACTGGTGCCCCACCAATGTATACCGTTAGCTCAAGCGGGGTTACCGTTCCATTATCATTTATTAAAAAAAAATACCTTTTACCCATAAACGTGCCCGTAAATGCGATTTGTATAAAAAAAAAAAAAACTTAGATAACAGAAAATTGTCAAAGACAAATTTAATCTTCATTAAATGCTCTATAACAATATATAACATAAAAATTATATATAAATTATTTTACTAGAACTAATAAGTTATATGTTTGTTTCAAAAAATTGCATTTGCTCTCAATTTTCTGAAAAACGGGTAAAAAGGGTAGAAGGGGACGAGGCTATGGCACCGAGCAATATCGTAATCAGCGGTGTCTAATTACTCTATACAGGATAGATGGCAAAAAGTTTTACAAAATGCCGTTTGAACCCTATATCCACACATATGTTATAATGACACAGAGTCAACCGAGAACGCACACCAAATTCAAATTGATGAACTTAATTTACATGAATATACACATAGTTTAATATAGGTGGCCATATCAATTAGTGGTCACGGTTATTGATTTAGTAGTTTCTTCGCAAAAAAACTAAATAGAATCACAGAAATACTAATAAGAGATAAAAAGAAACAAGAAATAAGAAATACCTATAAATTTAATGTTTATGGACAAAAATGTACAAATTATTAGAACATTTAAAACAATGTTCGGTTAATTAATAACACTAAATAATGAAATAGAAATTTAATATCTATATTTAGTAGAGTAATCCTTAGGCGAGACAACCAGACCGCGGCCCTTGCGCGCGCCGCGGTACACGGTCTCGATGATGTCGATCATTTCCTGCTTGTCCTCGAGGGGCCAGTTGATCTTGTTGTTATTGCCAGTGCCCAGGTCGATCATGATGTGCTTGTTGCGGAAGAAGAACATCACCGTGCACGGGTCGTACAATTCATACCTGTAAATTAATACAAGAATAAACAAATTTTTTTTTAAATTATAGTTTTTATTTCATAGATATTAAAATTACTACTACAAATTGTCATCAGTACATTTTTAAATGTGGGAACTGAGAATGAATATATTTATTTTGAACATGTCTTAGTTTAGTACAATTGAAAATTTAAAATTCAAGCCACTGGGTACTCATTACTTTATTTTTCTGGGGACTTCCACATCTATCTTCGCAATTGGAATATAGTGTGCAAGAAAGAGGTTCATACAACAAACCAAGACTTGGTAATAATAGGAGGCCAGCAATATTGGAATTAGTATGTTACCAATATTAATATTACATGTACTACTGAAGAATACATTGCTCTATATTATGCTTGTATGGCTACATTTTGGTTTGAAAGTAGCAATATGCTAAATACAATTACAGGGTATTAGTCCTTAGTCCTCAGGAATTGCAACATATGAGGCCAACTCATCATTGTCACAGTATATTCTGTGATGTTTACGGTGCTGTTTATGTTTCACTACAGTTACCATTCACAAATAATAACTTTTATAGAATTGTGACAATATATTACAATGTGAAAGCAATCACACAACAACCATCACAGGCACAATTATATCAAATGTTATTAAATTTACATTTCATCCATACACACACACACACACATATATATATATATATAGCTAAGATTCCATGTTCTTATTAATATCAAGGTTCAAAAGTAATGTGCTCACCTTTTATAGGTACTTATATCAGATATAATTTCATACATATTTTTTTTTAATGTTTTATACATGTACTGTTTGGTGTGCCTTAATAAATAATAAATAAGTAAACAGTATGCTATAATAAAAATGTATATTATTAACCTGATGGCATACTCACATTTTGTTGAAGTCTGGCACCTCTGTGATGTCCACTAGATAGATGACAGCAAAGTTTTTAACCTTCTCAGCTATACTATACAGGACCTCATCCATTTTCATACATGTAGGATCCCAGTCATGACCAAATCTAATCACCTATAACAATAAATATACATTCTGTTATTTAGAGTTATAAATACAGATGGGAAACGAAAAGTGATTTCACTTGAACATTTATAAAGTATACAATATATTTAAAAAAATACTGAGCTTGAAAATGCATCATCAACTAAATAAATGACAAAATATCTTAACAGCAAAATAGTATTAATATAAGCAATCTATAGAGATTAAAACTTATTGTCTTACCACCACGCGATCTTCTTCAGACAAGATTGCCTGATCCACCTGCCAGCCGTTGTGTAAATGTCCCAGCATATAACTCATGATGCTATTTTGATTAAAAACTTTGCAGATACAATTATATTTATGTAGTTCAGCACTTTTACAATACACACATAAACTATACGATATTACTACTGAAAGTCTAATGCTTTCGTTTTGTTCTCGAATTGTCGATTAATAGCAGAATCATACATATTAATAGTCAGGTGAAAACCAAACGAGATACCACAGATTAATTAGTGTATTTTACAACAAAAATTTTATTATATATTTTGCTATTAAAAAGGGTTAAAATATTATGAAATAAAAAAAAATGTGAAAATTATGAAATTAAAATTATTTCCTTTTTTTTTTTTTTTTTTAGTACGTTTGTTCCGTTTGGAACAGGCTAAGGTCGGAGACCATGCTGCCTAGTCTTCAAAAAGATAATTTGTCTGGAATTTTATTTTTCTAATGTCGCTTCAATTATTGTCATAATCTTCAATATTTCATTTGTCAAATCCGGTAAGTACATTTTCATAAATATCTTTTCTTGAGTTTTCTTAAACCAGTGGATTTATCAAATTAAAAATAAATAATTATAAAAAATCATTGTCTTGCAATTCAATAAAAGTATTCTTATAGCTCCTTGAATGTTGTAGTAATATAAGTGAAAGTAGCTTTGAAACAAGAAGGAAATCTTAAGAGAAGCGGGATTGAGTGCGGGATATTTTCGGGTTTTTTGAAGATAATCCTAAGTTCGTCAAACATAATGTGTCTTTGAATGACAAATTCAGAGCAATCAAAAAAAAGGTGATGTAGAGATTGGGCTGTATTTGAGTTACACCATGTGCATGATGGGGAAGCGATCATGCCCATTCGGTGCAGGTGTTCGTTGAAATGTCCGTGGCCGATTCGTAATCTACAAATATTGGTGTAAAATTTTCTGTTTGTGTCCTTTCCTTTGCAGAACCACGGTTTTCCAATACGCCAATTAATTTTGCGGTACCATTTGCCTTTAGTCTGTAATATTTGAGTCCAATGCTCCTCCCATTTAGTTGTAACGATTTTATGTATTCCAATACTACAATCTGAGTAACAAAGGGGTAAATCTTGAACACGAGCAGCACTTGAATTAATAATTTTAGCCAAAGTGTCTACTTGTTCATTCCCAAACACTCCAATATGTGAAGGGGTCCAGATGAAGATAATATCTTTTCCATATATAGTACAGAGATGATAATATTTATTACGAATTTCTTGAATTAAGTAGTTTGATGATGAAATGAATGTGTTATTTTTTAATGCCATAAGAACACTCATACTATCTGTAATTATAATCCATTTCGAATATAGTACCTGTTTTTCTATGTATTCTAATGCTAAAAATATAGCTTTTGCTTCTGCTGTGTAAATACTAGCCAAAGTTGAAATTTTATAACCGTGACCAAATCTATTTGACAAATCGTAAAAAGCCACTGAAGTGCTAAGTGCATTTTTGGAACCATCTGTATATATCTGCCTGTAGTCAATAAATTCTGATAAAGTCTCATACATATCGTGCTTTTCTTTTATGTCTTTACGTATAACAATTTTGATTTTACAGAACTTACTCTCATAAAGGCCATTATAACAAGGAAGTATCTTACTACTATAGATGTTATATTCATCTCGTAAATTCAAATCATTGACAATAGTTTTATTCAAAAACATAGAAATGGGGCAATTTAATAATTTGAGTATGAGTGGGTTATTGGAAACTGAAAAAACTTTGAAGAGAAATTTGAGTTTTAGGTATTCGAAACGAAGAAGGATAGGAGGCAAATTACATTCTACTTGCATTGAGATAATTGGAGAAGTATACATAGCACCTAAAATAAGTCTTAAATTCATATTTTGAATTTTTTCGAGTTTTTCTACTAATTTATGTTCTGAGGCATAACAAAAGAAAGCGTAATCAAAATTACTTCTAACAAGAGATTTGTAAAGTAAAAGGATAATTTTAGGATCAGCTCCCCAGTTACGACCAATTACAGATCTTATTATATTAGTGGCTCTTAAAGCACGATCTACTAAGCAATCAACGTATAGATCCCATTTTAAATTTTGATGAAAAATTACCCCAGAAATTTAACGCTACAGTCTGTTGGAAGAGTTTGATTATTATATATAATATTCATTAATGGAACATATTTATGAACTTGATGAAAAACAACTACTTTACTTTTGGTTAAACTAATATCGAGGGAAAGAAGAGAAAAATATTTCTCAAGTCTTTTTAATGACTCATTTAACACTAATTGCATATCAATAATATTCTTTCCTTTTATATAAATTAATAAATCATCGGCAAATTGCAAGTTGTTCACACTGTTTCCTAAAATTGAATTAAGTTTATAGATATATAAAATATATAGTAGCGGGCTTAGAATACCACCTTGACATACTCCTTTAGAGCTTAACCTAGGTCCTATTAATTTACTATTTACTTTAACATACACTTCTCTATTACTAAGAAAATTATAAATCCATTCGATAAGTTTCATTGGAAGAAATGAGGATAAAATCGAAGATAGAACTGTTAAATTTACATTGTTAAAAGCTCCTACGACATCTAAAAAAACAGATAGAACATATTCATCGTTATTCAAAGCAGTACTAAGGTCGACATAGAAGTTCGCTAAACTTTCGCGCGCTGAATATCCACGGCGAAAACCAAATTGATTCGATGGTAATATACTATTACTTTCAATAAAGAACTCTAAACGCTGTTTAATTAATTGTTCGAATAATTTGCCTGCACAGGACGTCAATGTTATAGGTCTATAGGAGTCGAAATTTGTAGGATCTTTACCGGGTTTAATTACTGGAATCAAACAATCCATTTTCCATTCTGGTGGGATAATACAGTCCTTCCATAAATCGTTAAAAATTTGTAAGAGTTTAGTAAGGTTTATTTTATTCAGCAATCGAAACATATTGTATGTTAAGCGATCAAGGCCACTAGCTGTATCTTTTCTAGATTTTACTGCACTGGATATTTCATCAATTGAGAATGGGTCAGTGAGAAATTTTGGGCATGAATTAACAGAATTAAACTGTTTGTCATCAAAAGGTGAGTGTACAAAATCAGGAGTATATTTGCGTAAAAAATCATTGACCCATGATATATCTTTAAAATGATTTTGACGATGTTTTGAATTTAGTTTTCTCATATTTTGCCAAACAGTGGAAATTGGTATTAATCTATTAAATTTGGAACAAAATTCCTGCCACCCCTGTTGTCTTACTTGCTTAATTACTAACTTTTTAACAGCTTGAACTCTTTTAAAATTTATGTAATTATCGAGAGTTGGATTTTGTTTAAACCTAAGGTAAGCCGCTTTACTATCATTGACAGCTGTCGCACACCTGTTATTCCACCAAGGTACTGCAATATGTTTGTGCCTCTTTGAAGTATTTGCACCGCTATTTGATAAGTTCCTACGTGGAACGGAACGTTCCACAGCTGTCAAAATAATTTTACAGAGTCTATTGTAATTGTTTAAGGGCTCATTGACATCATACTCGAAATCCAAAAGTAATTGATTAACAGTTTCAGAATAAAGATCCCAATTAACGAGACGTAGGTTTATACGATTTAACAAAAGTTTATTAACTTCATCTATAGGAGCATGTTGTTCACCTGACGGAGTTGATGAAGAGTTCTTTGTGTTTATTTTAGTAAAAGTCGGCAGGTGATAACTTCCTAACGGATCATCATGAACCGACCACTCGCATTTTAATGATATGGATGGGGATACCATAGTTAAATCAAGGCCATTGGGTCTCCAAATATGAGAGCCAACAGTAGTAACTTGCTTATCATTTAATAGTACTAAATTACATTCATCTAAACAATCAAGAATGTCTTTACCTCTTGTATTAGTGGAGGTACAACCCCACATAGTATGATGTGCATTTAAATCTCCAGATATGATAGTGGGTTTAGGAAGAGACTCCAAAAAGAACTTAAATTTGGCTTTAGTAAAACTAGGTGTACTATTGGTAGGACAGTAAATACTGGCAACTGAATACCAAGAATTATTAACTTCAATACTAATAGCTATAGTTTGCAAAGAATTGTCGAAAAAAGAGTGAAGTTTTTTATATCTAATACTATTATGTATAATAATCGCTACTCCATTGTGGTTATTACCACAATCATTTCGTTCTATACAATAATCTTTAATTTTTAATTTGTAATGTGGTTTTAGCCAAGTTTCTGAGATGAGAGCAATGTGAATATGATGTTCATTTAAAAATTGTGTAAAAATATGTCGATTGCTCAGTAGGCTCTGAGCGTTCCACTGTATGATAGTTAATTGGTCTCGATTGAATTTTGTGAAATAGGTCTATTACCAAAAGTATCATATAACACATTCAAAACACTTTTAGTGTTAATAGATGTGTTCTTTGTGTTATGTAGTGAAATAAGTTTGATTATGCTTTCTATTAAAAGTGATAAACTCTTGTTATCAGAATTTAGAATTGAAATTAGGTCTACATTTTTTTTAGGTTTGTTACCCAGTTTAGGAAATATTTCAGTGCTAAGTATATCTCCAAAAGAAGCAGGTCTGAATTTAGATCTATTTTCAGCAATTTTCTTTTGTTTAACAGGGCATTGCGGTGATACACTTGTGTGATTTCCATTGCAGTGTACACAAATAGCGTTTTCCATTCCAGTTGTACAAGTTTTATAATTATGCTCACCTTTGCAGATGCTGCAACGCTCAGAATTCTTACAGAATTTAGCTAAATGTCCATACCTCAAGCACCGGTAGCATTGTTTAACTGGTGGTATATATGGAGTGACATTGTGGCGCCAACCTCCAATATCCAGATATTCAGGTAATACAGATGCAGCAAAAGTAATTGTCACGGTTAGAGTTGGCTGTAACACATATCCATGAGTCAAGGTATTTTTTTCTTAAAATTCTTTTAATAGCAATAATTTTCTTAGAACTCGATATCATAGTATATATTTTTTTATTAGATATATTTGTAGGTACATTTCTAATAACGCCTGTAACTTCTGTTGAAGAAGCAGGAATACTGGCCTTAAAATGGTAGTCATTTAAAAAAGTTTTATTATTTAAAAAAGCATTGGCTAAGTCTGGCTTTTGAAAGTATACTCCGATTTTGAATTTATTTATAGATCTAAGATAAGTTACCCCTTTATTAAATCGTTTTAAACAGGAGGAGAGTGAGAGCAAGTCTCTGGATCCAATGGTTTTCTGACTATCTGAGGATTCTACAAAGACAACAAATTCTGTCCCAGGGGATTCCTCGGGATATCTTCTAATATAATCTGTGACGTAGTAAGGTTTATACTTATCGGCCTTATCAATTTCAGATTCTGAGTCAGTAGAAGTATCTTCCGAATATATATCCTTGTCATTACAAGGTTCATGGTCTACATCACCTGAATCGTCATCTTTTTTTTTCCTTTTTCTACAACTGCGCTTCCCCATGAATGCTAATTATATTACTGTCGCTGAATTTAGTGAAAATATAATATTTTATTCAATAATAAGAATTGATAGAGATAGTTTTAATAAATTAATAAAAAAAATTTAAAAAACCCGCTTGTTCTTATTCGAGTTTCCCGCCTTTTCTAAAATTATTTCCAACGATATGTCAACAGAGAAACGTCAAAGATGAAATATCGAATATGACATTAGACATGACATTGCTTTTTTTTGGTTCTGTTTATTCCAAAGTGAATGGCAAAGAGCTTTGCCCATACAGCTCATGTCTATAAGAGAATATTAATAATATTAGTGACGTTATCTGTCATGCCACTGATCAAAAGCAGAGATTATACTGATACAGCTATATTTGATACTAGGTAATGTTTTTTAATCCTTACCAATATTATAATATAAATGCGAAAGTGACTTTGTTACTTTATAGCGCCTTAGTGCTTTTCTATAGATAGAGCGATTGACTAAAGTTACTATAGGAATTAGTTTTGATCGATCAGAAATAAGTTGATGATATGAAAATACATTTAATTCTTGGGGGGAAAGGTATGGGGTTTGACTTGTATATTGCTAGCAATATACCCTGTCAGGTCGACCTACACGCGGATCCCCCTGGAAACCATCATGGTTAATTATTGATGAATTCGTTATGAGGGGCTAACTGGCCTGCTTCATTCTCACTTATCATCACTGACTGGTGCCCTGCTAGTGTATATCGATAGCGCAAGCGGGGCTTTTATCATCCGTTAAAAAATGGGTACATTTAATCCATTTATCTATAGAAAGCGCCAAATAATGTTTGCCGGGTTAGCTAGAGTCATACATTTAAGTATCTTTCCTACAACCTGCTACAGCAAATTTGTTCATAAGCGCAGTAAAACTGCGTTTATTAAATATAGTTTTGTAATTGGAACATGGTTTATGTAATTTACTGTTTACCATTTCAAAGGAATCATTGAATGCCTTTAACTGTCCACTGTTGAACATAAAAAAAAGCGTGGAACTACTGGGTTTTCCCAATAGTTCCACGCATGACAGGTACCTCTGCCCCATTCGTGTTTCAAGCGTGAAGCATTTATGTTTGCATGGCCGTGTTTCGGTTTAAAGGGTGGGATATAAATTTACAGGGTACAGAGCAATAACACCTGAGTCCTCAGGAATGGCAACGCATGGGGTATAAATATAAAGAGGTTTCAAGAGGAACGCTGCTGCCTATCTCTCACCTTCCCTTAGTCGCCTCTTTTACGGCACAATTATATATTATTAATGTACAAACACACACTTTGTAAACAGGTATGAAAGTGTGTTTGTTACTTCCTAAGTACGATAATTATGACCATGGTAGGTATGCAGGGTCGTAACTAGATCCATGTTTAAAGTAGGGCAAAATAACTTTTTAATAGGGCAGAAGCCATAATTGAGTTCGAAAAAGCAAATCTGTGTAATTTTCTTGAGGCCTTTCGGTAGGCCTAAGGCCTAAGGTAGGGCATTGCCCTCAATGCCTCCAATTTCTAGGTACAGTCATGTAGGTATGTATATAATTCTATCTATTTATCATTATATTCATGGATGGGTGCTACATGTGACGAATTATTTAATATTTAATTAGGATTAATATGCATTTTTTATATTAATATTTTAATTTGATTAATTTCAGATCTATATGTTTATCTGTATGGAAAAAGAGCAACAGGTGCGTTTTTGTCCATTCTTCATAACACAAGAGTTCATAAGACATTAGTTACAAGAATCAATAAAGACGACTTTACGGAATGTTTATGTTGTATAAGAAATATTACTTCATAGATATCTGATTTCCGTCATCTGATCTCAGATATCTATGAGCCGTGCATATGATATAATTACTTTTTTAATTTGAATTCAGTCCCATTCTATTCGGTTAAGTTCAGTGTGAGTGGATACCACTAGGTGCACAATACCTTTTACTTAATTTCTGTCTTAATTTACTTTACACCTATTTTTAAATTTTTCTTAAAATAATATTAGTAGTTACTAATAATACATTTTTATACATATACCTATAAGTATATTGTCATTTCGCCACCCCGTCAAATTTTATTAAAGATTTAGTTTGTATATGGCTAAACAAGGGTTTGTTCTATTCTATTTACCCAGAGCTATCGTCATCAAGATAAAGGCAGATTCCAGATTGTTGCTCCAACGTTGTTAAGTACAAGGATTAGCTATGTACATCGCAGTAAGTAAGATCGCATAGGCTTTATTCCAATTATGAGACAGGAAAGCGATTGAATGTTACAAACAGCCGTAAACAGGAATTTTAAGAATGAATATATAATTGGTGTATATAGACATTAACCCGGTGTCCTACAACACTGACTGAGACGATGGAGTACGCAGCTTCGTCCACTGCTGTGTTAGAGCGCGGCGGTGACGGTGTTCACGGCCGCCGCGGTTCCACGCCGCTCAGTGGGGGGCGGGGGGCGGGTGCCGTCCCGCCTGGCACATCGCCACCGAATCGCGGTCACACATCAAAACACAGATTTCTCGGCAAAAAATAACGAGCGGTTGCACCAGAACTCGTTCACTCGCCGCGTTAGTAGCATATACTCGTAGCGTGCAGTAATTGCTATCTCTCATATATTGTCATCATTCCCAGTTCATGTTTCCTGTTGAAATCGAAGTCATTTTATGATTCCGAGTGATTACTTGGAAAGTGTGTGTTTACGCCTGATTAGGTGAGGCGTATTATTGGTTGGAGGTCATGGGATCAGTAGGCGGCGCACGCGCCTGCGCTGCCGAGCGGGGTGGCGGCACAGTGCGCGTCGACACCGAGCTGACAGGAGTATGAGCTCGAGCTACACTGCGCGCCCGCCCCGCTGTCTCGTCGACATTGTGCACGGACGCCAAGTGAAATATAGAACCTCAATAGAACTGTAACATTTCTGTGGGATCTGTCATTTAGTTTACATCGTAGTATCGCCACATAGAGTACGTATCTACTTGTAATACATTGGTACCTTAACAACACCGGTATTATAATTATATATCATTATTGTAAGATACAAAGAAGGTGCAATATGTCGATAAGTGTGTCATGTACATACCAGGGTCAAGTAGCATTAGCAACCCGTATCAGGCAAAATAAAGATGTTAGAAGACTCGCCCATTAGCTATAAGGTGATATTCACTACAACGACAACTCGGCAATAGGTATATCTCTTCCATTATAACTCGGTACTGAAACTTGTTAGGTGTTTTTGGAAATATTTTTAAAATGAGCAAAACTGTATGCGTAAAAATATTATTAAGAAATCCTAAGTATAAGGTTGTAAATTCAAATTTCATTTTAATAGTTTGATTCAACCGGATAATTTCTTTTATAATTGTGATTGTACTCGTACTTCACTCGGTATATTATCTTTACTATTTTTTTTCTTTCGAAGGAAAAGTATATATTATGTTCACGTACTGGCCACTAATAATTTTGTAAATACTGCCCGGTAACAATTTGTTCTATTTATTCTTTCAATGAATAAATTAGTGTTTAACCAATTCGCTTGCGTATCACTACAGACGAGATAACTAAAAGATGCGGGTTCAAATCCAGTCGGAATTCAATTCCAAGGGATTTGAAAATTTGAACCAACATTTTGAACTTTGATTTAGGAAATTATGTAGTCCAAACTCAGTGTCAGCGTTATGTTTTTTACGCTACTAGAAATAGGAAGCATGTTTATCGCGGAAAACAGTTACTTCAATTATGTCGATTGCAAAAAGAATTATGAAGGTCATAAATCATATACAATTGACTAAGATATTGTACACCACGTACACAAAAACTATACATGAATTGAGAATCTCTTCCTTTTAGATGTTTAGGTTATAATGAAAAAAGAAAAGAGTTGTAGATCAACGCAGAGATGTGTAAAATATACCTGTCGAACTTACTTTTGTATTATTCGTTTGAGTAGGTAAGACTACCGTCCTTGTGTTCTAGAATTGCAATAGAGAAGTGCCTTAGTCGTTCCAATATATTCATCTAGGTCGTCAGCTCGTTTGCCATTCTTCAGTAAACATAATCTACTCTTTAATCGTACGTGACCATGGTTGGGCAGAGAGAATAACGTCGACGACGCGGGAGTGTGCTAATCAATTCTTAATCGATTTCGTAAATGATAAGATATTTTCATATTTTAATCGAAAGGATTTATGAAGAAAAATCAAAGTGGTCCCGAAGGAATATGGTTTAGGATAAGTTTAAATTTATTTTGTTTAAATTAACAATTGTTTTATTGTTCGTTAGTAATTGTGACTACATGTTAAAAATACTCATATCTTCATTGTATTAAATATTTGATAGAACATAAATACAGTTTCTAAAAGAAGCGAACAGCACAATGTATGAAGGTCAACAATGTTTATTTAATTTGTAACGAGTCGGTACTACCTACTGGAATACTTATTCCGCGAGGCGTGAATGCCTGCCGCGACGCGGAGACGTGGGCGCAACTGCACAGCCGACGATAGGCGCGGAACAAGCTGCTCCCGCGCACCACGCGGCCGTCAGTGAACATTACGTATCGTTAGTAAGAACAAGTACAGACGCATACATCTAGCAACAACGCATACCTGATAACTGTTAGATCACATCACCGTCTTAAGTCATGTATGTAAAATAATTTCCTACAGTGAAAATCGGTAATGGGAACAAGCGATCATATTACCAGTAATATGCCATGTCACATGACCACGCGTTTCTCTCTCGAATCGACCCTTGTGACTTCATCTCAATGATAGGTCATTGTGTGAACTTCATCATCACATGTAGGGACATCTGATCCAGCTGAAAGAATATCACTGATGAGGGCATCACTGATATTCTTTCAGCGTAAATTGATAAGTGCCGCAAGTGCGTTACACTCCCATTTTCGTACATTTAATAATTTAAAGATTTTGTCCCACAAAAAAAATCGACTTCAATTGTAATAGAACCAGTTATTCTGAGAGTATTGAACCGATTTTGATAAAATTTTCCATAGGCCTAATCTGTAATTATAACTTTTCAGATAAAAAAAATTTGCAAGTCGGTTTAAAACTGATTGTTATGAGGTAATGAACATAAATAAAAACGGCCAAAGAAAATATATTATTATATCTGTATGCCCCTCGAGAGTGGACAGTAATGATCGAATTCGTTTTTGTCTAATACGAGGATCATTTGAAAAGTTCTTAGCCTAACATACTTAATGAAACCACATGATTTTGAGTTTATTTTTATTTTTCAACATACTCTCCTCCGAGCTCAAAATACTTTTTCCATCGACCCGGTAAGGCTTCGATACCCGTTTTAAAAAAATCTTCATCTAACTCCTCAAAATAAGCGTCCACGGCGGCTATGACCTCTTCATTTGAAAAAAAATGTTTACTACCTAAAACTACCTTTGACTTCTTTGGGGTGGGCGATCCTGCTCTTTTCCATTGTTTCGACTGTTCTTTTGTCTCGGGTGTATTGTGGTGAACCCAGGTTTTATCCATAGTTATAAATCTTTCAACAAATTCTATTGGGTCAGCTTCATATAACTCTTACCAGTCGCGAGAAGTTCTGAGTCGGTTGCGTTTTTGTTCCACTGAAAGCAGTCGCGGTACCCACCGCGCAGACACCTTAGAGAATCCAAGTTCAGTAGTAATTATATGATGTGTTCGCTCACATGAGATGCCTACAGTCTTAGCTATCTCCTCGACAGTCAATCTTCGATCAGATAAAATTAAATCACAGTTTTTTTCTTTGAATTGATCAGTGGAGCAGTCGAAGGCCGGCCACTACGGGCCTCATCTTGAATGGTCTCACGACCACGTTTAAACTCTGCCACCCAGTTTTTAACAGTCGCATACGAAGGAGCGGACTCACCCAAAGTAGCAGACATGTCTTCATGTATAGCTTTTGGAGTTAAACCTTTCAAATTCAGGTATTTTATCACTGCACGATGTTCAATTTTATCCATTTTCAAAAATAGCTCTGACTGACGGTATCACGTGTAAACGAACAATGAGTTACTGTGAATAAACTAAACTGTGCATACTTGTTGCTAAATAATGTAATTTCAAAATGAGGGTAGTTATAAAAAAACCAATAACTTTAACCATGTTAGGCTAAAAAATTTTCAAATGACCCTCGTAAGTACCTAATATTTACTTTTAAACTGAGTACTATTTTCTTCTATGAAGTTAAAGCTGAGTTTGGTGGTGGCGTGCACGTGCTGTACACCAATATGGAGACCGTGTACCCGGCGTCGGCGTCGGCACTAGCGCGGGGCCGGCGCCTCCGCCGCGCCGGACCGCGGCTGCGACATCGCACCATGCCGGTTACTTTTGCCGAAATCAAGGTAATGCCAAGACCGAACACAACATACTTAACCTTATTTTTAATAATATACTCCACAAATAACAAGGAGACTTATTAATAGACTAAACCGTCTTTCAAAAAAAGCGTTAACGCACACTTTTTATTTTTATCCGAGCAGTAAGTACTTTATATTATTCTCAATTTCGTGTATAATATAGTATATGTCATATATGTGTAAGTATATTTGTTATTTATATATATTTATTCGTTTATATATGTAATTTTAATACGTATGTATATTAATAATTAGTAGTACCGCATTCGAGTATTCTGACACTTCCCTATGGTTGACTGGGAGAGAATGCTTTTAGCATTAAGTCCGCCATGTACACATATTTGTACTAATGAATAAATAAATAAATAAATAATGTAAACAACGTTATTTTAGTTGTAGGTCGTAACCTACTGCTTAACTTGTTCATTATTTTCACGCACAATATTCTGCTAATTTCAATAAATAGATCGTTGACAAAACCGAATAGTAATTGGCGCCGTGGTGATAATTGTACAACTGTCTCAAAATCGTCATTAAAATGTCGTCGCGGCAGCTGTACCCGTCATATGAAACTAACTGAAATATCAAAATATTTCCATGGATTGTACTCTATCAACACTTTAATATTGTTGGTAAATTATATTTAATTTCTTATGATAGCCATTATAAATCGGTTGTGCGTTGTTGCCTCTACTCGTAAAGATGAGACCTTAAGATTTGATACAGACGAAGGAGAGTTTAGTTCTTGGGGTACGATACTTACTAGACTTGTGCAGAGGGACTCTTCTTCATCAGCTTGTATAAAAGAAACCACACTGTAACGGCATTTTCAGTGTGGTTTCTTTTATACAAACTGTAGAGAAAACCGTAATAAGCTTAGGGAGAGAACGCGATACTTTGATTCTCTTTTGATTTGGTGATAAGCTACTATGTTTAGGGCACGTTGCTTAGTGTAAATGAGGTCCTGAGTTCTATTGCTGGTCGAGCTTATGTATGAAACGTACATTTCTGTATTGCTCGGGTCTGGGAGTTGTGGGTGGTGCCGCTTGACGTTCGTAGCGTGGTTGCTCATCAGGCAGGATAACCTCGCTCGAGGAGCAGGCGGTCGGTGTGGTTGTGTGGCATTTATTATTTTTACTTGTATTATTCTTATATCTGCGTGTATATTAGAGTTAGAAATTACATATTTTAGCAATTATAGAGGGATCGTGTTTTATGGAGTTTATATTATGTTGTAAATCACAAAAAAAATATACATAGTACTGAGTAGGAGCACAGTATGAGTAATAATAGATAGTAGTTTAATGACGGTTAGTTAATAAGGTCCTAGAGTTTAGCAAGCAATTAATGGATCACTTAAGAATATGTATATATATAAAAATATTGTCAGAAAATTCATCCTCACACGCTTGAACCTAAACGGTCACGTACAGTGCAGTTTCAGAGAAATTTTCTCCCGTGAACGCTCAGGCTGTGTAATGAGCTCCCAGCCTAGGTTTTCCCGACAGACTACAGTATTGGATTCTTCAAGGGTATATTAAGGTTTCTTCAGGGTCGGAAAAGCGCGCATTACACCCTTAGCAGACGTTCATAGGCTACAGTGATTGTTTACCATCAAATGGGCTGTACCACATTATACCACAAAGGTGGCATATAATTTTAACATTTGACCTATGATGTCTCATTGCTACGCAAAATTCTCTCTCAACTGGCTCCATTTCGCACGATCGCTGGTCAAGCCGTGCGTTTATAGACCCGGTTAAGATATCTTCATCAGCAGTAAGACACTGTAGGTTTTGATTGATTGGTTGGTTGATTTGTTGTTCGTTTGATTGATAACATTAAAATGAGCTATTACGGTGAAAAAAAAATCATACTGCTGACTGGCTATTACGGTATAAAGATCCCGAAAACGTTTTATTTAGCATCAGTGATACCTTGCGTTCGACGAAGAACGCAGCAATTTTTATACGAAAAATTCATATAAGAACAATATGTTATTTGAGCTTTTCGGCTGAGCTAGTGAACGCTATGTGGGTGTTTATAAATCACTAAATGTGGTTTGCTCCACCCATAACTTAGTTGTATAATTTCAGGAGGTGGACGAGGAGAACGAGGAGGCGTACGCCGAAGTAGCGGAGGAGCGGCGGCGGCGGCCCGACCTGCTGGACGAGTCACTCGGCCGCCAGTTTGCAGAGTTCCGCAGGCGGCGCGCGCGCCGGGAGCCGCTGCGCGAGCGCGACGCCGACGAGCCGCCGCCCGCCGCCGCCGCCGCCGCCGCCGCCGCCGCCGCCGCCGCCGCCGCCGCCGCCACCGTGCAGCGCGCCGGCAGCGAGCCCACCGAGCTACACCAGGCGCCCGACACTTGAACTTACCACTAGCTCGTTGACACTTTATTGTAGCGACAAGTTTCATCGCGCGACACCGTTTCCAACTGTCAGTGAAGTACGATGTGAAATTTGAGTTCCCTTGCTGCGTCCTTTTTTGTGAGTAGTAGTAGTACAAGTGATCGAAGAGGATATACTACGAGGAACCGAGGTGACAATAAAACAGTAGGATAGACAATAATTTTATTTATTGTTGGTTACAATAAATTAAATAAATAACACCCGTCGATCACGCGTCGCTCGGACGAATCAATAAATAGACACCTCTATGTACAGTACACCCTTCTAATCTTAGAGGTACGTACGCAATTATAAACGAACAAATTCATAGTAATTACTTTATTGTACAGAGTGGCACGCCTCGTGTTCTTATTTTATATTTAAATTGTATAATGTTGCATGTTAACAAATTATTTTGTATGTTTTTTCAAAATGTGCCATGCATAGTGCATTTCTAAATAATTGTATTATAATGTAATTCAATGTTTATTTGTAAGTATTTATTATTTGTAGTTTCAATTGACTTTTATTATAGAATTCGAAAAACAATGAACCTACCAATACGGAACCAATTTTTCCTTATTAGTATTTAAATTTTAAAAACCGGAGGTTCTAAATTTTTTGTCAACTTTTATTAGAAAAATAACTACCTTGTCTTTTGATAAATATAAAAAAGTAATTTATTTTTAAATAGAAAAAGGAAGTATGTATGATTATATAATACACACACTGCGTCTAGCGCAGTTCTTAAATATTGGTAGGTGCTCCATAACTCGTAGGTAACGTAACAAACAGGAGGCGGTGTGGAGCGCCGCGTCGCGGCGTCGGGGGGAGGGCGATGAAGCCCACTTTCGCTCCAAACTTCTTAATCGACCCCCACTCGATACTCCTCTCGTATAAAATGTAACTTATTAACGATCAATACTTAGTAATAATGGTAATCGAATACTGCGTCGGGCTGCTGAGGCTAAGGCCTATGTAACATTGTAACGATCTCTTATTTTTCTAAAATGTACAATAATATCACTTATTTTACGTACACAGTACGATCTGCACCTACAGCATTGTAAATAATTATGTAATTATAATCTAACCGATGTCAATATTTATAAATATTCTTATTTCATAAAATTTTCTAAATATATATTAATTTTCTTTTAATACTTGTTTCATAATAATCGTCATGACATTTAATACTGTACAAAATATTCAAACAGCGTTTTATTTGTCTACATTGGTATGCGGCTAGCGCACGGCCTGCTACTAAGTGTAAACACTATTTCGAAGGATACTCGTCGTCAACTTTTGTACCGGAAAGCTCGTGCACCCGGTCGAGTGCGGGCGAAACGGCCGGCGGCAAAACTGTTCTAATGGACGGTTAAATAAGACACTCCATGAGGTCGCGGCGGCGGGCGGGGCGGTCCGCATCTCGCGAAGACCGCGGATTATCTTACGGTGGCGGGATGACGTCGGGTGTCAAACTCGACGGTGGATATTGGGGGGTCAGTCTTTGAAGTGACATCGCTGACGAGCGGGCGATCAGCGGGCGTCCGAGTCGTCCGGCTGCTGCTCTGCCTCGGCGGCCGACGGGATCGTGTGCAGGTGGCGCGGCGCCAGCACGGCGGGCGGCAGCGGGCCGGGCGAGCCGGGCGGCTCCTCCGCCGACACGGCCGGCTGCCGCGTCAGCCGCGGCCGCGCCGGGCCCGCCGCGCTGCCGCCCGACCGCGACGTGCGCCACGTGCCCGTCGACGCGGTCGCGTTCGATCCCGAAGAGTCGTTGCGCGACGACGACAGGTTCGAGTCTTGCGATGTCTTGCGGGCGACGAGCCAGGACGCGGCGCGGCGCGGCGGCGGCGGCGGCCGGCCGTATGCGCGCCACGAATCCGAGCGCGACGACGAGAACTCGACCGAGGAGGACACCGAGCCGGCGCGAGCGGGCGCAGCGGCGGGCGGGCGCGGCGCCGGCACGGGCGCGGGCGCGGCGCGGCGGCAGGCGGTGAGCCAGCGCATGAGACGTTCACGGCCCGAGCGGCGCGGCGCCGGCCCGCCGTCCGCGCCGCCCGGCGGTAGCAGGCGCCGGCACGCGCATGCCGCGCCGTGCTGCCCGCGCGACGATCTCTCCGCGAGGCTATTCGTGTTCGCCGGCGTCTGGCGGTTGCTGAAGTTGGAGGAGTGTCGGCAGCGGCCGATACCGCGTGTGACCCGCGACTCCTCGATGGCTTTACACACGAGTGCGCAGTCCTTCTTGAACTGTTTCGTGAGAATTGCGTAGAGAAATGGATTGCAGCACGAGTTGAGCGGTAGTACGAACACCGTGAAAACCTTCGCTTCCTCGAGGGAGACGAGCCGTGCGCCGAAGGCGGCGGTCAGGGCGAAGAAGGCGATCGGCGACCAGCACAGGAAGTCGGTGAACACGAGAAGCGCCATCCGCTTGGCGATGCGCGAGTCGTTCGAGTTCCAGGCCTGTGACCCCCGAATCGCACAGTACATTTTGAGATAACATCCCAGCAGTACAAGGAAGGCGACGCCGTTGATCACGAGCAACGCGACGACGTAGCCCAACGCTACCGGTGTACTCGTCTCGAACGGTAAGCAAACGGCGAACTTCCGATAATCGGACACGCCGAATAGTGGTAGCGCAGCGGCTATTAGTGAAAACGCCCAGCCGACGGCCATCACTACGGCCGCGTGTCGCAGCGACAGTCGCTTGTTGAGATGCATCGCGTGTGTGATCGCATAGTTGCGTTCGAGTGTAATCACAGCGAGAGTATATACTGAGAGCTCGGAAGACAGCACGCCCAGGAAGCCCGCTAACCGGCAGCCACCCGACATTTGCCAAGCGATAGCGTGCGCTCGAAATTCGCCTAGCGTGCCGGCGTCTACTACAGCCAAAAAACCTGGTAAAAGAAAATGAGAATTATAGGTTATTCGCTATACAGTTGTTGTAAATTAAATCCTCTAAATGAATGAATGAATGAATGAATGAATGAATGAGTATACTTTATTTGCATTATACAATATAGGAAATAAACAAGATAATTTACAAACATAACGATACAATTGTATAAGTACAGTGAGGCGGTCTTATTGCTGAGAGCAATCTTTTCAAGACAACCTTAAGATAATGGACTAATTGTTGTACAAGTAGGTATAATAGTGCTTTATAATTAAAAAAGCATCTTTTGTAAATTAAAAATATATAAAAATTATATACATATATACATACACATACATATATATACATACACATACACACGCATACATATACATACACATACATATATACATACACACATACATATACCTATCAATCAAACAAAATTATATAATCCCATGCATATATGTCAAATATGTACCCAATGCTATGATACATATTAATAATTATAGGCATAAGGAAAACAAACTATCATAAAATAAATAATTATATAAATACATAAATAAAGAATGCCAATTTTTTAAATGAAGAAAAATCAGATAGGGAAAAGATAATCTTTCACTTGTCGTTTGAAAGAATCAATGGATTTTGTACTTCTAATAACAACAGGCAATGAATTCCATAACCTAATGCTAGAAACAGTGAAGGAATTGTGATAAAATTTAGTGGAATGAGAAGGTGTCATAAGGGAAAGGTTTTCGGAAGAACGTAATGTTAAAGTATGGGTAGAGGAGATGAATTTAAAACGTTCTTTAAGATAGGCAGGTGCACCAGGGTTAAAAAGAATATTATGTAACAAAGAGAGGGATGTTGATAGATACCGAGGTAGATGCCCATAAAGAAGTCTGCAGCAGCGAGATTAGTGACGAGGAAGCGCGGCACGTCGATGCGACTGCGGCTGAACACGAGCACGAACACCACGGTGCCGTTACCGAGCAGGGCCAGCAGAAACACCGCCCACACGCCACACCGGAGGGTCCACCAATCGAATAAGTCGACACAGGGCAGGAAAGGACCTGGGGTAATATTAATGAGTTTAGTCTCTTTTATTAGCTAGAGAATTAGCTCTATGTAGTCGTATGAAGGGGTTAATAGAAGCTAATGTGAAAACGTTAATGTGAAAAAGAAATAATATCCGTTGTCTGTTCGTGTACATCCCGACAAATCTGCTACTGTCGTTGCACGAAGACTCAATAAGAGCGGTAACTTCGATGGTAGATGGGCTGATAACCAGGGATATTATGGAGATATCATAAATATGATAAAGTGTCTTAAAGCTTTTTTACCATCAAAGTGGTAAATTTCCTCACTCCGATATATTCTTGATATTTATTAGAGGATAGAGAGCAGAATTATTGAGTCGAGTGAGATATGCAGTAGAAGCGCGTACCCGGTAGCGGCAGGCACTGCACGCGGCGCGGCCCGTCCCCGCGCAGCTCGGTGGCGCGGCGCGGGTCGGCGACGCCGGCCACGCCGACCGCGCCGGCCGCGTAGCCGCCCACGGCCCACAGCGCGCCGCCGCCCGCCGCGCCGCCCGCCGCCATGCTCGCTAGCGCTGCCCGCACGCGCCCGTCGCTCGTACCCGTTGCGTTCACTGTACAATGATCAGATAAACAAGCATGTAATATGACAATATTTATATTATTTACCATACTCATACTTTACGTAGTTATCCGAGGAAAGCAGGAGATAAGAGCGCAGTATATCGTTTGCTAGTTACTTACTGTAATGCGGCCAGATGTCAGTGACGTTGGCCCAGGCGGCGAGGTCGACGTGGTGCGGTGGCACCAGCACGAAGTCGCTCAGCCCCTCCTCCTCCGGCGGCTCGCCGCTGTCCTCCATCAGCGGCATGAACTCGCAGCAGTGGTACGCGTATGACAGCACCAGCGTCTGCACACGCGCGCACACCATAACGAATACGAGCACACACAACTAACTATGTAATTCTTAATGTCACAGGGACCAGCTACGCTCGTATCTTTTTGTTGTTGCTTTGTTCTTACAAGCGGTAATTTTTTACGGGGTAGAAATAAAATGATGGCGCACCTGCTGTCGATATATCTTGATCGAGGTATCAGTGAGTGATGGTAGGCAAGGATGAAATTTACCACGATAATTTCCAAGAGAGATCGCACGGAGATCAGCTTTGATATATATTGCCAGCAATGAGGAATCACCTCCCCATTACCAAAAATCTTTCTCTCTCCTGTTGCAAACGGTCATCTCTGTCTAAGATTACTTAACTATGTTTATACATATGATGTAAATTTTAACCTGTATATTGGGAAAGAGTTCTGGTGGGTGGAAGTGCCTCAGGTTGGGGTTGTTGTGCGCCTTGAGGTGCAGCAGCCGCTGCAGCCCGCTCGCCGGCAGCCACGGGAACACGTTGTTACCCACGTTCCTGTCATACACAATAATTGCACAGATTTCATCCCACAATTTCCGCCCCGTGAGCATTCAAAATAAAATGCAAATGTAAATAGTAGTATATAAAAAGTACATTTAAACTTTCGAGAGAAAAATTATGTTTTTAACTATGCATTTTATAAGAACTTTGGTAAATATTGATGTATTTTACTAGGAATATATTTGTTTGTTTGTTGTTGATTGTAACTTTATACTCGTAATACTCACAAGTCTTCTAATTTGGAGATCGGCACGAATGCTTCCATATCGATGTGCTCTATTTGGTTTTCCTCGAGATTTCTGGAAAATCATTTAATAAAGTTATTTAATTTATAATAAAGTCTGTAATTTTAATGTAATGAGTCGCATTAAACCAAACTCAGAAAAGTAAACGTAGGTACTAATCTTCTTGTTTAGTAAAATAAAAATAAATATGTTCATGACTATAATTCCTGGTGAGATAAAATAATATTAAATTATAATAGCCTCTGAACATTTAAGTTTGTTACAATATATTTTATTCAATTTAAATACAGTTAACTTTATTTTATATTAGCATAGCTTTTGTCCAAAGCGTTAAGTGCTGTTTACACAGCCTAGTTCATTGTAAGGCTGTTATCTAAAGAGAGTGACGACGGCCGGCTAAAATATCTCTCCGCGAGCCTTGTTTGTAAAATGATGGTAATCAGATCTAACAGATTCATTACATTTAAATATAATAAGGAATAGTAAAACAGTGCAGAGAGCTATTAAGTGTTTTATTTCATTATATAGTCAATAGGCTGACCTGAAGTAGTAAGTTATAAAAATATTATTCGAATACTGAAAACTTGTCTGTGTGGTCCCGGTATAGAATAGGTCTTTTTCCTGTGGGTGTCGTAAGAAGGGACTAAGGGAACTTAATGGTAGAGGGATGACCAGCAGCGTCTCTTTTAAAACATCTTTAAAAGCCTAACTGCGGTTGCCAACCCGCCTGCCAAACGTAGCAACTTCTGGCAAAACTCCCATTATGGGGAAGGCTTATGTTCATCAGTGGACAGTTAACTGTGGCTGTGGCTGAAATGATGAAATGGCTGAAAACTTCATGAAATCTAAATAATGTTTCTGGAAGTATCTAAATGTTTCAGTTCTCACACGCACACTGTCGTAACTCGCTGGGGATGCGGCCAGGCAGACGACTAGTTTATACATTCAACCGCATATAAAATAGACACGAGTCATTTTGCCCTGTATAATAATTTGCACAATTAAAGCAGTTCTATAAATTAATGTCTGAGTTACTAAATAGAGCTGCTCTACAAATTATGTGCTCAGTGTATTGCAGAGTTTAAAGGTGGCACAAACTGGAGCCAAATAATGAGGTCTAGTGAACAGGCAGTGGTCCAATCTTGTCAATAATAATAATATTTTTTTTTATTTAACACGTTGAGCGCCACGCGTATTTCTACAGCAATCCCGTTCAGGCCACGCGCGCCGCTTCGAAGCGCTGGTACTGCAGGAGCTGGTGTTTCCTATCGTAGTAGAAGGTAGTTTACGTTTGGAACGTGATTCCTATAGGCATTCATTGAACACGTTACGCACCAAGTCTGTTTTGTTTTCTGTAATTCCGTAAAGTAGTGTAAAATTTTATAGTTCTCATGTTACACGCTGTCAGACACCGACGGCTGACGCGGCCTAAACGGAAAGTCTAGTGTCAGCCACCGATGGCTGACATGGCGCTCAACGTGTTAATAGTACATGTTTGTCTACAAGGCGGACTCGATGCTAAAAGTATTTTCTCCCGGTCAACCTTAAGGAAGTGCCAGAATATTCGAATGCAGAACTAATAATAATTAATGTATATTATGTACTTTATGTAGATATTTATTAATGTGATTGCTGTGTCCTTCCAGACTTCATGTTGATTCTTTACCTGTTATAGCTTAAGCTTATTATTGCAATATTGTTACAACATGAAATAGCAATAAATGATTGAATTAAATTAATATACAACCATACTGACATTTAAATATATAAATAAATATATATAAATAAGAAATATATAAGATATACTACATAGTACAGAAAGATGAGAATAATAGATAGTACTTACTTTATTTTTTTTTAAAGACAGTTTAGTCATTTAATTATATTTCTCTAAAGGAATAATAAACAAATATATATTATGTGTTTGTAATTTTTTGTGTACAATAAAGAATAAATAAATAAATAAATAAAATATAATTTTAAACAGCCGTCATCTAAATTAAACAGAACAATACTCGTATGTGATTAATTATAATCTTAATTGGTGCTATTATATCAGCCGTTAACTGTTCACTGTTTTTCAGAAGGGGGGGGGGGGGGGAGTTTTGCCACCACCTAAATTGGTGTATTGAAATGTAATAGGTTAGTTGTAAATTTTTGTACGTTGCAAAAGTTTTAATGTAAATGATATACTCGCAGTGTTATTATTATTTAGTTACATAATAAATAAACTTTGGGATTAGGATAGATAGATTACTTACGACTGGGCAACGCAGTATATTACAATGTTTTGTAATGAAACCGATGTAGCAAAATGTACTTCAGTTTATTAAATTATGAGAAAAAAGCTTTTAAATATTTTCTTCCTTTTAACCACAGGCAGCGAGCGGGAATAGTTCACGCACGCCAGCATCCGCGCGGCGGTCGCGCCCGCGCCGCTAGTTACCACAAAACTTTTTCTAATTAACTCGAGTTAAGGGGAAACACTTCGTCTCGTCGCCGTCTCGTCTCCGCGTATCAAATTGAGAATCTTCTCGCCGCTCTTAGAGTTGGAGCGATAGTCTGCGATAAAGAGCTCTCGAACGCCTCTCAATGGCTATTTAATAACGCCCAGAAAAGTGGCTGAGGAAAATAAACGCTGCTTTAAGGAAGATCCGGTATTAAGTTACAAATTTTAATTTCGTTTAGGAGGAAGTCTCGAGGTCGCGCGAAGTCTCTTAGAGGACAGATAAAAAAAGATGGATATTGTAACTAGCATATCATATGTGATGGTAGTATGCATATTTTACGAAACATTAATACTTTTATACAACAAGAGGCAACGACACAGTAATTGGAGCGTCAGTGCTAATTTAGGTAACGTTTTAGAAATTTGGGGTGCACTATATCATCTTGTGAGATTAGTTTTTTAGTGTTACTATCACTAGACACTGACCAATTTGTATGACTATGAAGTGAGCGGTGACAGATGAAAGTCATGATCACCGGTTCAAGGGTACTGGTGAAGAAATAGTGAGGTGGTAAGATGAATGAGTAAGGAGGTAAATGGGTGACTGAGACGAGCCAGTGGTGGGCGAGTGGTCAGTTTGAGCGAGTGTGTGGGTGTGCGGGTGTGCGGGTGTGCGGGTGGGCGAGTAACTGACAGCACTTGCAGGCGCGGCGTGTGCACGAAGGCGTCGCGCGGCACGCGGCGCAGGCGGTTGCGCGCGAGCAGCAGGTCGTGCAGCCGCGCCAGCCCGCGCAGCGCGCCGCCGCCCAGCGACCGCACGCTGTTGTCCGACAGCTCCCTGCCGCACGCGCGCGCCTCGTTCATCATTATACGGACACTTCGTATCACGACATTCATATGGGCAACTCTATTATATACCCAAAGCATGCCCACTTTTAATATTGATAATTTTGTTGACTGTAAGGTGGGAGTAGTCTACATGCTCTACCTGGAGACCTTGACCAACAAATTGTATTGCAGCTGTGTCCATTGTTTTTTCAGCACTCAAATATAAGAAATAGACAAGGAGACAAGAAGGATAATTTAATTTAAAAACTTTAATTTATATTGTTGTAAAAATTTGAATGGTACTCAATTTATTCTGGCTATCTCTTAACGTGAGGAACTTAATATGAATTTATATTCATAAAATACTAGTGATCCGGCGCAGTTTCACCCGAGTAACTAGAATTTTTGAAAACATATAACTTATGTTACTCGCTGATAACCGAGCTTTCTATAGCTGAATATATTTTAAAATCGGTTGAGTAGTTTCTGAGTTTATCTATTACAAATAAACAATTAAACTTTCCTTTTTATAATACTAGTGTAGACTAGTATAGATAAAAGTGCGGCGGACACTCACAGTACTCGCAGTTCAGTGCAGTCGTGCAGGTCGGGCACGTGCTCCAGTTGGTTCCCCTTCACGTCCCTGCACACACACGACATAACAGCAGGTCAGCTGGCATTAGCGTCTAGTGTACTTTCGACATTATTAAAAAAAATACAATATCTAGATCTAGAACAATCGAGTCAGTGAAGACATCCCGTATATATGTAGACAGATCAGATTAGAAAAAAAATATTTAAAATTATTTTTCATATAATGTTAAAATTATTTATTCTGTAGCATCTTGTTTTAAAAAATATAACTTTAACTCTAGATATCAGATCAACAATCTAATAATACACACACACACACACACACACACGCACACTCACACGCACGCGCACACACACACACTCACACTCACACACACACACACACACACACACACACGCACACACGCACACACACACGCACGCACGCACGCACGCACGCACGCACTTACGCACGCATCAACACTGGATTTCAGTATACACGAACTATCTATGTGCAATAGAAAAGGGTATAAGCTACATTTTATACCGGTCAGTAAACATATTCCCTAACCGCGGAAGAAGTTGCGGGCAAAACCTAGTTATAATACGTATTTTTTATAGTTTGGTTTTATATCCACAGATAGTCAGGCAATGACGTGTACGTATCGTAAACAGATTGCCAATATTAAAAATATTATACCCGTTAGATTTTATTAGGCGCTCATATAAAATTTTAGTAACTGTTAACTTCATGAACTATAAATTGTCGAATTACGAATTGGATGTAATGGGTAGATCGCTCGATTTGAAATCTTTGTTAAGTGACACAAGTTCAATAACAATAATCATTGGTTATTATTACATTAGAATTATTTTGTTTAATTCCGTTACCACTAGTATGTGTGTACCACTAGTCAACACTTGAAGATTGATCACGTCTATTACTACAAGAAGTACCACAACCATCCATATTGGTCATCAATCTAGTGTTAATTTTATTAGACTACCCCTTCCTGCCTCGTAGTTGTTGTAAGAGGCGACTACAGGGACTTAATCGTCGAGGTATGGGTAACAAAGTTCCTCTGATGTTTTACATCAACAAATCCTAACTGCGGTTGTCAACCCGCCTGCCAAACGTAATAACTATTGGGAAAACCCTTTTTCCGGAGGAGACCTATGTCCAGCAGTGGACAGTTAATGGCTAATAAAATAAAACTAATAAATAATGATATGGGATCTAGGCTTTTATATTTCATTTTAAAACTACAAAAAAATGCTAGTATTATTTGGTCATTACTTATTCAGGCGGATCAATATTTAGCCATCTCTCTATATCTCTCGTATATGGAGAAGCTTGCTAAATGAACTGCATCTGTATTAACGCTTTATGATATACTAGATGTACCCTGCTGCTTTGCCCGCGTTAATTAGTAGATATATAAACTATCCTACGTATGTGTTATGATAAGGCACATCTACCAGTGTATCAAACGTCATTTTTGTTGTGAGGATAAAAATTTGTATGCATGCTAAGTACGATAATAAAGATTATATTTCTATCTATCTAGTTATATTTTTTTTTACATCGATTAAATCGATTTTATATAATGAGCTTTAAAAAATATTTGACATAATTTTTATCCCTTATCTCCTAAATTTATATCCTCAATTTCGATTAAATTTTGTTTTTAGTTAAAAAAATAATCGAACAAATATTTTTCTTTGATTTCATGATTATCATTACTTTTTTAATTTTACTTTCTAATCGATTTTTACTTCATTCCTTTTTGAACGCGCTTAGGGTTTGTATTTTGAAAAAATGCTGAAATTATATTTAAAGAACCTATCGGTTAAAAAAAATTCCATACAAACTTCCACCTTTATTTAAACCCTAGGAGCCGAATTTAAAATAAAATCTTTTCTTATTATTTGTGTAGGTCATAGAAGGAACCTACTGTCTCAATTTGATAATTTTAATTGTAGTAGTATCGACTGTGCGTTGATAAGTTACTCAGTCATCCCTTTTCTCTTTATAATACGAATATAGGAAGTATAGATTTCATGGGAGTTTTCGGGCTGACCCTGTAATTAGAAAGTAATAGTAATTATTATTAAATTAAAGTAATTAGAAACTATGACAACCATGTTGTGCAATATAGCGATTATGTAAAATTAAGTCTGATCTTTTAGATTAACTGTTACAAATTTTAATTCGTCTGATAAACATGTCGCGACTTCGGAGTGATTCAAGGTTCCCTAAGGGCCATCCCAGACAAACTTGAGCCTTCTATCAAAGTTTGGTCTGTTTACTTTAGGTTGTGGTAATTCTACAATATGAGCAAAGTTAGTTATATTATTAGGATCACATCGATTAACTCTAATACCTATTGGCTTACGTTTGTGATAATTCTTGAAAAAAATCTAGGTGAATCGAGTTCAGTTTTTTCTAACTCACGACTGAAGTAGTATAGTTTTTGTAATTTGGGTCGGGCAGTGGTGGAGCGGTAGCGATTAGCGTCCGTCGCGCCGCTCGATTTATGCAAATCGAATACCGATGCGGGCTCAAGTCGGGATTATGTCATGGGAGACTGAGACCGCGAACGCGCTCACCACCGCTGCGGCGCCGCCAGCGCTGGCCCGGCTCGGCCCGGCCCGGCCCAACCCGGCCCCACTCACCCCGAGGCCGCGTGCCTTTTATGGGCGTAATAAAGCTTAACATTTGAATTTTGTAAGTAAATTTATGTTCCATTTCAATGGTTTCCTCGGGTTTATCATTTAACATTTAAAAACTCGAATATCCTACATTTTGAAATTCGTAATAAAATATTACAAGTTAATAAAAATAAAAGAGGTCGCAACAGGATTAGATTTAAAATTTAAACGAAAGCTGCTATAGCTGTTTATTCCATCAGGGTTATCTGCTTGATTTTTTAACAGAACTTTTATAAGTATACAAGATTGGACAAAAATAAATAAACAGAAACAAGAGAATTGAGGTAAAAGTAGGCAAAGATCAATTTAAAATTTTCCGATAAGTATTTGAACGACTAAGGAACGATAGCAGTACTGGATCTTAATCATGTTTGAGCTTATTTGTAGGAGTAAGACAGTGTGAGGATTCACTTCCGTGTCCAGACTCACCGTAACGAACAAGCTTAGTTACCAACGACCAACGTACACACGTGCGTAATAACAATGTCGTATACTCACTTCTTATCTCACCTACTCAGACCTATTTGTTTGTGGCCTTTCTGTTTAACTCAGCTTATAAAGTCATATTAGTCTCTATACGAGATCTTAACAAAGGAATTTATGAAATCGCTTTCATGGTTCTTTGTGAAGAGTTGCTGTATTAAAGTCTTCCGGACGTTATAGCGAATTCTCCAAATTTCATTTTAGCTCCCTAATCCGTATCTTTTTTGGTGTATGTTCATAACGAGTATCTATTTATATTTTAAAGTTTTATAAATAATGATTCTTATATTTGTTTTACGAAAATAACTGAAAACTTTGTATAAGTATTTTTTTTTTAAATACAACCAACTGCCTAATTTGGAAAGAATAGAACGCTATACAAATTAGGCGATAGACAAAAATATCGAATTACAAGGAGCACCTATGTCTATTATAGTTTATCTCTTCGAAATAGTTCGAGACAATGATCGTACTTGAATGGTTTTTTTAATAAGTAATAATGAAATGGTAATTCTGTTTGCGCTATCAGTATACGCGCCAGTGAGATTTTACAGCTGAGGGTGAAAACAATCTGTTTTCAACCCATCGTGACAAATATCACATGAATTAACCATGATGGTTTTTAGGGGGGTCCGCATGGAAGTCGACCTGATAGAGTATATTGGTAGCAATGTGGCTGCTAGACCTACTACTAACAATCTCTTTCCCACCAATGTGTGCGGTTTTAAATAGATGATAATGGATTGGTCACAATGTAGACTATGTATAGTTTCGATTTTGATAATCGGTATGTGGAAATTCAGAAATATGACATGGTACAACTGGAAGGAGAGGGCTAGTCTTCCTGGAAACCCTAGAACTGGTTTTGTCTTCATCTATCGTCCTGTACTGGTACGCCGCCAGCGTATACTAATAACGTAGGCAGAGTTACCATTTCATGCTTATACAAATAAATAAATCCTTATTACTACTTACAAATTTGAAATCGAGTTTCTTTGTTTTTTATTAAATGCAACTTAGAATGGGAAACAAGCTGACAGCCCACCTGATGGAAAATGGTAACCGTCGCCTATAGACATGAGTAGTACAATAGATATAACATGTTACCCTATAATGCCTTAATGGCTTAACTAATCATTATGAAATTTGATATACACGTACTACAGGGGATGGAGAACGTTATAGGTTACTTTTTATTCATCCCGGTCAGTAAACATGTCCCGGTCATCAGGACGAAGTTGCGGCTAAAGGTTAGTAAAAAAATAAAAAGCACATGTTCCAAGTGTGTGCGGTACTGACAGGGCTCGCAGCTGCGGCGCGTGCGCGCACAGGTCGCGCGGCAGCCGCGCCAGGCGCGCGCGCTCGGCGTGCAGCGCGCGCACGCGCGACGACCCGTTCAGCGACGGCAGCTCGCGCAGCCCGCGCGACTCCGACACCACGCTGCCGACACGCGCCGTCAACATACCACTATAGGCTTGTACATTTGGAAAACTAACTATGTACCTACATGGAGAACGTCGCTCGCGTGCATGTCTCTGTGCGTATGTTTCGCCATATTCAATGACATGCAAATATTAACAATTGAATTTACATGTACCTGATTATTTTTTAATAACTTATTTTTTTATATAATTTGAGTAAAGGTACAAATAAGCACCACTTGCATCGCGTGCAAGTGTACGCACTTGAATCATGCATCATGAGTTGTCAACAAAGTTATTATAAAATAATTATGAGTAATAAAAGGAGTTAAATATCAAACAAAATATGACTAAAAATAAAATTATAAATGAGGTTTTACCAATAATTAATGTCTTAACGAGACATAACAACAAGAAGTAACTAGCGCTTTTGATTAAAAAAAAAATACAAAATCAACGAACAAACAGATTTATATGGTAAGAGGGAAAATATAAATGTACCAATTGATATATCAGTACGTTTATGTATGTTTGCTTTCAGTTAAATGGATTTGTTGTTCGTATAATGTGAACTTGTAAAAGTGTCATCAAACGTGGTCGCCCTGCTGTATACTCGTAGCGGCCGCTCGGCTCCTCCGCTCCCGGCTTATAAACGAGATTTACTTTATTTTTGGGTCAAACTTGCAAAGTTCCGGCTCGTCAGTCGCTCGGGAATTATGTTCCGTTCCAAGGCCGCGCGCGTCCATCCAAGACTCTCTCGTATTCTCGCCGTAAACATTCATAAGGAAACTCTCCAATTCTACTGGGCGCGTGTGCGAATTATTGGCCGATATTGTTAGAGTAAATTAAGGTAATAAAACGTGACGTAATTTTGTTGTTCCACGAGAATGTACTGTTTCTTAAATTGACTGAGCGTCGATACCGAAAACTGAACAGTAGGTATCAATTGTAATACAAATTGTAGAGTTGTAATGAATAATTTATATTGTTGATAACATTTACATACATTCAAACTTTAAAAACTAATCTGAATTTTTTCTGTGGTTTATATCACCTGGACCTACGTATACGACCTAATAATCTTCAATAGTACGAGAAAATGATGGGCCTCAGTGGTATAAAAAAAAAGTCCTGGTTTTCCTGTATACATAAATACATAAATAAATAAACAAACAAACGAATAAACCAATAAATAAATGAATATTGTAGACAGACAGACAGGTGAAATAACTAGAATAGTATAGCACTGTTATACAAAGACACGTAGGCAACTAGGCACCTAGTTAATATCCCGCCCGACCTCGGTGGGCTATCGAGTGTTTGCACTAATAAGTGGTCAGGTTACTGCGCTCCGGGTGCTAGGCGCACTCCATGTTCTACGAAAACGACAGTACTCCGAGCGACAGAGCTCCAGTGTCCACGTCCACTATACGGCACGTTAGGCAAGTTTAGGGTTTTAGTATAATTTGATGACCCCAACGACTGTAACTTCTCGAATTAAAAGATTAAAAGGAAACGAAACAAACAGAATGAAAGATTTTGTTCGCGGACTAAATGCTCAACATGTGCTAAGGCCTAAGCAATAACGTGCGCACAGACGGAGGTGCGGCCTGCCACCACGACCCCATGCCACTTAACACTCATGCCACTTTTGGGCCTCGAGGACATTTTTATATCTCACTTTACGACTTGTTGGCGCGTCAACCATTTTGCACTTGTAGCACAAATAAAATGAAATTTATATTCGCAGGAAAGGACGCCGCCACTAGATTTTACAACGCGACAAGCTGCGACTAAAAGGGAATGTTAATAAAGTCAAAACGAACTGGTTTGTACAGTTTTGTATACCAGCTGTTAAATGTCTACTAGTGATCTTAGGCCTCATCCATAGGGGGGGTGGGGGGAAATAGATCTAGATAATGAAATAGTACCACATTTATTAGAAGCGCTGCAGTGACCGCTTAAAATAATGCGAACTGTAACATGCTCGCTTCTCATCTTAGTGGTATATAAAATGGTGTTATTGAGTTCAACTTTGTAGGCGACAGTTACTACTTTCCACGAGATGCGCTATGTTTACTACTAAATAAATAAATAAATATCTACTGCAGAAAAATTGTTTAAGTTGATATAGATATTTATATTAAAATATATAGCAATTAGAACTCGTATTGAGGTTGTAACATTACATTAATTAAAAAAAAAAGAAAAAAATAAATAAAAAATATAAGAGCAATGTCATGAGACAAATGTTAATACTATAAATAGACAGTAAGTATCTATAATTTTGGCGATCGTAAAAAGAAAGGACAAACGGAGCAGACGCAGTCATACAGTGAGCATCTGCGAGGAGACGCCGCGCGCCGGCGAACTACATACTTAGTTCTCGACTAATTATGTTATTTACAAAATGAGGGAGCACCTGCCCCTCTAGCTAGGACAAACCTCGTTCTTCTATTGCCCTAACATAAAATGAAATACGAAACATATCAATTAAGGTTTTTACGAAATGAGATGAGTTATACGTAAAAGTGACGAGCTCGAGAGTATGTTTGGTACCAGCGCAGCTATTGAAAGAAGTTCAAATGCTTTTTAGGTTTTTTTCATGCAACTTAGAATGGCAAACGAGCTGACGGCCCGCCTGATGGAAAGTGGTAACCGTCGCCTATAGACATGAGCAGTACCATGGACATAAGAAAGTATACTGTTTCGCCCGTAACACCATGCGTTGCCATTCCTGAGGACTAAGGTGTTTTTTCTCTGTATTCTGTAAGTTCACTGCCATATCCCACCCTTCAAACCGAAACACAGCCATGCAAACACGACTCCTTTACGGTTGAAACACGAATAGGACAGAAGTAAACGACTTTTGTACAAAGTCCAGAGGGATCTGGTAGTAGTAATTTATAGGTTGCCACGTCATGTAACAGTGTTCTGTGAGCAGTGAGTCAGTCAGGCAGTCAACAGGTCTGTACACGCGGTCGTAAGTTCAATTTCATGTCTGCTTAATGTCAAATGCAACACACGAGCGGTAATGACATAAAGGAATGACGAAATTGCATACGTTTTAATTGGCATTTTTTGGCCCTAAATGAGACATTAATTTTAATTCTGAGTTAAAATAAAAATAAAATTTGAGTATAAAACTTATTTATGGGCATCAAATTTAAGTAAATAGTCTATAAAATTAACAAAAAAAAAAAAAGCAATAGCAAAAGATGATATGTATATTAGGAGTGAAATTTGCGGAATGAGATTTGATAGCAATAAACAACTTTTACAACATCATAATTAGTACTGTAATATTAATGAGCTTTATTTTCATATCAATTGTGGTAACCGGCATCGTCTATCTTTATATATAGTGTCGATTCTGAGGTCCACCGGAAACTAAAGTAGCTCTGACTCTACTAATATTAAATATACTAATATGGTACCTATATATTACAAAAAATATTTTTACATGTAAATTATACAATAAGTCTATAATCATAAAGTTAGAAATGGAAAAGACATTTGATATTAATCGCTATGTCTGTAGGTATATAATGTGAAACAAATACAAAACAAGAAAACATTGTTATCAGCCTCTGTTTTACATACGAGCACGAGGCTCGTGCGATACAATCCGTAAGAAATCACTACAGGGATACTTCTATTAGTTTATGACTGTCACTGGCGTCTTGTCAAAGTCACTGTTCATAATATTTACATTTACATATAAAAGATTGGTCTTGACTGACTCATTTGAACAACAATGCACAATCTAAATTTCGGAGGTTAAGAACTTTAAATTTGTAATTGAATTAAGTATGTTAAGTATCTATTCAAAAAGGAAACTTTCTGAAATTTCTACAGGATTCAATCGTAAAGCAGTTGTGTTTGCATGGCTGTGTTTCGGTTTGAAGGGTGGGATATGGCGTGAATTTACTGGGTACAGAGGAATAACACTTGAGTCCTCAGGAATGGCAACGCATGGGGGGTATCATGGGCGAAACAATATACTCTATTATGTATATGGTACTGCTCATGTCTATAGGCGACGGTTACCACTTTCCATCAGGTGGACCGTTAGCTTGTTTGCCATTCTAAGTGGTATAAAAAAAATTTAAAAATAACGGATACGAACGGGCGAGACAGCGACAAATAGCTATGAGTAGCTAGATATTGACAAATTATAAAAGCGTCTTTACAATATTTGAATTGTTTATTATAAACGCATCAACAGCCAGCATATAGGTACTATAAAATCATATTAATGTTATACGTGCAAAAAAATTTAAAAATGACTGTATGGGTGAATGTTTGTTATTCTGTCATGCAAAAACTATTGAACAGATTTGAATGAAATTTAATACAGGGAAAGTTATATCCTTACTTAGCCTGCTATGAATTGAGAAAAATAAGAACTGATGGTGTATTTTTCGTCCTCTTTTTACTAATTATATTTGCATAAGAAGAAAGGACGCAACCATACGATTTACAGTTTCTATTTTATCATTCCTTCTATGTAATTCCTTGTTCTTAGTATAAAACACATGTCCAGATGACAACAATTGTCAATTGTGTACATTGCGTTACATGAATTAAAATAATTTATTACTGATAGACAATAGCTCATTATTTAACAATAAATATTCCGTGTGGGCGATCGAGTGAAAAATGAACATCACTTTGTACTTCCTTAGGATATTGTAGCAAGTGATTAGGAGAACAAAATATGATACATTTGTATGCACCAAAAAACTCTAAATGAAACTATTTAACCTGCTAGCGTGATGGTAGGCAATACTATTAGGTATTGTTAGTAATGTGGATTACCAGTCCCGTTGCTAGTAACATACCCTGTCAGATTGACCTTCACGCGGTTCCCCCTATACTCGTAAACCATTGTGCTGAATTCCAGACGTATTCATCACAATGAGCTAACTGAGCTGTTTTTTCATTCTCACCTATCATCCCTCACTGGTGCCCCACCAGCGTATACCGTTAGCGCAAGCGGGGTTACCACTCCATTGTCATCCATTACGAAATCGTATCCGTGCTCAGCAATGAAACTATAATGAGTTGTTTTGATACGGTATACTTCAGGACTTAGTATCAAATGAGGACGTTTCCAATTTGTGCCGTGAATTTCGATAATAATATTTACAGGTGAATTTGTATAGGCATAGAATAGGCTACCCCTTCCTTTTCTTTTGGTGTCGTAAGAGACGACTAAGGGAGGGCGAGAGATGGGCAGCAGTGTCCCTCTTAAAGCACCTCTAAAGTTTAACCGCCTGCCAAGCGTGGCAATTACTGGCAAAACCCCCCAAGGGGGAGGCTTATATTAAGCAGTGGAGAGTTAAAAGCTGATAAAGTGATATTGGTTTTCTCTTTATTTTATTATGACATGTATTTTTTTAAGGAGCAAATACTTTAATTTTCGAGGAAACAATAAACAAATTAATTTAAGAAAAAAAAGGTTAAGTCAATTAAAAAGAACATTGTTGTAGTTGGGCAAATATAATTGAGTATCTATTATGTTACTGAATTAATAAAGCAATTTCTAAATAAGTGGATGAATATTCTTACAATATGTTAAGTTACACAATGCTCCCAGTTCAACGCTCAGCATCGACAAAGTTATCACGACTTATACATTTCGCTACACAAACCTATTAAATTGCTTCAGATTTATTGTGGCATTATTCTTAATTAATTCTATATAGCTATTTCTTATTCTACGAGTATGTACAGTGAGGAGATGTTCTTTTTTTAATATAACGTTTCGCAATTTACTTAGTAAGTCCTTGAGATCGCGCAGGGGATCTAACGGATCTCGTCGTATTTAGGGGAAATTGATGCAGCAATTCTTTCGCAATCGTTCGGAATATTAATAAAATGTTGTCCTTGAACCAGCAGTGCGCCGCGTCGGTACTTTATTGTTTTGTTTCAATGTTCTGGGCTCAAGTTGTCTCACTTTTCTTTTTATTACGCGGCGGGTCACAACTGTATAATTTTATCATTTAATCGAGATTTACACACACAACCTTATGTGCGCAACACGCACAGTCATATAGTTCTTATGATATTTTTATTTGTGGTAGTAAATCTAAAATATATATACACATACATGCATGGCGATAATAAAATCAAAAGGAAGATTAATGTAACTTTTTTAATATAATAGGTATAGATAGAAAAATGAACGTGAAACTTGGAAATGAATTAACGCCACGATCTACCTGAAGTTCAGAGTAATGATGACATGAAAAGTGCGACATAATCATAAAAATAAGCAAATGAAAAATTTAAAATAAAAGTTAGCACCGTAATAAACCCTTTTGATAAAAAAATCATTAAAATTATTTACAATTTTGTTAACGAAAATAAATTGCGTAACATGTATATAAAAGTATAATATAATTAAAAGTTTGAGGTCGGTTAAAACTGCTATCAAATCTCAGAGGTATTCGGGTTAGACCATACGAGTCGGAGGACTAAAACTTCCAACATAAATTAGTTTCAATGCAGCGTTGCAGTGCAGTAGCGTTAAATATGGACGCGAGCTATTATTGCATATTTCGTATTGTAGAGAGTCGGCGTCTACAGCGTTAACAGTTATTATAGTTTAAGAGGGGAAACTTAGATTTAAACAGAATTTGAATATTTAATCTATCTATACTTATAATAAATCTGTAGAGAGGTCAATTCTGTACATGAAATATATTTCCAAAATAACTATCAGGGGGTGATTAGTGATCGACACTGATGCCAAAAATGCAATCAGTAAAATTTTTGTCTGTCTGTTTGTATGTTCGTTATAAAAACAAAAACTACTCGACGGATTTTAACGAAACTTGGTACAATTATTCTTTATACTCCTGGGCAGGTTATAGTAGACGTATTTTCATCACGCTAGGATCAATAGGAGCAGAGCAGTGAAGGGAAATGTTGGGAAAACGGGAGAAGTTACTTCATTTTTAAGCTTCCGTCGCGTGTGCAGCCTTAATGGCCACTTTTTTAAATGTAAAAAATTCCACCCGTGCGACGCCGGGACGGGTCGCTAGTATTAAAATATAATTATTTAGGATTAGATACAAATGCTATCCGCAACGGTCTCGGACTCGTTGTACCAGTCAATAAGCAGTACTTGTAGCGAGGCAATAGGCGGGCGGCCATATAGCTCGAGTGACCGATAAATGCCGTGTGGTTCTGGCATAAAATGGGCCCAAGGTGGCCCATTCTATGCCCTTTCCCGTGGGTGTCATAAGAGGCGACTAATGGAGGGCGAGGGATGGACACCAGCGTACCTCTTAAAACATCTCTAAAAGCCTAACTGCGGTTGCCAACCTTTCTGCCAAGTGAGGCAACTACTGGCAAAAGTCCCTTTATGAGGAAGGCTTATGTTCTGCAGTGGACAGTTAACGGCTGAAATAATAATAATAAAAAATAACCGATAAATAATAGCCGACAGGGAATAAAGTTCTCGTGTAGCATCCGAGAGCAGGCCACCGTAGTGTGAGGCGGTCCATGCGGCATGGAGTGACGAACTCAAAAGTCAGTAGAACAAGAAGAAATTGGATGCAAGTGGTGCAAGATTGTACTCTGTGGTGAAATATAAGGGAGACTTATGTTCAACAGTAAACGATGGATGGATTATAATGAACGGATGCATGATGGACTCACAGCGTGGTGAGGTAGGGCAGATGCTCGAGGGCGCGGTGGTGCAGGTTGGATAGAGGGTTGGCGCGCAGCTCGAGCCGCGCCAGTCGTCGGCACGGCTGTAGCGTGCCCACCTCTACCGTCTCCACGCGGTTGCTCGCCACTGATCTATAACATAAGCAGGCGCTCATGATTAATGGTCTCGAATTGATCCTGAAACTAGTCGAGCTTTCTCGATCAATATTTTTTGTATTTGCAGAACTTTAAAATAATTAAATTCAATCTTTGGAAAAAAATAGCATTTTCGCATTTCCAACGTTCCCTTCCTTTTTTCCTCAATCCTTTCCTCCATACCGTAGGTGGCGGAAACCACCAACAAATGCATTCCCAAAGAGGGTTGACGGCAGGCAGGCGGCCGGTCGTAAAACTATAAGCCAAATATTTTTGTAATATAGATAAAAAACATTACGCCAACTCCATATAATAATTAAAATACGGGTAGGAAGAAGACTTTGGAAAAAATAGCGGTAAGAAAATTTTAAATAACTCCTTCACTGAACAGAATTGGTTCAAATAACTAAGTGACACATTATGTATATAATAAATTGCAATGCAGTCATCCATATTAAAGTTCAGTTATTTAATAATAAATAAATAACTACTTAAATAGGAATTAATTTTCAGTTTCAGCGTAGTTACTTTGAAATAAATTGAATAACACAAACACACAAAATGAAATAAATTTAGTTTAACTGCCAACATTTTATGATGAGCGGCGATGCTGTACCCATTTGCGTGTGGTAACTTACAAATCTTCCAGCAGTGGCAGCAGCTGCACGGCGACCGGCACCACCGTCAGCAGATTCTCTTCCAATCGCCTGTCGGCAACAAAAGCGTTCCATTATACTACTCATAAGTGTGCCGATTTATCCTAACTAGGAATTTAAAATAACTTGAAGTAAATAAATCGAAGTACATGTTTTCAATGGACTATAAAAATAAACCAAAAGAATTCTCAGTTTCCAACAAAAACATTGCGAACTGATAATTTTTAATCAGAATTATATTTCCGTGTTGGTTCTGAAAAATATACAAATATTGATTTTTTTATTCAGTGCGAAAAAGAAGTAGAGAAAGTTTGGTTGCTAAACAAGCCGATGATCTTTATTGATATCTATTTGAAATTTAATATATAAAAAAGTTTTACTGCAGACGATTACAAGTTTCAAATAGTCTTATCAGTCTTCTCTCTCCTCAGGCTATTGCTCATGACAAGATAAATACCTACCAAAGCAATGATCTGAATGTAAGATATTGTGTTACGCCAGTTTTGAAAGCGGGTGTCAATTTATAAACGTCCCTCGATTCATTAGAGGTGCTTAGGTCGGTTAAGTAGACGAGGTGAGCGGATCTAGGGGACAAATACGGGCATTAGGCGTAGCCGGTAGCCGGCAGCCGGCAGCCGGCGGGCGGCGGGCGGCCACGCCAGTGCCAACGACTCTCATCTGCCTGGAATAGTTTACATCACTTTTTGAATAATTTCAAAAGTTACTACCAATGTTTATAGGATATTTTTGGCATTTATGCATACCAATTGTTTACTCTATCGTCCAGCTCAGTATGCAATTCCAACATAAAAGAACTAGTAAGAAACTGCTAATCTACGTAAAGCAGAAAGCTGGTGGAGAAAACACATTGATTTTATTAAAAGAGATTTTCAGATTGGGTATCATTAGATGATTAATTAAAAATAGGGTTATTAATAATAGAAGATACTGAAAACGTAATTATCTCGGCGTAGGTACATTGAGAGAAAAGAGGCGTGACCACATAACGTTTATACAGCTGTATAGTAAGGCAAAGCTGAAGAATTTAATGGTTGAATGTAGTTGCCTGTACCTATAAATAGCCCTATGGACTGAAGAATTTACAATTTTCCCTTCACGGCATCTATATTAAAGAATTAAAAGCCGAAATGACATTGAGTTGACACAACTGAAATATAATACTCCTGGATTGACTACTAGAATTACTAAGAGTATATAAAATATACAATCATAGAATATATGAAACATTGTTCGACTGTAAGTGGCTTTAGCAAATACATATTTTTAGACGGATAACCGAACGGTATGTGTGCACGTGTACTACTTATTAGATATTTTGTGTATATCAAAATCATACGAAATATCAAAATAGTTTTCAACGTCATTCTAACATAGTGGGGTTACAAACAAAATTGCTTATTCATGTCGTCTTATAATTTAACTCGCGACACCCCGGCAGAAAAAAAAACTATTTCTTTATGTCCGAAGTTTGTGAAGCCCAAATCTGAAATATTTGCTGTTTATAAAAGTATATGTGACTATTACAGGAAAAACACAATGATGGTTCTATCCATTTCTGAGAAATTAGTGAAAAAAAAAAAACCTCTAAAAATAAAGTTATACCGGTCCAGTTCTTAAAGGGCCAAAGAAAGAAATTTCAAAAATTGTAAATAATGATTACTATTATACGTTTATTTCATACGAGAGATGTTATAAAGGTGATTTGATCTCCTATTTTAATATACATTTATTTATGTACGGAATCTTACGCATGTGAGTTCAATTCGCACCTGACCGGTTTTATTTAATATTAAAATAATCGTAGCCGTTCCATACATTTACATCAGCGGGGACACGGGAGAGGATTTAGTTCGAGATTAAGCGATTTCCGTTTATTCGCTCAGATTGAGATACGAGTACAGCGAGCGCGGAGCGTGAGCGGCCGTTGCGATTAGTCGCACTGGAGATTGATGGCCGCCTGTCTCCGCTCGTTGGATACTGAGACGCACTTTGTCGTCGATATCTAATCGAACAGATAATAACAGCCAAAGCTTAGTCGCTTAATCACTTTCATTACAAGTTATATTGCGCAGTACTCGTATAGACAGACATTGGCACAACACAATTGTAAAAATATCCATTAATCCTCTACTGTAACATACCCCGAAAGGTTTTCAAATTAGTAGGAGGAATTATTGAAGATTGGACGGCTGCGGTCCTTGCTATGATCGTCTTGGCCGTTTGTTTTTAGGGCTATGAATTACTTATTGGAATGAATTCATTAATAAATTATCTCTATCTCCTGGCTTCGCTTGCTTGAATTAGGGTACAAATTATCTCATGTCTGCCTAGGATATGCTCTATCTGTATATCCAAATTTTACCAAATCGCACTTGATGGAAAGTGGTGTGGTAAACGTCGCCTGTACACATGTTGTTGCTATTATTTCGCGACACGAATTACTGAATTCTGATACAATGTTAGCTAGCGTGCGGCGTCCATGTCGGCCTTAGATAAGCTGTAACGAGCATTAAGGTATCTTCTTTATTTATATTCGTGTTGTGAATATATTAATATTTCGGTTACACGTCGACAGCTCGAGACCAGTTGCACGCTCCGCTCGCAGTCGTCGCTGATAAACTGTACTCGTATCTAGATAAAGCTCCTTTATATTACTGTGTCGTCTCTATATCCCAGAGGTTTTAATTTTTTTTTACTCGCCATATTGTTTTGTTTTGTTTGTTTGTAACACTTGATTATACAATAAAGTTTTAAATTATAGGATACAGAGTTTCTAAGAAAAGAAAGAGTACAATAGCAGACTTTTTCCATAAAAGGGATTTTTTTCCAGTCAATGAATTTGAATGTCTGATAGAAATTGTGACTTAGTGGAGACAAAAAAATTATAGCTAGCCAGGTTGTCTGTAAGAGATTGCTTTAAGAGATAAGGCCGCCTTTTGTATTTGCACATAAATACTCCTTGTATACATCTCTACTGTGCGTAATAAAAAGTTTATTATTATAGCTAATTAAAAAAAAAATAGAGAAATAATGAATGTGACTTTTACAAGTGTTGTTTATTTTAAGTGACACCCCCTTCATATTATACATATACACACTCAATTTTAAATGACATTATAATCTCTATTTATATAATCATATATGTATATATTTATTATCTGCGTTACGGACTTCCAATATTTTTTCTCACAGACACCTTGCAAGTCATAGTTAGTTGACCCCTGGGGATCGACACGGCCCGCGATGCTTTTTATCGGTTTATAACTGTACCGTTAAAAGTACAGTAAACGTACAGCCGATCATTCATCACAGCGCGCCTAATTTAAATAAACACGCCAACCACTTTCATAATATAATTATTTATATTCCGTCTGGACTGATAACGACGTGCTCTACATTACAAGCAAGTGCTTTCAATTTCTGGAACCTGTAATGTAACCGGTGCAATTGAAATTGATCGCTAGTGAAAGCTAATTTACCTTCATTTATAGACATAACGTTAAAATTGAGGTCGTATCCATATCTTTTTATGTGGAATGGCAAGTTAATTCGTTTGTTTTGCGAACAATCTTCTTTGCGAGTTTAGATCAAACAAATTAATTGAATGACTGCATTCTTGAATTGGTGATTTACAAAATTACATTTTGCGTGTTATCAATTAAGACATATAAAAGTAACACGAGATATGCAGTTGTTATATGAATCATCGGCATCTACCGTCAGCAATTCTGCACGGACTTAAGTTTTTGATATGCTTATTTATTTCACTGGCTGTGTTATGTATAACAATTATATTATTGAATAGATTTTTTATATAATAGCACGATATGTGAGCGAAGTGAATTTACAGGGTACAGAGGAATAACACCTAAATCCTCAGGAATGGCAACGCAAGGGGAGGCGAAACAGTATACTCTGTTATGTCTATGGTACTGCTCATGTCTATAGGCGACGGCTATCACTTTCCATTAGGTGCGCCGTCAGTTTGTTTGTCATTCTAAATTGCATAAAAAAACACAAAGACAATATGGTTGGCAGTGCTATGGCGGGGAAGTGCCTAATACTTAAATATAAGCAAATTATTTAATATGTTATAAATATTACATGTATTTAGACTAGCAGTGGGATAAGTAGGTATAATTTGCATATAATACTTACAGGACCCGTATGGAGGGCGTGTTGGCGAAGGCGCGATCCTCGATGTGCGTGATCCGGTTCCGCTTCAGCAACCTGCCACAAACATATCGCATTAGCCGCGTACACGTCGCCGCCCGCGCCGGCCCCTGTACATTTTATTTAGATCTATTGTGCACGAGAAAAACAGATTCAGTCCCGCAATCGGGACCGGAACCCATGACTGAGCGCGCCGTGCCAACTGGGTCATCAAATCAATATATAAAGTACCGCATCAATGAACACTTATCGTAAATTATGACGGCTGAGTCGCGCAGTTCATCGCGGTGCGAAGTTGAGTCGTAAACTGGGGAAACAATGCCCATTACGGGAACTGGTGTCACATTATGGTAATTTGAAGGCTATAAACGAAACTCAGGAATGAAGTCGCTACCGAAATACCGAGCGCATAAACAATCTCGGTGGACCGCGGCACAGTTACGGCGGGCGGCCGCAAACAAAACAGGCACAGGGGAGCGGGCTGCGACTATCTGTTGCGGCTTATACCTTTATAGCCTTTCATTTTGTTTTTAATAGTTTTATTTATTTTGTAGAATTGTTTTCACTAAAGTCAACTCGGAAATCATTATTATAAACTTTAAATAAAAAATGTAATTTATAAATTTCCATCTATTTATTCGTCTATTTGCTTGTTTTATTTACAGCTTTACATGTGACGTAAATTTCTCACAAGGGACGTCTTGAATCATAACCTCTAAAATATAAGGTATTGTCATAAGAATAAACAGTTATTACCCTTATGGCATTGGTTAGTTTAGTGATCAGATATTTAATCTCTAAATCGCTTGTTTCTACCGTTCACATCTTAATTTTTTTCGTAAAATCGTGCAGTTTGAACATTTGTAACATTGGTCATGATTGTATGTAATTATTACGCGAATGTAGCTAACTAGCTACGGATACATGTAAAAGAAATATGATTATGAGTCAATTAGACGTGCTTCATTATTTAACACTTTATAAATTACCCCTTTTCTCTTTGAAGACGACACTGTCGACAGTTTTAATTAATTGTTTTAGTGAAATGTGGGCGTGACGGATGAATAGACGGAGTAGAAAGACTGGCAGCGGAGGAACACTGAGAACGATGTTAAGAATATTAATGTAATTATAAAAAAATAGAATAAGTTTTACAGCGCTACGTTATGTACATTAACTACTTTATATGAGATAATTGATGTCGGATAATATCCCTCCGTTCGCTAAAAATCACAATATCCGCCCTTTGTGGTGTACAACAAGTTTAAAATTAATTTCACGGTGTCTAAGTGAGCTGTTCAAGCATATTGAATGGGACAAATAAATAAACAAACTTAATTCATTAAAACTACAACTAGCTTTGTGTTTCTTGATTTCTCGAAATTCTTGACATCAGAGGACATCATTGTAATGAGACATTTCTATCCAAGGTTTATAAGTTCATCAATCCTTTAATAGTATTTCAGAATCAACATTGATTACCGCCTTTGGAACATTATTTATAGTCTTTATTTTAGAATAGGCGTGTGGTGTACACAAGACTGCTGACTTGATAATGACAACGAAAATGACTGCACGTCGTCGTGTAGTTTTGGGTGAATACAAACAATAATCGCCGCTTTTATTTAATACAACAGAATTGTACACCATTCGGACAATATCGATTTTACTTCCACCTCTTTTTCCTATCTCTGGAAGGAGCCCGTCTTGATATTTATTTTATTTGTATAAAAATAGTTTTCCTTAAAAGCTACCATTGCTTAGAAGTAGTTCTAGTAAACGAGGCAGGTAACTAAGATTTGTGTTTGAACAATTGATTGTAAGCATCCCTGAGTAACGAAAACGACTCTATTACATTACGAGTGTGTCAATCATGCCCCAATGAATATATAGTCGATAGTCGTTCTCCATTTCTTCAGTTTGGACCCTGCTGCCCCTCCATTGTTAACGAAGTGCGCTGAGTCGACACATCTGCACAGGCGTCCGCAGTTGGAACATTTGGTGCTATTATTTTATGCTATTGCTTTTTGCTTCTCGGTGGAATTTGGACTAGAAGTGGTCGAGATTGAATTCTGTAATACAGGTACAAAAATGATCTTTGTCTTGCAATTTTATCTATTCCTTCATGATCGAAATACTAGCCTAACTAGTTTAAATATCAGTCATTGGATTTGTTGAAAATATTCGTCCTAATATCATAGCAATAAAGTGGTTTCTTTTTCAATCTTTCCCAAATTACTGCCACATAAAAAGAAAGTGTTTATCATAATTTGATGTAATAATAATAATAATAATAATAATAATAATAAATCTCTTTATTTTCAGGTATATACCCATAGTTAACATTTTTATATTATTAATTAAATAAATTGTTATTAATCTTAAAAAAATTATTAATTAAATAAATTGTTAATCATCGATCAACAATCGAAACACGATTTGAAATCGAAACTGCCGAGCAAATAATGGCTTAGATATCTATCTACATCACCCAATATGTACGGTAACTTTTGACACAAACAAAACAATAGGATCCAATCGAAATCACATCCAATAGTTGTCAAACGGTACTTTTGGAACAAGAACCAGTCTTAAATTTAAACGAAATTTTAGCATCGATCCGAATTTAATCGCGAATAATAGATGGAATTTATCTTTGATTATATTAATAATACACGCTATAAAATATGAATTTTGCACCAAAAGTTCTTAATATATTTAGATAACTTTTGAAGTCGACCACTATCATGTAATGTGCATTGTTCGTGTCCATTAGTTTCAGTATACTTGATTGACATGGGCGCAGCGTCCGGATCTAAGTTCACATCCTCGGCGACTGCACACACTGCGAGGGCATAGGATCAACGTTCGGTTCGTGACCGCTGAGCTGGCAGTCTACAGTCTGACACTTCTCTCCTTCGTGCGGCCAGACGGTGCAATGATTATGGTCTTGTGGACAATGACATTCTAATTACAAGTGCACTCATATTAGGATAGACTGTTGAATCTTTTAAACAAAATCGTATTTCAACATAGCATAAGATTCTGATCTTATGCTATGTTGAAATACGATTTTGTTCTCGTGTTCTCGTGTTCATTGTGTAGGTCGTTGTCATATATAGCTATAAAATATTTTATTCATAATCATAAACATAGTCAATAGTCATAGACAATCAAATTTAATTTTCGATAACATTATTAAATATAGATATTTGTTAATAATTATTTACAATTTCCCCATCTACACCCCCAAACACGACAAAACATTTAAGCCTCCCTCGTTTAGACTGTAGGCCTAACTGTAAAATTAGTATGCAAAGCTTTGTATTTTATGTCGGTTTCTTGTCCGTTTATCTTCGGTGAAAATGTTTCACTGGTAGAGCACTCCCTTAAAAGGATGCTGATGATTTTCATTTTATACAATATCAATATCTAGATCATTTATTCGTATAAAAAATGTCATTATGACGAGTATTAGGCAAAGCGGTGGTTGCGTCGGAGGCGATAGTGTCGATGTGGTAGCGGCGGTGGCTCGGTGGCGTGCGGCGGGCAGAGGGTGGAGGGTGGAGGGTGGCGAGGTGACCGGATCGCTGCGCTGGACCGCCATAAATCAACAGTGAGCGACACGTGTCCTCGCGGCTGATCGACGCCGCCGAGAAGGGTTGAGCCAATGTATACTGCCGACTGGAAGCGACACTCCCGCGCACGCTGCGTCAGTTACAGAAACGAGCTCCCGACATTCCGCAGGTTTAATTAATTTTTTTTACACACGTCACAATTTGAAACGAAAAATAAAATGCTTATATATAAGTATTTATATTAAGTATATAATTTAATCGAACAGTCGCTAATATACGCTAACAAACGATAGTCAAGTACCACTTCGAGAGGAGTATCTATAAAATAATACCTACCTATCTAATAATACCTATCTAAATGTAATTTATTCTCGAATACGAAGATAAACAATATTGAATGTCCAGAAACTGATGTTTATTTTGTAATTTAATATCGCGAAACATAATATAGCTTTCAGCAACGTAAACCCTTGTAAATTGCGATGACTGTTTGTGTTATCTAGTGGAATAATGTATTATCTGAATTGTGCTCATTATGCTTCTAGTTATTTTAGCTCTTGTCGGCGGCGGCCGTCGACCCCGCGTCCGCGAGCCTCGCTCCGACCGATACGATCAGCTCGAGACCGGCTCGTCACCGCCGCCACCGCCGCCGCCGGCTACGCTCCGTACCGCACGTCACATCATATCATACATTATTGATACTTTAACACGCCCTCACACGTCTCACGGGTACTTATATTATACAGTTACAATAGCAAATTGGCAACATAGGATCCTATTATATATCTTAAACGATTTATTCATTCAAACCTACTTATTTCTTGTATATCTACATGTAGTATAAAAAAAAAAACTAGTGCTTGATTCTATCTCTACAGAAAAAAAAATTGAGACAAAATTTAATATTAAACTTAATCAGTTGCAAAAATAATTATCAAAATCGGTTCACAATTTGTGAATATATCGTGTGTCAGTGTAAGTACAAGAAATACAGACGAACGGAAAACTTTCTCGTTCTTAAAGCCGCTTAAAAATGTACATAAGCCTTCATTATGGTCATGTAATAATCCCGTATTAGTAAAAACTGTCATATGTCTATATTCGCTGTATTTGAACGTGGTCTCAATTGTCATACCAAATAAGTATAATAAGCGTTTACACGTGAGGGCGTGAGTTTTATTCTATTGTGTTCTTTTTTTAACTTTCAAGCAGCGGGCGGCCGAGACGGCGCGTCGCCGTCGCCCGCTGTTTTATTGCTTTTTGATACCGCACCGTGTCGATGCAGCTTCACAACATCATCTATCGTCGCCGGAGAAACTTAAATATAGTATACTAATTAGCTATATTTCTATTAGCACATCATGTCTCAGTTAAAGATATTTTGAACTACGAGGTATTTAGGACATGTACAACTACTCGAGTTGCAATTTTGATCACGACTACATTATTCTACCGCTTCCGTGATAACTAAAACTTACAACATATATGTGACTGAGTATAAATCACACATTCTACATATCATCTATAATATTATATACACGCTTTCATGTAAGTATACTGTTTACCTCTTGGTGTTTTAGCGTCTCAATTTTTCATGTTTGGTACACACGTAGTACCTATTTAGAATGGAGGATATAGGCTACTTTATATCTCGGTCAATCGATACATGCCGGTCACGCGGAAAACTAGTATTTACATAAAAAAGAAGACGTTGTCAACTCAGTAATATTTTTGTCTGTACTCGTATCTTGCTCGCTCGCTAATGTCTTCAGTCGATCGAACTCTCTATTCGAACTTGTTTATTTATTTTAATAATGAAGCAGTGTTAATCCCATGTTAATATTGTCACGAATGTGTGCGTAGGGATAGAGTTCGTCACTTTTTAGTTTAGTTGTTTAATCGGTTGTTATCATACTGTGCTGTCAATTCTTGTGAAACAGTTTTTTTAATATGTGATGATAAAATGGTAACCCCGCCTGCGCTATCGGCACCTATATGCTGGCGGCGCACCAGTGAGGGGTGATAGGTGACGATAAAAGCAGGACCGTTAGCCCATCGTGATGAATTCAACTAGAATAAAACACGATAGTTTCCAGGGAGAACCGCGTGGAGGTTGACCTGATAGGGTGTATTGCTAGTAATGGAGAAATTAGACCCCATTACTAACAGTCCCTTACCCCCTTATGTAACAGAATTATAGAAATGTTTGTTACTAAACAATGCCTCACCGACTGCAATGTAGGATACTTTTTATCTCCTCACATGGGTAATAACGCGTGATACAGCTAGCATGTTATAAATGCTGAAATTCGTTTTTATTATAAAATGCTAAAGAATTCGTGAAGACCGATCCTCGTAGGCAGCACAGATAAGTCCAGTCGCCTGTCTCGCCATACATCAGACGTCGGCCGCTCGAGATACGCGTCACCAAATTGATAGCTCTCATAAAATCCACCCAAATCGGCCATTTTTACTCGCGCCCTTTCGTTCTATACGATTCATCTCTATCGCATTTTACTACGTATTTCAATGACTCAGTGTAGATACTCGTATTTCTTAGTAGAAATATGGAGATGTCTTAGTATTCCATATTCACTATGTCTAATATTACTATATATAAGTACCAAGTGTACTTCACAGTGTGTTCGGTATGTGTGTCAATTCATTCAACCGTTAAGGCATGCCGTGATTGAGCAACATATCCAAAACTCTTTGCAAACTTTTAAATCTGTAACCTCAGGTATTTCCTTCATCATTTTCATATCAGCCTGTCATACCTTTAACTGTCCACTGTTGAACATAATCCTCCCCTTGGGGGGGTTTTGCCAGTAGTTGCCATGCTTAGCAGGCGGATTGGCAACCGCAGTTAGGCTTTTAGAGATGTTTTAAGAGGGACGCTGCTGCACATTCCTCGCCCTCCTTTAGTTGCCTCTTACGACAATCACGGGAAAGGAGGGAGTGACCAATTCTATGCGGGGATCACACGACAACCCCAGGTAGTTGGAAGTAAAATATTTACGCTAGGTTCAAAATCGATATACAGGCGACAAGTTTTCGTGTATACGAGTACGTTGCATAAAACAGTTGATGTGACTGAACAGTGTTGTTGATCGCTTGTCAATTAAAGTAAATTAATAAAGTAAAACATTACTACTAGTATGAATTGAAAAGAACAATTTACACTACACGTACTACTTATGAAAGCTGGTTATTGCAAAACATTCTTTGAGTATTCATTTGTCCTCCTTAACGCTTCCAGTGCATTTAAGGAAAAACAAGCAAGCAGTTGGCTGGACCGGTGCCGCCACGGGCCGCAGGCGACACGGCCGGTTCTGTACATGATAGCGCTCGCGCATCTGCTCGCATCTTTACACGGCTTTCACTATTAGCCAAAAACACGTAATACGGAGGGCGGTCCTTTCGCTCACGCATCAGGAGTCGATGACCCCCATCTGCGCAAGTCGTATACTGAAATTGCTGTCATTCCCTTAACCGTTTTGTTTCGGGTAATAAAAGGCAGAAATGGGCTCCTCGCACGTCGTCATCGATACATTAAAGGCAGCCGGCGTGTTTTCCTCACGCAGCATTCGACTCCGCGGCCGTGGCGTGCCCTGCATACTGATATACTCTGGCACGATATCGCAACTGCATCGTCGCGGAAGGAAGCCGCTATCTCGGACGCGCCTCGCACTCGGATATAGGATGTCGGATGTCGGATGGTGATATTGGCACTTCGATTGCAAATTATATATTTTACTCGGGAACTGATGCAGGAACAAGATAATAAGACTTTGATGACTCAGTCAAGGTCCTGGACTAGACGTTTCCTCCACGTTTGTATCGCGAATTATAGACGTTAGTAGTGATATGACAAGACATCTATGTACAATGAGAACCGATTTATTTAGATGTTAATATTTTGATTGAAGTTGTTGATATTATTTTATCAATAGTGATTGAAGTAGTTTAAAATATATGACACCAACGTCGCTAATATATAACACAGTAAGTTGCACATAGCTTCACACGAGTTCGTGTAATTATATATTTCAGTGCGCTACGTTATAACAATGTTCAATAACAAAAAAAACACCTTTTATAGGCTAAGATAACAAAAGATATTAGAAAGCATCTTATCAAAACCTATATCTGGAGTATAGCTTTGTGTGGATGTGAGACGAGGACATTAACTCAGAAGGAAATGGATAAACTTAGAGCCTTTGAAATGTGGTGCTGGAGAAGGATGGAGAAAATTAGCTGGAGAGACCGACTTAGCAATGAGGAGGTCCTGCTTAGGGTTAAGGAAAAGAGACAAATTATTAGAACTATTGAGGACAGAAGGGGAAAAATGTTGGGATACGACACGACGAACTTATGAACATTATAATAGAAGGTAAGATAGAAGGAAGGAGAGGAAGAGGGTGACCGAGGCAGAGTTACATCAGGCAGATCAAGTGTCGTGTCGTATCAAGAGGTAAAGAGACTCGCTGAAAATCATAGTGAGTGGCAAAAGCTCCACCGACAAGAGCGTACCTTTTAAATAGGATAGATAGATATGTTATAAAATAATTTTATAGCTCCAGTTGTATTTAGATAAATGTTTGTTTGTTCGGTTTGTGTTTGGCTAAGCACGGAAATGTTGAGTTAGGCTCTCTAATAAACGAATTAGGCTTGTATTAGTCGCGTGTAATGTTTGCGATGAAGCGCAAAGTGTACAAACAAATAATTCTCTTGTTCAAATCAATGTTTATTTGTCGCGAGAAGTCCTTGCGAGCGACCGCGCTCACGATCCTCTCTGTTCGGTGGCGACGTGGCGTGCTCCGATGTTTACTCGGCGCGATCACTAATTACTGTGGCCACAAAATCTACAAGTTTAAATCTATTATTTTTCCTTTCTGTTTCTATGTTTGTTTGTAAGTATCGAAAAAATAAAATACTGAATTTGTGCTCGTATTTACGTTGAATGACAAGGTGTTTTGTGGATACATTACACTGAAAATTTCTGAATTGATAACGCCGTGTACTGTTTCTACAAGTAGATTTTACTTCTCAAACAGTTTTGTAAAGAAAAACGGCAGCTTCAATAGTCTCAAAATTCATATGGGAGTTAATCTGTCGATTGCAGAAAGAATTGCTAAATTGTTTCTATAAAAAAGAAACTGTGGGAAGCTGTTTAACAATCATCGCAAAATAAGAAATGACCTGAATATAAATAGGTGCGCGTCATTTCCTTCGCATATTTTAAATCTATATTTATGTGTATTTATACGTACCGATACAATCTTCCAGATTCTTTTCTCAGCTATAGATGTCAAGTTTTCTAATGTAACAATATTTGCATGTAAGTATATTGTCATAGTCGTAGAATACTGACGGATCTTTATATGTAATCTTTGTCAGATCCGTCAGTATTCTACGACTATGACGATATGTGATTATGCAAAGAAAATCAATACAGACAGCATACTGGTTCAGGTACTTTTCTTAGATTATATAGATCGAGTATCGAGCCTCAAAAACAAGTCAACTTTTGTCAGCTAATTGTCAAATTAGTTGACTCGTTTTTATTTTAGTAATGTTTATATTTACCCACAGTTAACAAATAAAATTAAATATTGCACATTTATAAGACAAAATAAATTTCACTCATACTCGTAGCTATTTCTCACACAAAATTGTATGAAAAAGATGACCCGCTTTTCTTGAATCATTTGTATGGAGACACACTATCTGTATAATATAAGGTTCTTTTATTACAATATTTTATAAGTATTCAAGCTATTTTCACTAATCGTTCTTATCCTGCCATTCTAGAGAACTATGGCACTATGGTTCTTGCGTTTAAGTTAGGACCGACTTGATAATATTTGAGGCTAGCAGAAATACTAACTCCACCATCAGGAACTTGCTTACAGGGCAGGTATTTACTATTTATTGATTACTAGAAGCTATTCGAAAGTTAATTATAATACAGTTGTATCTACATTTACAGACAAATAGATATATATTCATGTCTGAGGTTGCTATCATGTCTTATTCACATACTAATGTAAGTACAATTGGTATGAAAAGTTATAGCAATTAATGTAATGTGCAAATGTTGTTGCGCAACCTAGCAGCGGTGCATCGTGCACGCACACTCGTGCACCGTGTACCGCGGGCCGTTCGTTTACATTACAAATATGTATTACATGTGAACTCATTGTGTGTTTGTGTTGAGTTTCTTGGCACACGCATAGTTATAACAGCAACTATATTATAATTTACCGCTGTAATTTATGTCTTCATCACTTACATACATTGATCCGAGCCACCGCTGTATTCCGCGGATAACATCTATTGCCTAAATTAATATTACTCGTCCTTGTCTCTTATATATTCATAGCTAGGGAGGTACTCACAGGGTATGCAGCGCGGGCAACGGCGGCAGCGAGGAGTCCGTCAACTCGCTGATCAAGTTCCCCGCCAGGTTCCTGTCGACATCATCAAACTGTTAAAAAATAAATTAATGATAATTGATAACATAAATAAACAAACCCCTTTAATATCTCTCCAAAGTCGTCGTTTCACTCGGGATACAGATCGTAACTGTACGGTTCAAGTTATCATTTGATATTTATTAAATATGTATGCATGTATATAAATAAATAAAAAAAATGAATACATTAAATAGAACAAAACAATAGATTTAAAAATAGACGGCATTTAAAATTACTACATAGTATTTCGGTTTACTTTGCCCGCTGAGATTATAATCGCGAGCGTGTTTGTTTACTAATTCCAATTTATAGACTCATCATCATTTTAACATATTTATCGTTCATTGTATATATCATATTTTTTTTTTAAAAATTACGATCCTAAGACATCTGTCTTCAACGACTCTCCAATAATTTTAAGGTCGTCTCACTAGAAGATTTTATTCTTCACCAGTTATTACGAGTATTTAGTGGCTCGCCGATTGCTACTTCAGCTTGCTCATCCTTAAATTATGTTGGATAAATTTTTTCTATGCAACAAACAAGCAAACAAGGTGACAGTCCACCTGATGAAAAGTGGTAACCGTCGCCATGAACAGCACAAAATATACTGTAATGACCAATGACCATGATACTCTTCTCTCTTTCTCTGGTATTTTTTGCGAATATTCTTATTTCTGAATTTATCGAGTTGTGAAATTTCCTGTCTATAGCTTGTCGAGGACAGAGGGGAAAAAAAGTTGGGACACTTGATATGATACGACGAACTAATGAACATTATAATAGAAGGTAAGATGGAAGGAAGGAGGCGAAGAGGGAGATCAAAGCATAGTTACATCAGGCAGATTAAGAAAAGAGTTGGTGTCGTGTCGTATCAAGAGGTGAAGAGACTCGCTGAAAATCGTAGAGTGGCAAGAGCTCCATCGACAAGAGCGCAACTCTTAAATAGGATAGGATAGCTCGCTGAGCAACTAGCGAGCGCACTCATACAGTCATTATAACAAATAGTAATTTTAACTATAACAGACATTATGTATAGCAAGAAACACGCGGTGTTACCGTGGGCGCGAGACGTGACTGATCTCTCATTGCAAACGTTACAGCGTTGCGACTCCATTGAATGTTTGCTGCCTTACAAGCGGCGCGCCGATGTGCCGTTTCCTGCCGTCACTCATTTGTCTCTCTACGTATGTATCTGTCTATCTACATCTGCGCTGTGTTATTTTACATTTGTTATGTTACACGAAAACTCTTGTGTGAATTGTAAACGTCGCTCTGTATACTGTGGCGCTGTTATACACATCATATTAATGATTTCATTGTTTACTTAAAGCAACGGGTGTTCACCACACTGGTTTATATAGTGTTTAACACAACCTAATACATTATAATTAATAACTAGGAAAACATCTCTGATTTCATATCTACGGCTCCTGGTGCCGCTAGAATACGATTCCCTCAAGGGAAAATTCTCGAAGTTTGAATGTCTCTTTATATTATATATATAGACCTAATTGGAAACTATAGGGTATTATAAACCTATTATAATAGGTTTATTATAAAACAGGTAAAATGTTCAGACTTCAATTTTACGATAGGTACTTCGAACGAAAATTACATATTTTTCTTATTTTTATAATAATTAATGAGCTTGAAGCTGTATTTTCAAAAAAATAAATCTGAAACGGCTTTCTTATACTTTTACTATACGCTATATAGCTGCATCCCGCGGCTTTGCTCGCGTGAATTAGTATAACATATAAAGAACTCTATGTGTTAATTTGGAATATTTTTGGTCTGTATGCCAAATTTTATAAAAAGCCCTTTAAGCCTGACTGAGTGACAAATATCTAAACATGTTTACGAACTGTCACTCATAATATTACTGTGTTATATTAACACAATAATTTTATGAGTCCTTTGAATCCAAGTTTCAGCTAACTGACAACCCTAGGGAGCGCGTACAACAAACATCAGATATACTCGTACGTGTATTCGAGATTTCTAATGTTGTTTAAACAAGTTCATTTTTCGTTTTGACACACAGTGTCAAAGTCAGTAACTAATATTTTTTTAAATGTGCAAATCGAGATTTATCACAAACTATAAATGATCTTACATACCTAGTTCAAGTTACAAACTAGAACATATTCGTGAGCAGCCACAGTGACGCAAATAATGAAGGCAAAATAAGATATCAGAATGTATATTTTTTCCATCCTTGTCTCTTTAATAGCCCTTTATATACGAGTATGCCTGTTTATTGGTCGGTGTCTAAAGTTTTAATTGAAGTTTCCAAGTTGCTTTACTTTTTAAATCACTTTTTAAGGTCAAAGTAACTAACTGCTATTACGAAGAATCCGACGTAAAATTGCGTTAGTTAAAAATTTTATATTTTCATGGCCATTAAAAATAATTTATTGGCAAACTCGCGGCGGCCCTTAGCGGCTGCCCTTGTTAGCTCCCCCACCCTTGTCCTCGATCCCTCCATTGGTATTGCAAACGACTTCTAAATTCTAGTATTTATTTGAACCATAATTGTTAATCTTACGATATATTGCTAGTATTGTACGCGCACCACCACGAGGGCAGGCCATAGCCCTGGAGCTCGGCCAATATGGAAAAGTCTGTTATCATAAATCAAAAGCACGTAATCATTTTCTCCGAACTAATGGCGTCGAAGGTAAATTATATAATCATCATAATTATTCTTTCACAAATAAAAACTTGAATCGGTATAGGAACAATTAAATAATCCTTTGTATCATAAACAAACTCGATTCATAATTAGTAAAAATATACTCGTAGTATTAGATATGTACATAAAATTTGAGAATCGCATCTTTACGTCACCGGCAGGGTGGTAACACGCGAGTGATGTCACTCAACACTTTGCACGTATTCACCCATCCGCTCACCATCGGGAAGATCTAATCATAACAATTTGACGGGCATGGTATTGTACGGCAGCTGTTTAAAATTCTGCCTTACAATTCAATAGATGGAGGTCCAATTCTCACACCATTTTCTTCTATTTTTTCCACTGTTACGAATATTTACAAGATGTTTAGTTGATTTTCGTAGTACTGGTATACCTAAATTTAGAACAGAATGGGACTGTCTGATATGTTTAGACGTATTTTTAAATACACAATCGGGACTAAACACGATGAAAAACCTTTTATAGGTAGTTAGTACCTACATACCTGCTTCTTTATTGCCGATGTTTCGACGTGGATTGGACTACGTTTTGGTCATGACAAGAACGTTAGGAATATTCGCTTAAGTCCCGACCGATTGTGTATTAAAAAATATGTGTAATAAAACTATGGTCAGAGGTGTTATTATGTTATCAGTTAGGATCAATTTATAAATCTATATCTTCGATGTGATTTTAAAGAAGACTCAGTGCGAAACCAATTCTCAGATAGATTACCTTTGTTGTAAGTGTAGCTAAGAGGCTTTATAGTTTTATCGCAAAAGGAGACGGAAAAATAGATCACAGGCGAGCGGCGGACGACCAATGGAACACTTCTGTTTTCTTATTACATAAGATAAGCTTTTAAATTGTACGGGATTGAGTTAAGCGACGAGACCACGCAACATATTTTACCGAAGCAATAAAAACCAGAGCCGCTTCTGTCTGTGTCTGTTTCTTGTACTCTTCATGATATATTATCAAACATTCTTAAAATTATGATAACACATTTGTTATCAGGCTTCCTATCTGTGGCAGACATTCTGTTTTGCACAGAATACGGTTCTGAGGGACAGTGTAGGGGAGCTATGTACGGGCGGATATTTTATGTTATGTTGAGTTACTCGGGTCCCCGGGCTATCTTCGTGAACACCGCTAATATTATTTTCCTTTTTGAAACAACAAATGGTTAGTTATAAAGATGGCGCCCACTATGGTGGCTCTAATTTCATTTCTAATATGACTTCATATTTCATTTTAGCTCTCAAACTTCATTATCATTAAGCATTGCCTGGATGTTTTTTTTTTTTTATTTTTAATTGAAATATATTTTCTATATATTACAGACATTTTCTACATAGTCGCTCATAATATGATATAAATAGTTGAAAGGCGTCCACTGTGGTTATTGAAAATTCCGTGCATGCGTTTATTTATCATATCATATAGGCACAAGGGAATAAGGAACACTGCAGTCTCTTCAAGTAAATAAAACACAATATAAGTGATATATAATAATATATAATAATATGCATTCAATTTAGCCGTCCGCGTGTAAAGAGTGAGATTATATGTATACATATATGTAATAGTGAGTATATATAAGAATATAAATTGGACGCTACATCGCACCTCCACTGCCAAGCACGACACGGGTGTTTCCAATAAAAGCAGGATATTTAGCCACGATGATAAGGGTTTTTAATTTAAGTTGTAATTCTCTTGCTTCGATTTGTTTTATTTTGGTCGCCGAGCCGTCGCTTACAATACATATCCTGCGAATGATGCGCTTGGAATCAGTTATCCTTTTTATATGGAGTAATCTTCTGGTACGTTTCAAATATCTTCGTACATTTGCCTCGATCACATTTATTCGTGTGATGATGAAGCGTGTGATATAATGAGTTGCGAGGAAGGCGAGCCGGTCGCGAAGAGGGGGAAAAGGCTGGAGGGCGCTGAAATATCTCCATATTACCGTGACATCTGTGCCAACTTTAGCATAATATGTTGTAAAAATATTACAAGATTAGCAATATGTGTGCGAACGTATCCCTTCAAAAAATATTCACGCTATTTGAGGAAATAACCGTCACTTTATCTGTAAACAAGGTATGTTTGTAAAGTCTTGTCACATACAATAACTGTGTAGAATAACCTTTGTATATTGTTTCATTATCATACACATAAATTGGTAAAAAAAATTATATTGTGCAAAGATTCAACGCAAAACTGTTTAAATATGAGGCAGTCTATTTAACGCTACATTCCCTAGCTCTAAGTTTCCTAACTAAAAGAAAAATATAAAAAAATAATCTGCCTAAAATTATTATCTTTAATTAGAAAAAAATTCGATGAGCCGACAAGCGACAGCGAAGGAAATTTTTCAAGCGACGACCTCTCACTAGATGGAGCAACAAGCTCAAGTCAGTGGATGCAGGTGGAGGCTGTGTACGGGATGCTACTCACAGCGTCTGCAGGTGGGCGAGTGACGAGAGCGCGTGCGTGGGCACGGCGCGCAGCAGGTTGCGCGCGAGCCGCAGCGTGCGCAGCGCACGCGCACCGCCCAGCGCGCCGCTCTCCACCTCGCTCATGTAGTTGTCCTCCGCTGACCTGGACGCCATACACAATCATTTGTAATAACATTTTCTCCATTATAAGCTAGTACACACTCGTACTACTTGCCCTGATACGGCGAAACCAGACACGTTATAAAAATATATTCCAAACTGCACTAATTGCCGCAATCTGCAGCATCAACAGTATAAGAGATCCCACTTGGTATGCTAAAATGTTTTTGCAACACATAGTGTTTATTCTCGTGTTGATCCTACATTGAATTGCTTCAAAAAACACAGTTACCAAACATGAACCGTAAAATCCATTATCAATTTTCCCTCTTACGTTATTACTGAATACATTAAGATTAACAAAATAAGTCCGATTGTTCCGTGGTGGCCTACAAATATAAATGTACTTGAACAGACAATGTCGCGAACATTTTAGCTCAGTACTCGTATGTGGCGAATATTTGGAGTTTGGATAATCGAAACGTTCAAGAGCTCCTAATCCGGATTATAGTCTTGATATCTGCGCCTTGTTACTTATTTAGTGGAATAAATAGATCGTGTATTGTTTGCCGAGTGGCGCTCGCTCGCTGAATCCAAATGAGTGTCTCCACCACGATAGCCATAAGCGAGCTTATAAAATTATAATAAACTGGCTTTGCCTGCAATTTCATTCGAGTAATCTTAGATTTATATACAGATACTTTTTTGTAATAGAAAACACGACGTGACTAGACAATTGCTGATGTTCGAATGATCTAATTAATTTAATCAATAATTTTATTGATATGAGATCATAGGCTGTATTTATCGTCCTAACTATTTTCACATTATTACATTATACAAGAATTAATTAATACTAAAATACAATTAAAATTATTTTATTATTAATTCCTTGGTCATCGCAGCGTAGTACGCAGCGTGGAATACTGTCCTAACAATAGTATTACTTATTTTCATTAATCTTTCATGAAATTTTGCTCTACATTTACGTAAAATAGCAAAGAAATTACTAACCCTGTTCTCAGTGAACATGTCAGGCGCACTACATCGCCCTGGCAAGTTGCGCGTCGCTCGGAATGCGTTAATGTATTGCACACGAAGTGTGTTCTACTTGTAAGCTCTCTTTGTGTAACTATACCATAATTGGCTGGTGTTCAAAGCCTGACAATAAGAATTATTCAATCTTAGTTTAACTAGCTTCGAATAGTGGTTAAATCGTCTAGTCAGCATATTGCTTCTACATTCAAAGTTACACCTTTGTCTCCCCAGATCATTATCATCTCTCAGATCTTCTGTCAACATATGTAATTCTGTTAACAAATGTAATATTCCACACTGACCCGTGCGAAACAAAAACGGTTCGCTCTTTAATATTAATTTAAAAGTTTATGTGAGTGTTAAATGTAGTACTCGTAACATTTAATAATAACATTGAAGTATGATCGTACAGGTAGCGTTGCACAACGCACCAACAGGTTTATTCATTAGTATACAAATTAGTAAATAATTTAAAAGTAAAGTACATTCATTTATCTTTTTGAATTATGCCAGAGATTAATATGTATCACATAAATCATCTACAGATATCGAGCTAAGATTTGTGGACGCCGATAACTCGGTACGTCGACTTTCATTTGACGTATGATTTGTATACATTTACAGAAAATGTATAAAAATAAATGGTTTATTTAAGATTTGGGTCAACATTTGAAAAGTAGTAGAATGTACTAAATGTCGGCACTTCAACAGGTGGGCCACGTAATAATATTGTGTACGAACGCCGGCGCCGAGTCGCGAGCGCGCGGTTGCGATTCAGCTATGAAATCACTACAAAATACTGTTCAATTTTAGAACAATATGTTTATATATTAACAATTTTAAATAATAATTTCATATTACAACTAATCGTAATAGCTATGCGTACGAGTATTATCCAAGAACTAAAGTCACGTTCACTAAAATGCGTGCCTACTGAAATTATTACAGTAGTAAAAAAAAAAAAAAATATTAGTGGTGAATACGAACATGCAAGAGTGTTCGATTGCTCGTTTGTAAAGCGACCGACAGACACGGGGCCTCGGTCTGAGCGGAGGGCGCGCGCTCTAGGGGACCGTTTATATTTATATCTAGTCATATTAATGTACCTCGTTATCAAGATTTATTTTCATATTCATCTCTGTTCGGATGATCGAGTAGTGCGATAGTCTCGGAAGTTTTATCGGCCCCTGCCAAGAATCTTGCTCTCTATACGATAATTGTCACAATGATTTGTCGATTATTATCTATAATCAATCTTTTGTTATTGAGTATGGCAGATAAGTTTATGACCCATTTGATGGAAATTAGTTATTGTAGCTCAATAAGCTTAATATTTTATCACAGGATATAATCTAAAATACTATATCCTTCTATATCAGTTTTGCCCTTTACACTACCAACTGCTATAGGTTGCCTTTTAAATTTGTACATTTATATATATGAATAAAAAGAGCTTTCTTCGTTTACTATTACTACCATCAATTTCCACTAGGTGGGTCGTTACCTTATTTGCCATATTAAATTTTATCAAAAAAGTAGAGACAATTTTTAATACCCAAGTCCCAGAACTGGGATCAGCCCAGTTTTGTGATTTCTTTACCTTATAGTATAAATAATTAATAATTTACATTAAAAATAAGTTTGGATTACTTGTAACAATAGACTTCCTGAGATGTCTGTGTTTTAACGTCACGAGAGTCGGTCCACTTCGTCTGCTTATTTAGCTGGTAAGAGTTTAGGAAACGACAGACAGGGACTAGGCACTGAACTATTTAACATAAAATTCTAATTCTGTTGCTCCAGAATCAGATCTCAAGGATCACTGTCTTGCTAAGCTTTAAACCCCTGACCTCTAGCTATAAATGGTCATCGAAAATTCAAATTGAATATCCAATATTCTTTCAAGGACTATCGGACTCGGTCTCCGTTATTATAGTCGTCTTAGATTAAATCTCAAGCTATAAATGTGTACGCGGCTAATAAAAATGAAATACGTTTTCCTCGTAGCTGTGGAGGTGAGTGATTGCGATATTGGCGCGTTGCGTCACACGCGTCAAATACTAGTACTACCAGTATTAATGGACATAAAATTCGCAAGTGGCGTGCGAAAGCTCCGCACGATGTGTTCACATGAACGATCGCCCGGTGACGTCACGCTCGACACATCCACCATCCGCGCTCTGCGAAAAGTACGTGAAGATAATCCTTCCTATCAATTGGAAAATCATCGTTCTCGTTACTGCCCTTTAATTGTCCACTGCTTGGTACGGATGTTCCTGCATAAGATTTCATCCACATTGTTTCACATTGATTGTAAATCGGATATTGACATATTCTATCAGAAATTTTAATTGTATCGAAGCACTTTACATACATTGATAACCTAATAGTTTATAAGCATAGTCTGGTAATTTTGTTTTTGATTCTTGTTTTGTATGTAGTTTTTATCATTAATTCTTTTTTGTAGTAAAAATCAACCTATTCTGTTTCACCTCTGTGAATGTTGAGCACAACTATAATTGGACTGCAAACTTATAATGCTATTGTGGTATTCTATTGGTAAAAGTTTTGTTTGTAATCTGTTGTTGTACCACAAAAATAAATAAATAAGACAAGCAGCCTACTCCCACAGACAAATATAGAAATAGACAGCTCAATGAAAGCTAAATTTACACTTTGTCTTCGAGTCACAAAACTATTCATATATTGATAGAGATCGCACTGAATCACCATTATCGCATATTTTTAACTATGCGCATAGTCCAAGGAGGGTTGACGTTTTGTTTTTTAAAGACTACGACAATTTATTGCTATTTTGTATTTGGTGTTATTGTGCTGACTATTTTTTGTGTTCATGTATTTTATAATAATATTTTTTTGGAGAGTTGACTTTTCAATGGACGTACATGAAGTAGTAGCCCTGCTTGCGGTATCGGTATACACTGGCGAGCCACCCGTAAGATATCATAGGTAAGAATGACAGCAGGCAAGTTAGCCCATTAAGACGATTTCAAGAATTAATCACTATGGTTTCCAGGGAGAACTACGTGAAGATCGACCTGATAGGATATTTTGCTAGTAATAAAGCTGTAAGACCTCAATACTAACAATCCCTTCCCCCAGAGGGTTGACGTTAGGCAGGCACCCGGTTAAAACCAAAAGCCAATACCTTATATAATATATAAAATCATATTACGCTGACCCCAAATACTTGGGACAAGGGCAGAAAGAAGAAGAAAAAGAAGATGATGATGTTGATGTCCATAGTCCATAGTATACGCTTGTAAGGAGGTTATAATGTTTTATTTCTCTTAAAGTAATGTACATACAGTCTTGGTTTCTCCTCTTTTCTTGACTTTTACGACATCGAGAGATGAAGAAATGCTTTTGATGCTCAAGAGTAGGGACACTTTATATTTTACTCTGCCATTACTTCCGATCAATAATAATTGCTAAAATAAAGCTTTACGAACTAAAATAAAATTGAAAATATATTGTGTAACATTAAGTATTATATGGTGTTAAAGTTTAAAAATATCGGATTTCTATATGTATGTAACTTCCATATTTAATCATTTTAATATGAGGACTCTGTAAGATGTTACTTGATTGATCATTTTTGACCGGCAAATAGACCGGACTGTGTATTTATGGATTAAAATACGTCATCATTAAAATATTAACTGTTGTTTGTGTTTATTCAAGGTGTGTAGTAGCATTACACTGGCTAGCTATGCATCTGTTGGGTTACGCATAGTCAAGTGTTGTTCAAGTTGACAGGCGAAGGTCGACCGCCGACGCACCGCATGCGCCCGCGCCGCCGCCGCCCGTCACGCCGCCGCGGCCGAGGGTCGCAGTCCAGTCTACTATTACAGTAGTCTACTATTTACTATGAGCTATGTACGCAGTAGTAGGTACACTGCATTTTGTTATTGCTGCTGTTTGCTATTGACGATATAAATAAGTTTACAAAGACTTTTGGATATTACTTGTTCAACGATGTAT